GATTTTGCATTACTTTATTCTCTTTCAATTTTTACATTATAAGGACAATCTCCTAATTTCTTAATCAAAAAATCAACTTTATTTTGTTTAACTAATATTACTATGCTAGTTTTATTTGCATTAGGATTCTAATTCATAAATAATTTAATGTTCTTTACTAGCTTTTGTGTAATTTCTCAGGATTTCTGCTTGATAAAACACTTTTAAATTTAAAATGCTAATAGCTAACTAAAAATAATTATTTATTACATGGATTTTTCTAATATATTTCATTTATGTTTTTTTCAATTTAACAAAGCTTTATAGTAACCTTAAAACAATAATCAAAAATTTGATTTTATGAAACTTACTCTTTAATCAAATGATCATAAAAAATGGATTTATGCTTTAGTAATTTAATAATTTATAAATTTAAGGCTCTTATGATATATTCTGTTTTGTAGAATTCTTCAAATATTAAAGTAGTTTAATCAAATTATTAAAAAACATTCTTTCTTAATCTTGATTTCAATAATTGTTTACTTTCCTCTCTTAAATAAGAATAAATAGTTTAATATTAAAAATACATTGGTTTATAAATATTTCTTTGATAATTTATTGGCTAAATAGTTAACATAGAAGAGTTTTTCATAATACATTTATTAAGGCAAATTGTTTGTTGCTTATTTTATGTTTAATCTTAATACTCTAGGATGGAACTGCAAATTGAATAAGCTTAAATATAATTTTTTGTATATAAATGAATTAAGATCATTTAAATAATTTTTTGGTTTGATAATGTTAATTATATAAAAGCGCTTGTTGATAATTTCAAGTAAATATCAAAGATTTATTCTCTTAAGGAACAATTACAATTATGACATTAGGTTAAATGCCGTGAATTGATATAGACGTAAAAAGGTAATTTTGATTAGTTATTGTTTGATTCTAAGTGTTAGAATAAAATTTATAATATTATATTAGAATCTGTAAGATTATCAAATATTTTAAAAACTACTATTCTACTTTTCAATAATTTAAATATGTTAACAACTAAAGGTATAACAATAATTTGAAATATTCCAAAATTATAATTATTGAAATTGAAAAGAATAGTTAAGTATTCTGTTATTGATAAAATGATAGCCATACTTTAAGCTGTGATTATTATAATATAAGCATTAGAATCTAAGTAATGAAAATTTGTAAATAAATTTATCAACATTAATATTGATATTAGAAATGTGATTGTTACCTAGTATATCTAGTTTAGTTAATAAAAACAATACAATAAAATTTAAATAATATTTAAGGTACAAAGTATGATATCCAAAAATGTTATATAAAATGTGGATTATATTGTGATTTAATAAGACAATTTATTTTAATTGATTAGTAATTTTGTGATGTCAAATAAAGTAAATAATAAAAGTGTTATTATTATAAGTATGGTATTAATATTAGATTAGTCTTAGATCTAAGTCAAAGTGATCTCAAAAAGTAAATTAATGATTATTATATCGTAAAACTCATAAATAAATGCTGAAATCATGAAAATTAACTGAATTGGTTTGTTTTTCTTAAAAATATAATTTTTCATAGTAATCTTTTATTAAAATAAATCTTCTTTATTATTGACATAATTTCTAAGTTACTATGTAATGGTAAGAAATATGATAATAGCTAGAATAAAGGGTAGTATGAATAAATATTATCCAGAAATTATTACAGAGGGCCTTGAAAAGCATGATATTAGTTAGTAAATTTAATTGTATTCTGTTTAACTACGATTATGCATATAAACTATGTATGAGGAGTTCTTAAATTGCCCCATTAAAAATATAATATATGAGAGTAGTTTGTTTGTGAATGGATATTGATTATTCAATATGATAAAAATTCTCAAAAGGTCCTAAAATCCAAGTTTCAAAAGGCGGATTAATTTCATGGATAAATATACTTTATATTAATTATTAAAAGAATGCATTTAGACTTGTCATGATAATACAAGAAAAAGTGATATATTTGTTGATAAAATTCCATCCTACCACAACTGGATACAACATAATATATAATTAATAATCAAATCCTTTCTTAGAAAATATAAAATGATGCTCAAAAAATCAATATAAATTAATTGTCGATACCTTCTCCCACATATAAATTCTCAACCGTAATGTTATAACAATTATTTAATATAATTTCTCATCTAAAATAATAGAAAACCATTTTAATTGCAATTTAATTTTACTTCTAATTTAAAATATAATTCTAAACTTAAATAGTAAGTTTATCAAATTTATTTAAAAATGAAAAACAGGTTTTTCTTAGTTTTACCTTCTGGCCTAAGCATTTTCCATAAATACCCATTTTCTATATAGGTTTTAAAAAGGGCACATTTAGATGACAAAAAAATAATAATTGTTTTGTAAAATTGAACAACTTGATTCATACTAACTCTAATCAAGTTTAAAAAGTCAGAGTATATCTAATTAGAATTTTATTCGTTATGAAAACAAAATATTTTTTTAAATCGATCAATTTACTAATATACCGTAAATAAATTAAAATATTTTTTCTGATGAGCCATTTCTTGCAAAAGAAAGAAAAAGGGTTTATAGGCAATTTAAAATAGCTCTTAAATGTATTTTTTGAATAAAAATTAGAGTTCTGAGTACCACAATATCATAAATGTCTTAGAATCTAATAATGGTTTCATCATTCTTAATTTAAATGAATTTTAAAGTCAAATATTAAAGAACCATTTTAAACATTCCAATATGGCTAGTTTTAAAAGGTTAGTAATGAATGAATAAACTAGATAATTAAATATGTATGGATTTGAGTTTTCCAGGACATAAGAAGGTTTAATGAAATTTCATCACAATCAATTTGATAGTAGGAATAATGAAGGACTCTAAATGAAATAAAATACAGCCAAAAGCACATTAACACCAGATTAAGAATTATATTTGTTAAAATTGCAAGTGAAAGATATTTAAAGAAATCAACAAATTATGTAAAGATAAATCAGAGAAATTATAGATAAACAGTAAGAGATCCAAAAAAATATTAAAAAGGCTATGCTTGTATTAACCCTCTATTATTTTAGGATTATGTAAGAATAAGAGTTAATGGATAAACGAAAGGGAAAAAAGTGGGAAAATTTGTTTGGAAATTCCATCGAAATATCACAAATAAAAAATATAGTATATAATGTATCTTATAAATAGAAAGATTCCTTTATTAGAAATGGAAGGAAGCTAACTCTTATTAAGAATGTCTTTGTATGGGATACGTACCCTAATAAACCTTTATAAAATAATTTTATACACACCCATTATTGAATAACTCAATTTTTGATATCAAGATTCCAAATTTAAATAATAGAAGTCCGGAAATGTTAGAACTCTGCGACACATAAGATCAAAATGACAGTAGTGATTTAGATTTAATGGAAGTACAAAGTGTTAGCAATATCAGTAACTATTTTAATTTATGATTCTTAAATGTACTATGAAACGATATTATCAAATATTTTATCAAAGCTCGCACCATATACTTTATTATCAATTTGATACATAGTTTAGGAATTATTTCTTTTCTAATTAATACAAACTATAAATTAATAACATATTGCTTTCTTAAGTAAATGGTTAAACAAAGGAACTCGAAAAATGGTTTTATGTTTAAACTTAAATCTATTCTCCTTGTAAAATTTATAAAAATACACTAGAATAATAAATATAGTGAAATTTTACAAATCAACCTTGATAAAAATGGTTTCATTATTCATGATTTGGATAAATTCAAGAATCAAGTCTTAAAAGAAAACTATCGACACACTAATTTCAATAGTTTCAGAAGGTATGAAAGTATTTTATATTAAGATCCTTAAATTTGTATGGGTTTTCTTCAAAAAAATACAAAAAAAGGAAAATATTGTATATGAACCCTAATTTCAACATAAATGCAGAAGAACTCCTAAGAATTCAAATAAGACCAGCTGAAATATAGGATTTCAAGAGCGAACTAATTAGGGACTACAATACATTATACGATATTCGGGAAAGTTAAAAAAAAATCATGCAATAAGTTTAACAGCTAATTGAGGCTTAAAATATATTGCACTAAAAAATTCAGAGATAATATTTGGCTTATTTAAAAGAGAGAATATTTTAAAGAATCCGATTTAGGAAATTAGAACGATTTTGTTTTTCCTTCTATTTTAATATACAAGATTAAAAGTACAGTAACTAAAATTATTATGCATTGAATAGAAAAAATTATAGAAAGAAGTCTGGTTATAGTTGCAAAAACACTTTCACAATCATCTGAAAGTTAGATGATTTTAGATACTTATAATTTGAATTAATAACAAGAAACATATTAATAGCAGTTTAGTATGTATTTGGATAGAAATCTTCTATCTAATGGAAACAGTAAAGCATTATCAAACAGTCCAGGAGAATTTGACTTGAATTAAAGTTTTAGTGCTTTGAGTAACTACTTCGAGTTTTGAGAAATTATATACTAAATGAAGGGATATTTTTGAAATAAAATAATTATTAAATATTAATCAAATAGCTCCATCTACTCTGGTCATGACAGCGCAAGAATTACCTGGTTTCAACCAAATATGTCCTTGTTCTCCCCATCCTTCACCCCATGAGTTTCTAATCTTCCAATTTCCTGCATAATCGAAACCAACGGCCACAACAGCGTGATTGTGGAAATCATCTCTGCATGCTCCATCATATACTCCTTGATTATAGAATTTCCAATAAGTGGCATCGACGCTCACTGATAATGGGTAATTTTAAATTCCCTTTTTGATAGCATCTTCATTTGGACCATAGTTTTCTCTTCCTGCAATTCTAACCTTTCCTTATTTTACCTTGCATACACCATCTTTTGCAGTCTATATAGATATTTAATAATATTTACATATTCATAATCTCTTTCGTAAACAGAACCAACTTCAGCGATGTAATCCAATGCCAAGTCTGAATTACCTCCATTACATCCTTCTCCTGCATCAACGGCACAATCTACCAATTGTTATTCAGACAACACTCCTTTGAAGCCTTTTCTTATAGCCAAGAAACCTTCAACTGCGCCAATAGCAGAGAAAGTCCAACATGAACCACAATTACCTTGATTCTTAATAGGATTCATTTTGCTAGCCCAGTCAGCATCTCCTAGGGTATTTCCTTTGCTCAATTCAATATTATCAATCTTAACATAGGTGGGCTTTCCTAGATACATAGATTGGAATTCCTCATCAGTCAGATCAGCAAATTGATTGACTGCCATACTATAGCTTTTGTTAGGGTTTGAGTTATGTTTGTTAATTAATTCAACATTTTAGTTGAAGATAACCTGTCTATATGTTTCTTCATTTGAAGTATAGAACTTGTTAAAATTCTTTTACCAAGTTTTAAAAGAGTGTGCCTCTTCGTTTTAATTGTAGAAGGCTAAACCACTTATTAACAAAGCGGTAGCAAGCAAAGATAAAATTTTCTACATTGAATTAATAATTATAATAATGATTTTATAGACTATATATACAATGAGTGATGACATCATTGAATAGCAAATAATTAATTCAATTATTGAACTAAGTATATAATATCATTTAATATATTTGGTTACATTAATAATTAAGAAACACTAATAATAGTATATATTAGTTGATCATATTATTGAAATCTGATGAATTTACTTTTATTATAAAATTAACAGGAAAATAATATATTTAATTTGTGATGTAAATTTGGAAATTATTAAACTAGAAAATCTTATTTTAGTATGCTAGGCAAATTAAACCTCGTATTCCAATATAAATTGATGAATTAAATAGACAATTTGAATAACAAAAATTAGCTATTAGAGAACAAGCAGAAAAATAAATTAGACATGCTCATTCAATTGCAGAATTAATTAGTTTGAATAATGACGTAAGTAAATATGTTGATGTTACAGAACCTATGCTCAAAAGACTATCCAAACTCAAAATTACATCCGAAGAATTTTCTTTAAATTAAGAATTCATTGCGAAATTAGTAAATAACAATACTAGTTAATTGATGTTCAACTTGCTCCAATTTTATGAAAATGATCGAATTGAAAAAATGATATTTGATGCATATAAAAATAAGCAATTGTCAATTACATAAGAAAACAATCTTCGACTTTTATAGATTATTGTCAAACATGGATAACAATAAGATTTGGAATAGTGGTCTTAAAATTGGGAGTTTTAATTAAATGGCAAGAACATCTCTAAATTTTATAGTATTTTAGATTCTCTTGAAGGGAAATTACCCGATAGAGAAATCATAGTCAATAAAATAGAATAATCAATTTATAAATATACTCATTAATACGATTATGAAACAATATACAAAATCTTAAAATATAGATCCTTTAATGAAAAAGTAATAAATGAAGATTTACTCATTGCAATTTTAAGAAGGCTCTATCAGATAGAATTAAATTTAGAGTAACTAACTAATATCAACCAATATCTGACTGTTGAGTTATAATATTTAGATGCCTAATGGCTCAATTAAATAAATAAATCAGTTTTGCAATAATTATATCCAAATTAATAATTATTTGATCAAATAGATAATAATCTCGATGATTAAGAGGAAGAAATCATTTAGAAAAACACAGAAAACAACACAAAACGTGAAACAAAAACTGATATAAATTCTGAAGTCAAGAATGAGTTGAAAGAAGATGAGCTATTAAAATTAGTTAAAGATTTGGAGTTAAGAACAGAGCCTTTCAAAGTTACAGATATTGAAAAACTGTTCTTAAAGTTAATGGATTAATTGTCTAAAGCAGTCATTGTAAATGATCTGAATTTGATAGCATTATCTTTTTTCAAAGAATTAGATGTTTATATGATGTAATTCTTAAATCATCTAACACCAGATGAATAATTAATTTGCTTTAAATTTCATGCTAAATTCATTGAAACAATATACAATGAGTAATCACAAGATCCAAAATAATATAAGAAGTCTTGTCACAAGAAACTGGAATAAATGAATAACTCGTATTATGAAATAACTTTGCAATGTCTAAAAGAATTGAATTTTGAATAGACTTTAACATTTTTAGAAGCTGTTTCAGTTTTGGGAGTCAGCAAAAGAAAAGTTTGTTAAAAAATTATGAAAGTTGGATTTGAAGGATTGTAAAAATTAGATTAATGCAAATTGGAGAATCATAAAAAGAATTATGCTCTGTTTGCTTATTATAAACTATTGCAATTATTCATTACTTAAGAATAAGATATTTTGTATATATTAATAAATATAAACCATTAGGAAAATTGAAAAATAATTTTAAGAAATAAAAATCAATACTTTAGATCTTTAGACTGAATATTCTCACCTTGGCGTTAAAAGATAAAAAATTTAAGAATTGGAAAACCAAAATAAGAATAATGAAGATGAATTATTAATTTGATCAGATTTACTGTGTATAAAATTCATTCAAACAATCTTTTCTTCTTTCTCATCTTATTTTATTAGATTTTTATTTGAATGAAAGGTTAGATATTTTAAGTTTACTACAATAATAATAATTTAATGAAATATACTTTACAAAAAAATCTAACCATTATAAGTAGATTATGATTTAGAATAATTGAGAAACTTCAACACTGTTTGTAGAATGTAAGATTATCACATAGTATTAGGATTATAAATAATTTAAAGGACTTTAAATTTTATTAATTACAACAATATATTTATATTTATCATCATTAAGATAGTATTTTCTCCAGTTCTTCTAGATCATCGAACTCATGTTTTGTTGGAAGTTTGTCTAACCATCCATCTTAATATTTAGAGGATTATGTTTCAAGCTTATTGTGATTATTATTTAAATTATTTAACTCGAAAATTGAATGATTATCATTATCATCAAATAGAATCATTGACTCTTCATAGAATTTTTATTTTTTTGGTTGATCCAATTAATCCAAAAATTGTTCTAATTCATCAACGAAATCTTAATCATTTACAATAGTTTTTTTAATTGGAGGTCCTGGATTATATTTATTCATCAAGTCTAATAGATTTATGTAATTGATGCTCTCATTAATTCTACTTTGATTAACCAAAGAATGCAATAGCATATTGTTCTGGGTTTCATCTGAATCTCCCATAATATAATATAAAAATAATTATATAAGTAAAGATGGAAAATCTATTCTAAACACTCTCACTTTAATAATTAATATGCAATCAATAATCTCTTATTAGATCATATTTGTGGTCTAATTTAAATATTTATATACATGTTTAAGAAGAAAATTTCAATGCTAAAATCTTGTTTAAATATTTCAAAATTAACATTCCGAAGTCTTTTTTATTTTTCAATGGATCAACCATAAGTTCCACCAACTGGAGAGCAAGCCATAAGCAAATCCCAAATGAAATATCTTAAAAAGTAAGAGGAGAAGGAAAAGAAGAAAGCTGAAAAGGATGCCTAAAAAGTTTAATAACCAGAGATAGCCGCAGATAAGGAAAAAAAACCAAGTATTGAAATTGTTATGAATATTAGAAAAAGCCGAATAACAAGTAGAAGAAGAAGTAGATCCTCGTCTCTTCCACGAGAATAGATCTAAATAGGTGCTAGCACTTAAACAAACTAAAGACCCGTATTTATTTTTATTTAAAATAGAAACCCATACCCTCATAAATTCCAAGTGGATTTAACCATAGCCCAATTCAGAGATAAGTATGGTCCTCTTTGCACAGAAAAAGGCAAAATTCATGAGGATTTTGTCTCAGTGGCAGGAAGAGTGGTCACCATTAGATCTATGGGAGCAAAACTAATGTTTTATGATTTATAAGGAGAGGGAACTAAAATTTAGGTGATGGCTAATGAAGCCAATCACAAAGACTAAGAGTATAGCTTTGAAAAAGTTCATACCTTGATTAAAAGAGGTGACATCATTGGAGTAAAGGGAAATCCTTGTTTAACCAAGGCAGGAGAATTAAGTATTGCACCAGGCTTCATTCAATTGTTATCACCAACGTTACATATGTTACCTACAGCTCACTTTGGATTCAAAGATCATGAGTAAAGATATAGAATGAGATATTTGGATTTGATTATGAACAAGAAAGTCAGAGACATATTCCTCACAAGATCATCAGTGATCAAATAATTAAGAGAATATTTTGATGGTAAAGGATTTATTGAGGTCGAAACTCCATCCTTAAATGTTATTCAAGGAGGAGCCACTGCCAAACCATTTAAGACATTCCATAATTCATTACATAGAGATTTATTCATGAGAGTTGCTCCAGAATTATATCTTAAGATGTTAATCGTAGGGGGATTAGATAGAGTCTATGAAATAGGTAAAAACTTCAGAAATGAGGGAATTGATTAAACTCATAATCCTGAATTCACAGCTATGGAATTCTATTGGGCCTACTGCGATTATAATGATCTCATGACAGTCACTGAAGAAGTCTTGTCATCAATTGTGTTAAAGTTGAAGGGAAGTTATAAATTCAAAATTCATAAGGGTGATAATCCTACTATCACACTTACTGAACATGACATTAAATCTGGTCATTTTAAAGAAAACGAAGAGGACTTCATAGAACTTGATTTCACACCACCTTGGCCTAGAGTTTCAATGATGGCTGAATTGGAAAAAAAATTAGGTGAAAAATTGCCTGAAGTCTTGGAAAGTGAAGAAGCTAATGCCTTCTTTGTTGAATAAGCAAAGAAACACAAGGTTGAATGCTCTAATCCAAGAACAACTGCTAGATTAATTGATAAATTAGTTGGTCATTTCTTGGAAGTCAATTTCAGGAATCCCACATTCTTAATTGATCATCCTTAATTAATGAGTCCATTGAGTAAAGTTCACAGACAATATCCAGGCTTAACTGAAAGGTATTATTTAAAACAAATATAGATTTGAACTCTTTGTTAATTATCATGAATTGTGCAATGCCTATACAGAATTGAATGACCCATTTGTTTAAAAGGCATTATTCTAAAAGTAAGTAGAAGATGCTGCCAAAGGTGATGATGAAGCTATGGGATATGATGAAGGGTTCATTAAATCTTTAGAACACGCTTTACCACCGTAAAAATTATCAAATATTTAATCTTAGAACTGCAGGATGGGGTCTTGGTATCGATAGATTTGTGATGTTGTTAACTGATACACAAAACATCTAAGAAGTTCTTCTGTTTCCAGCAATGAAACCTGAAATGACTATAGAGGAAATGTAGAAAATTTAAAAAGAGAAGGAGGAATAAAAATAAAAATAATAACAATAATAATAATAATAATAATAGTAACAACAATGAAGGATATTAAATAAATAAAAATATATAAAGAGTCAAATATTTTTATCATTTCCATTTAAACCAATATTTCTTATTAGTTTTTTATTTTGAGTATTTTTGATATACAATTAATCTTTATATTATAATAAAACCTATCATAAGCTAACATTTGCGACTTTCTGTAAATTGATTTGTTAATTATATAATATTAACTAGAAAGTAAATTATAATTCAATTTGATTCTCTTAAACTTGAAAAGTTTAGTCCACCATCATAATTAACAATCTGAAGATGAAGAAATAAAACTTTTCCTATGACGAAAACAATTAAGAAGTGTGTTTATATATATGGTACTTAAGGAATTTTACATGCATATCTTTGCACATTTTTAAATCCAGAAAAAGATTTCAGAAATCTTATCACCATAAATTATTGAACTTACTTATTTGTCAGCTTTAAGCTTAGGGAATAACTTGCATCAAAGATTAAAAACTAATTTCCTCTATCTTATTATGATATAATAAAAATTTTTTGAATTATTTGAATTGTGTTTTCAAAGGACTTGCAATTTTGTTCTGAATATTCTTAAGAATTTCAAAACAATTGGAAGAATATGCCTCTTTATCCCAGCATCAATGAATGCATAATTCGAAATTCCTAAACAACTATGGATTTAATTAGAATAGCAGGAGTGATAATTCATATTCGTCTGAGAATCATCTAGAAAGAAGTTGGGAAGCATTGATAAAAAATGGATTTATAGAGTTAAGGCAGAAATTGAATGAGATAAAAATATGTGATATAAAGTGATGTTATTCCAAACGCTAATTATTCTAGAATTCTCTTACATAGAGCCAAGAATTAGTCATTTGATTATATCTAAAAGCAAATATCCAAAGAATGATTTTAGGCTTACAATTAATAACTGAAATAAATAGCATATATGACTGATTTTTTTTGCTCCTATTATTTATCAAATTCATGCTTGATTTGGATACTCTTTTTAAACAACAGCTTTGAATTCATCCCAACTTAATGAGCCATCCTTATCTTTATCTGCATATTCTACCATTTCTCTTAGTTCCTAATCTGTGTATCTCTCTGATACCAAATCATTTATTCTTTTGAAATCCTCGTAAGTAACCTTACTTTATCCAGAGGAATCAAATTCTTAATATAATTTCTCAAGCACTTATTCATCTTCAATTGTGCTATATGCTTATATTAATTATCAATACCCTGAAAATCCAAAAATGTTGAGAAATTCTTCAAAATCAATCAAACTTGATCCATCTTAATCAAGATCTTAAATCATATTTACAATCTCTTCGGCTGATTATTCCATTCCTAAAGCAATGATGGCATTCTTCATTTCATTTGGACTTTTATAATTATTTTCGCTTACGATATTGAGCCACTCTTATCATCATCAAAGATGTCAAAGCATTCCTTAATTTTTTAGACTTCTTCTTTGCTAAGTCCTGGTTTCACATACTTCGAAGGATCAAAACCACTTGCAGCTGGTTATTAAGATACTACTGGAGCAGGACCTTTTCCTTTTGTTGCAGCTGGAGCTTATTATACCTAACTTTTATTAGCTTATTATGTTGGCTGAGCTGCTGATTATTATTTTTATTGACTTCTACTCATTTATTTAAAATAATATTAATGATACACAAATTCATTTCTTAATTATATCACAATGTTCTTATTTTCCTTATTTTCTTAATACTAGCCTTTTACTACTTGTTTGACTTGCCTTAATCATTTATTTCTCTTTTCAATATTCCTCTATACTTACAACATTTTTCAACTAAAATCCAATAAATTAATTGAACAATTAAAATATCTCTGTCTCTTATCCAAAGAAAAGCCTCCCATGATTTTCTTTCTATCAATCTCTTATTTAAATTAAATAATTTTTTCTTCGAATTCTGGATGTGTTGAAATTCTATAAATCACTGAAATCTATATATGTTCTTTTTCCAACGAAATTTTTTATTATTTTTAGGAATCCTAATTTAGTTGAATTAAAGAAATAATTTGATTTTTTTGAACAAGAGCTTCCTTGTGAATATTACTCGAATTTAAAGTATTCCTCTTATGAATTCTATATTGTCTTATCAACTGATCTCTATGATCCTGATAAGAATAAAATTATAGATTAATCTTCTAATATTTTAGAAACATATATTCCAGAATAATTTACACTAACTGCATCAAAAGATTTACAAAGTTATTAAGTCAGCGTATTATATTATGATCGAATTGAATCTAATATATAGAACATAGTCAAATGATTCTTATACTGATAGTAATTTCTATAATTTTAGGAGTTGAATATTATTGCACATTTATATTTTAATTATTAGTGTAAAAATATTAATCATGTTATGATTGTTGAAATCGTACACTAGGACATATTAACGAATAAATATTTAATAAATACATTGCTTAAACTTAAATAAAATACTTTGATTGATATACTCTAATATATGAGTTCATTTAAATTTATTAGAATAAGGACTGATTTTATTCATTGTGAAATAATCATTGGCATAATTGGTTTCTTTACACAATTTTCTTGGATAAGTAAATTTGGATGGAGAAAGACTATTAGAGTTCTAATGAAGGAAATAGATTAATATATACATTAGAATGCCATCCAAGTTCTTAATTAGATGTTTAAGGAAATTAGTATTTCTATCGAGGAGTCCTATTCATAGTATTCAATTTATCAACGATTTCCTCTTAAATATTGAGATTTCATTACTTTCTAAAGGTGGAGAATCATCAGTGATTTAATTAACATCAAATGCTGGTTTAGTAATGGCTCCTGTCTTTTCAAGATGTTTTTATAACATAATACTATTGTTAGGTTTCTCTTGGATTATGTATACTAAATTTAGGATTAACAGTTGCAAATACATTTATGAGGATTGATAGTAAAATGTTCATAAACTTTTAAGTGTTAATTTTCCTTTCTTACTGCTTCTTACCAGATTTTCATTTCCTAAATTATAGAAATTTCATACAGCAACTGGACTTCGATCTCTTTTATTATTTTTTGCATCTTACTTTGCCATTTTATATTTTAATTATAAAAAGATTAGTAAGAGAATTTATATTATATTATATTATAAAATTTAGTTATGAGTCTTAACAAAAGGGCTATATTCAATTTAATCTACCAATACAATTCTTAGCTCCACAGCTACACTATATTTTTTACGATTCTGCTTCTATTTCAAATTAATAATCATAAGTCAACTCTTCCCCTACTGAGATGTCCTTTCTAGCATAAATCAAAATCTTTTCATCTAATAATAAAGAATCACAATTTGGCTATAATTAGACTATTAATTACTTGACAACTATGATTTAGAAATCTAGCCTCTGACCCTTTAAAAGTTGCATCTATTACCTTGGTTTTGGATGCCCTAAACATATAGCAGTCTCCAAATCCTTGTTCATTATATGTCAACTCTCTATAATCTGCTAGTGCATTTCTAATAACTTCCCCTGTGTATTCAATTACAAAGTCTCCTTTTTTAAAACTAAAAATATTGCTTAAAATACTCCTATTTAGTGAAAAGTCCATATTTATGGATATGTGAAGGTGCAACATAAAGTTTATTCTTTTGTTTCTAATTTTTGGATTCTTATTTCAATTTTTTTTCTAATTCTTCTTGTTTATCAATTTACTTCAATTCTTCTGTTAATAAGTTCGCTTCCTCTAAAATATCATTAGGATTAAAAGTAACTATTTTTTATTAAGGGTCTTTTCTTGATAATTTACTATTTTGATGTTTAATAGTTGGAAGGTTGTCATATAGCATGGGATGATTGTCATACACAGTATTTAGATTGACTTAAGTCTCAGTTATAACTCTACTGATTTACTATAAGATTTGCAATCTTTCATCCAAAGGAAGATCTTCGACAAAAGATTATTAATAAAACCATTCTTTAAATTGACTGAACTGGCAAACAGAATTGCACATTTTTTATATATTTTTAGTATCTAATAATTATTATCGAACTTATTGTGTGTATAACAAAAAGAATTCTCCTAAATTCTCTGCGAACTCTATTCCTTTAATATTATTATCTTTAGAAGAGTCCACCAATTCTTATAAGTTTTGAACTTTGTATTCTTTATAGGGATATTTATCCAAGACCAATTTTGTAACTGAAAATTGCAATTATCTATTTTTATCACTTTTTTCACATTCTCTTAGAAATTGTTACTTACTTACTTATGCATATCTAATTTTGAATTCTTTCATGTTCAATGAAATATAGAGAATTTTATCCCTCAATGTTAATAAGTTCAATTCTTCAAATTATCCTCTCTATTCAGATGGCTTCAATGCAATCAAGATTGTATTAGAATATCTATGAAGAACTGTTTAAGATTTTTTATCCTATTTTTATTATACTACTATTTTTCTCCAAATCATAAAACTTGTAACACACTATTCCTAATTATCAAAACAAGATTAACAATATACTCTTTTGCTATGAGTAAATGCCCATTACTCTTTATAACCACAATAAAAATGACATCTTTTTCTGCACTTTCCACAAATGATTGAAGATCCTACTTATTGACAATATTCACATTTAAAATTATTATTTTTAAGTAATGCCTTAACTGTTAATTCACATTCTTTGCTATCTTCATTCCAGAGTACACAATTAGTATGAACCCAACGCACATCATCAACATACAATAACCTACCACTTACACTTCTATTCCCAAACTTTTTACACAATTAACATTACATTTTATCTAATGGACTTTCTATTAATTGATCCTCATTTTATTATGGAAATCTTTAGATAAACTCATTTTATATAACAAATTGCTCCCTTGGCTATTATTTCATTTCTTATTCTTATTTAATTAATATCTATTCTGCCTCTTAAATTTTGTTATCATGTAATTATTTCATTTCTTGAATACATTATTTTATTAATTGATTATTTTATTAATATGATTTTAATTTTTCTGTTATCTAGGTTTCAGAATATTTATCATTCAATTATTTGATATTTTATTTCAAATAGTTTGTTGCTATCTTTAACCACCCTTTTTAAACTAAAATATGGTCTTTAGCTTATTGTTTTTTCAATTCTACCATTTGCGAAGTATATTATTTTTTTATTGATCTTACAATAGAATTTGGAATTGGAAGGAATAGAAGTTATTATTTTTAATTCTATAAGAATTTCATTCTAAATAATTTCGAATTTTAGTACTAATCCAAAATGTTTAAGTAGTTTGTGTAATATTAGTTATCCAAATATTAAAATGAGTTCTCATACTTTAAATGTTATACAAAACAACACTATAAATCGGTAATCAGATTAATTGTGTCTAATGCAAACCTATTTACTTTACTGAATTCGAATAAAGAGTTGCTTTGACCAATAATTGTTTATAAGGAAAAGATGACAAATTGTTTTTTTTATTTAAAGAAGTGAATTAAAAGCTATCGTTCATGAAAATCATTTTCAAGTTAAAAATGAACAAATTCTTATCGTTTTTATTGTGTAACAGTAAACAATTGCTTTGGAGCTTCAAACCAATTATATCGTGCACACCAATATTACGTCAATTTACCAATGTATTCATCACTGATATCTTTGTTATTTGTTAAATCCTCTTTTAAATTCTCAATGTTTTGTTAATATTAAAAAAAGTTAGATACAAGAGACTCCAATTACTCTAAATTTTCCATAATGAAAGTTTGCTAAACTTAATTTAATTGAGGTGCCCATTCCAAAAAATTAGAAACAACAGGAACCACTTTTTTTAATGATTTAGCTTTTATTGTTTATCTTATGCTTTATTCTTTAAGCTTTTCAATTTTGAATAATAATTGAGAAATGTCCTAAGAACAATCCGAACATATTCCTTCATTATTAATAGTTTTTTTATTCTTCAACAAACAAGTAACATGATAGAATTGTTTACATTTTACACATTGTTTATATTATTTGATAGGCTTCGTTTCCTTATTTAAATATATTTTATCAACATTGCTTTCTAAAGTTATAATTTTTTATATAATTACATTTTACGTCTTAGAAATATAATCTATACAATGATCCAAGTTTCTAATTTTCTATTTCGATGCAGTCATCAGATTATTAATCATTATAGATTTATATGTACTCTTCACAAAATTAACAAAATCTAAAACCAGCTACATCTAGACCACAACTTAAACAATATTGAAAATTTTAGAAGTATTCAATGCTTATATGCACCTAGGATAATATTATTAAATACTGTATTCGAAGTTGTTGTTGGTTTGATTCTTGATAATAGTTCTGGACCAAATAATTTAGTAGTTTGGCAATTGGCACATTTGAAACAATTCTTGCATTTCCAATAATCTAGCCCATCTGTAGGAGCAATGAAATTATTGAAGACACATTAGAAGTGATAAAATTCATTACAATTGCAACAAAATAAATCATTTTTTTACCCATACTTATCACATTCTTTACATCTAACACAATTATTACATGTCCAATTTTATAAGGATTTCATGACTCTCTATTAGTGATATTGAGAGTTATTAATTTGACAGTAGAAGTGATATGTTTTATTGCAGTTTTCACACATCAATAAATTATCAAGAAATTCATATCCTCCACATGAACAACAAATATATTCAAAAATCAATTCAGGACATCCTACTTTCATTGTGAAAGGTTGAACTAAGTTAACAGTACTTAAATCTTTAATTAACAGATCTTTTACTATATATTGCAACTAAGGAGAATCAATCGAATCATCAGTTAATTAAGGTGGTTCCAGTTTAAATAAATAATCCAAATATGGGTGTCTCTATGTAATTTTATTAATATCAATCTTGATTTTTATTTCTCTTTGAACTTATTACTTCAAGAAATCTATCATATTTAATTTAATTAATGGTTCATCTTCATTTTCAAAATCTAAATTTAAATTAATAGTCTTTTCCCATTAAATTAGACTACTTTTAACGTTTCTAGGAGGTACTGGTTATGTTATACTCAATAATTATGGTTCCCATAATGGGATATAATTATTTATCCCTTCTAGGTTTACTAAGTCTTTTCCACCAAACCCATAATTCAAAAATTATCTAAATGCCAATTGGACATTTTCTGAAGTAAACAAATGAATATTGTTTTTATATGTTAATAGATCTTCGTCTGTTAATTTTAAGTAACCTCTGAATTATTGAAACAGAATATCATATAAAATCTTTAGTATACTCCCTTTACGATGTGCTTTAGGATTTGATAAATTGAATTCCAAAAAATTAGAGCACATTAATTTAATATCTGCATAGAGTTTAAGTTCAGGATTATCTAAATACTCACCCTTTTTGTTCTTCTTATGAATAGTGTCAAAATCAATAGGGTTTTTGATTACTTCTCTATATTTAACAGAACTTGGATCATATTGCCATAATAACTTTTCATCATCAAAATATGTTAAATATCGGATAAGCTCAGAAAAGATTACCTTCCTTAATTCTATCCGGCATTTGGGACATCTATAAGAGTCGAAAATAGGTTTACGATCTTTAAATAGGGGTTCACACTTCTTATGAACATATAAACCGCAATCTCGACACTCGCATATATTTTCTGCTTTATCCCTTTCAACCATTGACTTTTTGCATAAAATACAATATTTATTGTTCTCGTATTTAATTAGACATTCATTGCATAAAGAATTTTCAACAACTTAACTAGCACATGATGAACATGAGTTTGGTAATTTTTTATGGTGAGATTTCTTTTATTTTTAAGATTTCTTCTATTATTCATTATGACTAGATAGCTATATCATGCCACTCTGATGATGGGAGCTACTCAATCCTTATTCCCCAGAACTTTACTCATTAAATGACTAACTAATATTTTGATTATCAGTATATGTTTATTATTTCTATACTGCTCCTCTTGTTATTTTTACTCCTTTTTCAAGCAACTTAAAATACTCCCCATTACTTATATTTAACTATTGACTCATAATTAATTATAAAATATATATTTATCAAACTAATATATATTCATATTTACTATTTTTTAATGCATATAACACATAATTTATCCATTTCATATAAAGTGTAAATAGAATATTCATAATTTTCAGATTGCTATTCTAAAATTGCTATGCATTTTATAAAGAATAATATTCTATTAAATGCCAATATTAATTTGAATGAAAATACCCAGAAATTAAATAAGTAAGATGACTATTAAATCTATCTACTATTGTATCATATTTGTACTGCTTTTGTATTCTAAAAACTTCAGCATAATCTTTACGAATACTTGGGATAAATATGAAAAGTTAAAAATAATATACTTAAATTAAAAAATAAAATAATGACTATAATTATTTAATAGAATATATCATTTTATTTTTCATCATTTATGCTTATTTCTTTTTGGAATGTGTTCTGATGATGAAATATTTTCACTAGAACTTTCACTTGGTGATTCATTTTATTAATATTTGATATGTTTTTTTGGCTAAAAATTTGAAGGATTTTTAATACCTATTATGACTTTTATTCTTCATCATCTATGATTAAGAAATGCTAACTAATCAATTCTTTAAGAGCACTCATTGTTATTCTAACTTTTTCATCTTTTTTCTTTTAAGTCTTATGTTCTACATGAACCACAGAACTATCTGATTCTTATTGGTTGACTGTTCTCTTTTTTTAAGTTTATAATGTCTTTGGTTTGACAGGCTTTTTCTAAACAGATTTTTTCAATAGATTAGAGGTAACACAAGCCAAGACACCGTCAGTTGACATTACTCTCTTCCTTTTACCATCAATAATGTTATCTTAAGAAATCTTTTACATTTAATTAAATTAAATAATAATCTCTAGACATAATGAAGATACTATTTACACATCTGCTTAATTTGATTTTATTTTTGTATATCAATATTGATAAATAATTATAAAATATGATTGAAGACACTCATTATCATTCACAACAAGCCAATAAAAATTAAAACTAATTCGATAGAAGAAGAAGTAGTGTATAGTTTTAAGATGCTTCAACAATGATCAACCCAAGCAGCACTCATCTCTCTAGAAATGCATCTTACTCTATGCCACATGAAAGTCAAATAAATCCTCAGAGTAAGTTAAGTGACATATTATCATAATAGTACTTGCTAAGATAGCAGCTATGGTGCCCTACAATTCAGATAATAAAAAGAAATTTTTTAGAGTGGATCATGTTCTCAAACCAAAAAAGAAACCAGATCCTCTTGAAGAAGAACAAGAGAATGAAATAAGAAAGAATTTGTAATTGTCACCAGAGATAGTCAAGGAGGATTTATTAAACAAACCATTAGTAGGACCTTAAGCAGTCTAGTTATATTATCAACATTATAAAAAAGTGAATAAGGTTCGTTAATAAAATGACTTCTTCAAAATTTCAGGTAAGACTTAAATTTATAAATAGATAGTGTATAAACTGCAATGCTTCGTTAAGCGGAATAAATTGATGTATTACCTTGTAAGATAGGAGTTGTCAAAACTAAAGGCAGTGAATAATCTCTCTAGATAAGTCATTAGAAGTACGGAGATAGATATGCATCCATGTTAAGTGAGGGTTTGAAAGTCAACCCTAATATCAAGGATTTTTATATGGCAAATAATAGAATTCAAAGTTCAGGAGCAACATAACTATTGAATTAAATTGGAAAAGTGGCCAAGATTCTCGATCTTTAATAAAATAATATCGGAAAAATAGGAACAGATTCGATTTGTTAGCAAATATAATCAAGAGAAAACAAGTAAGAAAGAGAATTACAATTTTAGATTAGAAGTGTTAAATTTAGAAGACAATAAATTAGGTGACAGAAATGTAACTCGTATTTTGAAGGCATTGTTGAATAGCAATAATAAGTTGAAATCATTAAATGTTAGTAAGAATTATTTGACAAACGATATTGCAGAAATATTGAAGGATAGTATAATTCAATTAGATAATATGGAGTAATTATATATACACTGGAATTAAATAAAAGGATGGGGCGGATAGAAGATATTTGAAGCCTTAATAGAGAATAAGACTTTATTGGTATTTGATGCTGGTTGGAATAGCTTTGGAATCTAAGAGAGAAAAGATGTTTAATGTATATAGAAGATATGTGATTTTTTGATAACTAATAAGACTGTGTTGCATTTTGATTTATCATCCAATTAATTTAGTCTAAATGATTGTAAACTAATAGCAAATGCATTAAAACAGAACAGAACAATATATGGATTTCACTTTGTGAATAATTGGGGAGTTATTGATGCAAGAGGATTCTTATAGATATAGGAGAACGAATTATAGCGAGTCTTAGGAGAAACACCTAGAATCAAAGGATTATAGTAGACTACAACAATCAGATAGGAGAATGTGTGTTGGATATGTGAAGGTTGGTAAGAGTAGAAGTTTACTTGGACGCCTGAGATATCAGGAGAAGGTGAAGCAGATCCTTTATTTATTCATTTGGATTTTGAGGCTTATAAATAAGTGTATATTCCAAAGACTCAGGATCAAATATCTTTAACTTTAATGATCCCTACAAATACTACCTAATATATTTACACAATGAATGATACATAAGTGATTGCTATTGATTAACCAAATGTTCCTTATGGACACTAATTGAAAATTAATTACAATAATAACTATATAAGTGTTTTGATGGATAATGTAAATTAAGTAAAGAAGGACAAACATTTTTCAATTTTTGATTAAGTTGAATTCAAACCATTAATTAGTGTGTTACCTAGAACACCAGATCCAGTTTATATTCCTCCTAAGTTGAAAAAGTAAAAGAGAATTTGGACATTCCCCATTTCTATTTGGGCTAAGGATTTTAAATTTGAGAATGAGGATTTATTGAAGAAATGCTTTGAAAAAGATTTCTCTTGTAGCAAGATATCCAAAATAGTAAAGAATCCTGATGAATTGTTAGAAATTAAGAATGTTTTATGGGCACATTATAAATTGATTAAGGAAACTTATAAGTAATATAGTTCTAACAGTCCAACGGGGGATGTGTGGTCAATATCTTCTAATGTTATCACAGAGTTTGCTTAATAAACTGAATTGATAGACGGGAAGTCTTTAAAATTGTCTGATTTAGATCTGAAATTTATAGCAACCTGTGCAGCTTCAATTGAATACAAGGGAAATTTTAGGAATCCTGAGAGAGCACTTTGTAGATTCTAATTTATGGAGTTTTTGGTTAGGGTTTCTGAGGATAAGTATTTGAAAACGAAAGTTGCTAATAATATGTTGGAGGCAACGAAAATGATCTTAGAATAATGTAAAACATACATGTCCACATTCGATGCTTAGAAGTGGAGGGATGAGAGATATTTTAATGAACAATGTGATGATTGTTTGAAATTCTTCAGGCCTTTACTCAATCACATATATAATAAATATAGTGTGAAGAAGGTGAAACCAGGTTAGAAGAAGTTTATGTGTTTGGATGAAATACATGAAATATGTTCGTAAGCCAGTCTTTACGACGAAAGGTTCGTTGAGAGAGATGCTGATAATGTAAAATCATTAATATAATGTAGGCTTTCAATTTATCCATGATGCTCCAAGTTGATGAATTAGAAAGTGATAGGATATTTTAGATGACTTTCATTGAATTCTTAGAAGCAATTGCAAGAATTGCTGATAAGGTATCTATGCCAGGAATTGATGCAGTAGATTTGACTTGGGATCAAAGGGCTGTATAACCACTTCATTTGAAACTAGAGAAGATGATAATACATTTAGCTAATACTTGTTCATCTGAAGAATTTAAGTTACAGTATGGAAATATTAACAAATCAATGTTTGCAATAGTTGAGGAAGATGATTGATAGTCAATTAATTTTATCTTTTTATATTGTAATATTTTTATAATATCAAAATCTCTATACCAATCATCATATTGGATGGCCAATCTTTTACAAATATCTGAAGTAATAAACAAAAATCATGATTGGTTATCCAATAAAACAAAAGGTCATCCAAAACATTAGATTACCCAATTAAGAGTCTTATAATTTGAGTATCTTATAAAAATAATATTGAATATTTACCTTCTCTAATTTCTTCTATAATAGCATGAATGGTGCCTATGCAAACATTCCTACAAATGCCCAAGCTTCCACTACACCTATAGATGCGCTAACAATGTATTCATGACCTAGAGCTGATACTAAGAACACTATCATATTTGAAATTGTTCTGTTCATACCTGATTTAAGACATGGAAAATAGACATGCCCTATATTAATCATAATAATTTACTCACTAACCAATGATGGACAGGCAAATTCCATAATCTCCAATATTCTTCGAGATTCTTGCAGTTCCACCACTCCTTGTAAAACTCTCTATCTGCGAATCTCAAGAGTTCTGCTGTGATATTCAAAAAGCATTAGAATTATCCATAAAATAGTGCCATCCACATATAAGTATTGGGTATTGCTAACTTTAATAATCTATCGGCAAGCACCATCAAAGATGGAGACTTTGATAGCATTTTGTAGGTATTCTCAACAAGTGGTTCTGTGTATTGGAACCAAATGATGACCAAAAAAAGAATAACGAAGATGTATTCGATTATTCTCTTGATCAACCAAACCTTTCTAATAGATTATGTTCTCAAATATGACAATTAGAAACACAATGTTGGAGCAGCTAAGAAGTATAAGAAATGTTTAAAGTCCAATATTAGCGATTGATCTTGTGAGTATTTCTCTAAGATTTTTAGGTTTTCAGCATTGACCTCATATTCAGCGAAGAAATTGTCAAGAGGCACTTTCTTATTTTTCACTTACTTAATTCTTTAGATATAGAAGTAAGTATTTCTCATAAAGTGAGCATAACTTATCAATTTCATGAAGGCTATGAATTAAACACCCAGTAAAATCAAATTCAATCCTGGATGTGACCCTTAAATTAAATAGCAAGGTATTATTATGGTTAATACAATATTGGTAATATTAAAAGTTCTAATTATTCCAGTACTCAGATTTCTTTTAAATTGCAAATATTGAATTCCAAACCCAATAAACAAATTAATCATTAAGATTAACAGAGCTTACATAATAGGATTGCCATTGATATTCATCATCTCAAACTTCCAGAACACATTCGTAATTAACAGACCATACTTTTGAAAATTCTCGAATATTAATCTAATATGATTAGCTATTAATATCAAAATTCCCAGATTTAATATTCCTCGAAAATTCTACTCTGGCGATTCTGTACTTAATAACGATGTCCTCTCTTTTCTCACTGGCTGATATGCCAAAGGACCCATATACTATGTGTATGTTTTCCTTGAATTAATCTACATATCATGAAATTGAATTACATTATGTTGTAAATAGGACATTGTTTTCTTGTCTGCAAATTTAATTGCTATAATTTTAGATTGATCCTTCTAATTCACAAATGTAATCGTTCTAATTTATAATCATTCTTACAATTAGGCTTCATCGATGATTGGCTAACATTTATCAAAAAGAAGAGAAAAGAGAATTAGATTCTCATTTTCTAAGACGCATAGTTTGTGTTATTCACATCTGAGGATGAAGGGCTTAAAGTCATCTCTAACTAACTATGTCAATTTGTCAGATGCATTAGAAATAAGCAATTCAGGATTATAGACCTTAATCATTATTATATTATTGATTCAATTAATTTCTCTCTCAATTATTGGAATATCTCCAAGGTTAATTCACTTGAATGGTTGTAATTCAAAAACACCTGTAGACTCAATTTCTTAGCCAACGAACGAGCAAGAGTGTGCACCATCTCAGTTTAATTGTCAATGATATCTATCACAGTGGGAAGTTGATCATAGGGTGTGGCTATTGCAAGCACTAGAGACTCTACTCCTAGCATATCTTGATCAAAAAGATTGATGAGGACTTGATCAGGCATTCTTGTAGTTTGAGTAAACCATTTAATCTCATTGATTTGGAAAGCATTTTATTTTACAATCATTTTATTATATATAAGGTTCACACATGTATTTATTGATTAATTTACTACTTGATTTAAGATTAATTGCTTATACCATAATTATTTCTTATTCCCTATATTATTGATATATTTAAATTTAATTCAATTTGAGAATCATAATCCCCAAAAAGGATCAAGTTTATTCAATGACAAGATTAACAGATTTTGATAAATAATTTTGATATTAAAAATAGATTTAACAAATACAATAAAAACGACATGTCAATCTCAAAGCGAAGTGAAAGACTAAGTTAAAAACAGGTTGAGAATAAGTGGATTGATAAAGTAGTCTGTAAAAACTATAAAATCATAAGTCCATTAAATTCAGGTTTAAATTCTTATTCATTTAGTAGGCTCTTTCGGTCATATCTATTTGGCAATCCATCAAATCAAATAAGAATATTATGCGGTCAAGATATTATCTACAGGGAAAAATCCAATTCTTGCTCAATCTGTTAAGAATGAAGTTGATGTACTTTATAAATTAAATGGGCGTATTGGATTTCCTCGCTTATATTATTTTATATAGAATGGAACTGAAAACTTCATTGTGCAAACTTTACTAGGATAGAACTTGTACTAATTACTAATGCAAACTCCAAAAAAAGTATTCTCCTTAAAAACTGTTCTGATGTTCCTAGATTAGGCAATAGAAAGATTACAATATTTGCATATGAATGATTACATACATAGAGATATCAAGCCAGAAAATTTCATGACAGGTTTAAAGGAAGATGAGATTTACCTTATTGACTTTGGATTTACATCAAAATATAGAGAATAAGGCTAGCACATAGAGAGATAGAAGAATGAAAATATCATTGGAACTCCTAGGTATTTAAATGATTAAATTTGATAAGCCTAGATTTTGCCCAATCTGTTCTCATTTGAGTTTGTCTTAAAACAGAGCTAGCGATTTAGAAAGTTTAGGATACTTAGCCGTTTACTTTTTGAAAGGATCATTACCATGGATGCACATACATGCTGAAACCCCAGAGGAGAAAATAAAATTGATTGGACAGAAAAAGATGAATACATCAATTGAAGAACTATGGTATTTACTAATATAATACTAATAGTTTTGGATTGCCCAAAACATTTGAAGATTATTTTAAATATATCTAAAATATCTCATTTGATGGAGATCCAAATTATGATTACATTTAATAATCTTTCAAGAAATTGTATTAAACATTAGGATATCCATTTGATCAAAAGTTTGATTGGACCAAAGAGGAAATCAGAAATTCTCAAGATAATGAAATAAATACAAAATAATAATAGTTTTTGGAAGTTGGAAGGAAATCATTTACAGCAGATGTTAATATTGAAGAAATACCATCACAAATTTAAAAAAAGTAATATCTACCATTTTATCGATAGAAAAATAGAGAGAATCCATCATCTCAAAATTTAAGAAGATTTATTTTTGACTACTGACTTACAACAGGATGAAATCTAAGAATTTGAACCAGGACTTACATTGTTCGAGAGAATGCAATAGATAAATAAACAAAATTTAAAGAAATAAAAATGAATAAAAATAATATATTCTGTTATGAGATAAAATATTTCCTTTCAACCATAAACAGATGACAAAAATGTTTTTCAATCGAACTCTTCCAATATATATGGTACAGGCAGATTTGGAGATATAAGACCAAAAAACATTACATTTTAAGGTAATGACAGTTAACATAACATGGTTTTTGATCCCAATAAAGTTTAATCATCTCAACATATGACATTCTATAAATAAAATGATAGTAATAGATAATCAGGGGCTAAAGTTGGATCGTAAATAGATTCACAACAAAAAGGATTTGCATTTTCATAAAGTCCAAATCCATTTTTATAACAATCAGAACCATAAGAAAAATAATAATTTAGTAGTTAAGGATCTGATAAAAAGAAGGGAGCCTCAGATAAATATTTTAAAAATGGAAATCATTAATAATAGTTTTATAATAAAAATGCATAGCAACCCAATTTTGAAGAGAGAATTTGTGAATAACATGGAAATGCTGCCAAGTTTATTTGTACAACTGTAGGTTGTTTGGTTGGAGGCTTATGTGAGGAATGTTAACATTAATGTCCTAATATAACTGATATTGAAGACTATTTTAGAGTTTTAGAGTTGAAATTAGCAAATCAATAATTAGATGTGATATAAAATGAGAAATTTAAATCTCTCTCTTCAATTAGAGATTATTTTAATTAAATTCGACAGGATATAATCAATCAAATAGATGAATTAGAAATCAAATTTATAGCAAAAGTAATTAATGAGACTAGTTTTAATATTGAATTGCCACATCAATTTGTTTAAGAGTTGTTTGAAACCAATTTAATAGATCTTACTAGATAGACTTCATAATTATCAAAACTCATATACAACGACTTTTTGAAGGTTTCAGAATTCAGCAAAGTCTTTGTATCTGATTAAAGTAGATTCTAAAAAAAACTATAAAAGAATATCTAATTATTAAATTAGCTTTTTAGTAATTTTATTTATTGTTGTGAATAATAGGTTTATAATTTTATTGATATTTTAGCTATTAAACTGTGTTGTCGATCATTCAGAATTAAATCTTTAATTGATTGATTAGTAATCATAGTTTCACTAAAGTAAAACTTTCGAGAATTAAATGAAGAACTTGAAATCCTACAAAACAATATAAAATAAATCTAAAAACATTTCTGACATCTGCTTAATTTCAAATTCAATGTTAGCCTCAGCAGAAGAAAATGGAGAAATAACCCTCTGGAAATTACCTTACTTTGTTTAAATACATAAATTTCAGCATGGTGTCGAGTGTATATCATTGGCTGCAATCAAGGATAATTAAAATACACAGTTTCTTCTGAGCGCGTATAAATTCAATTTTAAATTAGAGGCAAAGACAGAGATGAATACTAAATTTATTTATGGAATGTAGATCTAAGATCTAGAGTAGGTGATGTGATTGGCCATTCTAAACAATTAAGAAAGATTGTACCGTTGGCTTATTCACAAATAGCCTGGTGTTAGGATGATTCAAAAATAAGAGTCTGGAAATTAAATGAAAAAGAGCTAGCACATGAACTCAATGTCCATTCAGCCTGGATCAATGATTTATGTAAAGTATCAAGAACCTAAATTGCTTCTTGCAGTAGAGATTACACAGTGGCAGTCATTGATTATCTAACTGGAAAGACTAAATTTATTATCAAAGATGTCACCTATGTGAATTGTGTTACATCAATCAATAGTGAATTGTTTGCTTTTGCTAATTATAATGGATAAGTAAAAATTTATTAAGTTGAACAACCATAACTTATACAATAAATCTAAGTATCGATGAATTGGATTGAAACTAATAGCATTTGGTACTTATGTAGAATCAGCAACGATATTCTAGCAGTATAATAGGCGAATGGAGAAACAAGCATAATTGCCCTTGATTAGAGGAAAGAAAAAATTATCAAAACTATTTAATAAACAAAGAACACAAAATAGAATGCCCAAACTATGATGTTCGTTAACAACTTCAAATTTCTTATAATACCTCAACAAGGAGAAATGTAAGTTTTCCAATGATTATGTATATTTCATTTTAAAATCTGAATCAATTCTTCAATGTCTGTTGGACTCAATATTATTGGGATATCTAAACATTCTACATCATCAGTTATGGTTATGACCTGATTTTCAAAATGGCTCTCTCCAAAGAAGGAAACTTCAATGCCATCATCCATTTCTATTGATTTAATTTTAAAATTCTAGAGCTTATCTGTTATCTCGGCATGACTACCACATAACTCAATGCTATCTCCGCTGAAATAACATTCAGAATACAAATTAACACACTTTGAGTTTTTATCATCATTATCATCCTGTAAATTCTAATCGTTATTATTATTCTAATCTGCATTACCATTACTGCCATCATTATCATTTTGATTATTCTATGATCCATCATCATTTCCATTATCATTACCTTATGAATTATCTGATCCATTATCAGAACCATCTCCTTTATTTGAATTAATTCCATCTCCATCTTTTCCTGTGCCATCTCCATCTACTCCTGTGCCATCAACATCTCCTCCTGTGCTATCTCCATCTCCACCATTACCATCTCCTTTTCCATTTGAACCATCTCCACCTTATCCATCTCCTTCACCATTTGAACCATCTCCACCTTAGCCATCTCCACCTTAGCCATCTCCTTTTCCATCTCCGCTTTAGCCATCTCCTTTTCCATCTCCATCTGTACCATTCTTATTTCCTGCATTTGATCCATCTCCATTTCCATTATCCCCTTTACCATTATCAGAACCATCTCCTTTACCATCATTTGCTCCATCTGTTTTTCCATTTCCCCCATTAGATGTTCCTTATTAATTGTCATCACCATTATTATCATTCAGTCCGTCTCCTGCCTTGTTACTATTTTATCCATCTGTTCCTAATCCATCATTATCCGCACCTGTTCCTGATTCATTATCTCCCTTTCCTTTACCTTTTTCCTAATCTCTTAATTAATCATTATTATTTAATTCTGATCCATTCTATTATAATCCAGAATCATCTAGATCTTCAATTTTCTTATTAAAATCATCTCCTTTTTATTGTTAATGATCCTTTTATGAAGATTATTTTAATTTCTCATTACTATCTTTATCCTTTAAGCTTCCTCTTGATTATCCAGCTTTGCCACTTTATTAAGGTTTTTTTTGAGATTATTTTGATCCTGATTTTGTTGATTTTTTTTTGTTTGCACTTTTAGGTTTGCATTACTTATATTTAGGAGGTTATTTTGATTCTATCAATTCAATGAATTCAGTGATGAAGTTGAATAAATTCTAAGCATCTCTAAGATCTGTTTCTGTTCCATAAATAATATATATAAGAAATTACTCTTATTCTATGTTTGAGAATTCGATTAATTGATCGTTCTCCTGTTACTTTTATGATACTACTTCATTTACTCTTGGATATATTACTAATCTATTTTAACTATTCGTTTTAATATTCATTCCTCTATAATTCTCTTATTCAAACATTACAACTTGAGGATTAGTTTATTCTTTATCAATCACAAATTTAATATTTTCTCTAACATCCACTGCCAAAAGAGCCAATTTGGATGTAATTATTGTAAAGTATTGCTTAGTATAACTACTATCAAAAGTTTCTTAACTTAACCATCCGTTTGTTAAAGAAATAAATTATTTTCCATTTAATTGAACTGATTACAGCTAAAAAGCATCAATCGGGTTTTTTGATTCTTCTACAAATCCATCCAATAAGTCTTAATTTTCTTAAACCCAATTATGAAAGTCTTATAAGAATGTCTGTCCAGAACTAATAACAAATAATATTAATAAGAATATTTTCATATTAAAAATTAATTCGTTTTGATAATTTATAATTAATTCAATTAAGGCTTTTTTGAATATTTTAATAATAAACATATGGATTATAACCTATTTATATTGTAGTTAATTAGTTAAATCCAGCCATCAATCTTTGTTATTCATAAAATCAATCTAAAAATTAATGGAATCTAAATATTTTTCAATTGAGAATAGAATAACCAAAGTAATCAATGACAATACCTAATATTAAAATACCTGGAAGGATAGTTCTAAGCACAAAAATAAAATTAATGAAGATTTCAGTTTCATTTATATTTCCAATCAGTTCCTATTCAAAATTCTACTTAAATATTCTTAAATTTTCTATTGAGTCTATGATATTTTCAATAAATTAAACACATTCTTGTGAGTTAATTTAAAAATGAATCTCAAAATTTAAGTAATTGAATATGGTATGCTAATAACTATGTGTAACAACAATAATTCCAGATCTTAACACATTATATTCAATAATGAATAAATTTATTTTTTCATTTATTTCAACTACTATTTGAATGATAGTACAATTAGTGTAAATTCTTAAGAATGAAAAGAGAAAGATTAATTAAGATAGTAAAGGTTAATTGCAGGATTTATTGGGATGATTATAAAATTTTAATCATATTATAATATAAATATTTGGAATGCAAAGTAATTAAATTATTAAGATGGATAGATTATAAACTAATAACTAAGAAGGGGGAAGGCACATTTTCAGAAGTTATAAAGGCTTAGTCAATAAAAACAAGCTAATTAGTTGCTATTAAATGCATGAAACAAGTTTTTTAAACGATTGACCAAGTATTTAATTATTTCTAATTTTGGTTAACAAATTGAAGGAAATTCAAGCTCTAAGAAAGTTGTAAAATCACGATCATATAATAAAATTAATAGAAGTGCTCTAGTATTATTCATTAATAATATATTTAGTGATGAACCAACAGGGAGATTAGCACTAGTATTCGAATTAATGGAGCAAAACCTTTATGAACATATAAAGGGTATCAATCATGTTTCATTAAATAGGTCGAAAAGTATCATTAAAATAAGACAAAATTAGAAGTTATACGTATTAGTTGCTCAAAGCAATAGATTTCATGCATACAAACAACATATTTCATAGAGACATCAAGCCGTAATATTACTTTCAATATTTAGTGAAAATATACTGCTTTTAGGTGATCATCTAAAATTAGCCGACCTGGGATCCTGCAAAGGCATTTATTCTAAGCATCCATACACAGAATATATATCCACCAGATGGTATAGATCACCTGAATGCTTAATGACAGATGGTTATTATGACAGTAAAATGGATATATGGGGAGCAGGATGTGTCCTATTTGAAATTACTGCATTATTCCCTTTGTTCCCAGGAAGCAATGAGTTAGATTAAGTTCATCGGATTCATAACATTCTAGGCACTCCAAATCCTAAGGTGCTTGATCGATTCAGGAAACATGCATCTCATATGGAAATCAACTTCCCTTCCAAAGCAGGAACTGGGTTAGAAAATCTAATTCCACACGCTCCCAAAGACTTAGTAGATTTAATTAAGCAAATGCTCATTTATGATCCAGAAGAGAGAATCAATGCAAAATAGGCACTCAGACATCCATACTTTAAAGAATTAAGGGATTAGGAATAATAGAAACTATTGGAAACCAGTCTATAATCAATCAAATTGCTTAAAAAACCGTATTTATTTCAATCTATTCAAAAAGTGATGATTCCCTTATTGAAGAAGAATAAAACACTTCTCACATTTTACATAAAAAGACTTTATTTAATCAAACCAATAAAATATTGTAGAACTCTTTCAAAACTAGAAATTAATAACTCTTAGACTCAGTCAAATTGCCAACACTTACAAAAAAATAAGCAGACTTGAAAAAAGCATATGGACCTGCTCATTTTTAAAGTATTATATGAATCCTATTTGGTAGATAAAGATATAAAAAAAAAGTCTGTGTAATATGAATATGTTTTATATGGTAAAAAAGCAAATCTAGGTAATTTTTTAAATACTATCAGACAAAAATGAATAATATATTGATCTTATATTATTTTTAAATTATTTAATATTCAATGAGAAAAGTAACAGCTAAGGTATTAGTGGTCGGTAGCTCTGCAGTTGGTAAATCTGCCCTGATCTAATTGTATACTACTGGAGAAGTCAATTTTCTGAAAGATTATCAATTAGTATGATTCCAATTCAATATTCTTAGACTCAAATTGCTGAAATATCTACTAAATTGATTCCATTTGAATAAGAGGAAAAAGATGTCGAATTGTACTTATTTGATATTGCAGGATCTGAAATCTACGAATAAGCAATTTTAAAATCCAACATAGTCAAATTTAAATAATATTATTCAAGTTGAAAGACGCCAACTTTGTATTCCTATGTTATGACATGACCAAAGAGACTACATATGAGGCAGCCAAAGAATGGTTTGAGAGAGTAACGAAGGCTAACGGAAAGAAGTTGCCGGGAGTTTTAGTTGCCATGAAATCTGACTTGCAGGCCATTAGGAAAATAGAAAACAAATAAGGAATGCAATTAGCTAGTCAATTGGGATTATCATTCTTTTCATTATCAACAGTAAATTATTATAATAATAAAAATAGGCACGTAATCAAGACATTGATCATCCTTTTTAGCATATAGCGTAATAGTTAATTAAATGATATTAATTATTTTAATAAATGGCTAACATATTAGACATATTTAAAAAATCGATCAAATAAAAAACACAAGAGCAGGAAGGAAAATTAATGGAGTTTGATCTTGATAATGTTAAGATCGTGAAATTAGACAAATAGACAGCTGAACTTCTTGAATCTCAAAGCCATCTAGAGTCTTTAAGTCTTGTAGAGTGCTCCTTAAAGACACTTGAGGGATTTCCTAAATTACCTAATTTATAGAATTTGGTGTTGGAAACTAATTAATTGGATGGAGAAGCAATTAAATTCATTGGCAATACATATCCAAAATTGTTGTGTTTAAGTCTAGCAGAAAACCAAATCAAAACATTTGCTGTATCTAATTTAGTTTATCATTAGGATTTGGAGCCGATCAAGTAGTTGAAAAAATTACAATAATTAGATTTATCTGAAAATCCTATAGCTAAATTGCCAGGATACTTCTAAAAGGTGTTTGATTTAGTTCCTGGATTGTCGGTTTTAGATAACAAAGATAAAAGTGGAAACGACATTTAATATAGTGAGGACGAAGATGAGCTTGTGGTAGATGATTCAGAAGATTCAGAAAACGAAATAGATGATGAGGATGATGGATTAGATGATGATGACGATGATGAAGAATCAAGTCCAAAACCAACTAAAAAAGCAAAATAATGATAAATTTATAAGATTTTTTGGTCCAATAAATTTTTATTTCATTTTATTAATGTATTACTCAATCATCTTTTCGCTCTTTATAAAATATTTTTTAAATTATTTATTTTATTATCCAGATCCGTCACATTTCCAGACTTCCTTTCATATTGATGCACCTGCTTCATTGGCTACTTATAATTATTAGCAGATTGATTAGTCCTTTATTTCACTTATTGTTATGGCTGAATCTTTTGTTGTTAGTAGTTTTATCTTGGAGGAGATGGCTATCTAAAGATATTATTTCTCCCAGGAGAAGGTTTCTATTAAGCAACTGGAGATGCCCTATTGGGAGTAGGTCTCATCTATTATTATGGTCTTGCCGGAGAGGGTTTCTTCTAAATGGGCTGTTTATTCATTGGAGAAGTGTTATAGAACTTCGGTTTCTGATAGGCAGCCTAATTTTGAATATGATTTTACTGAATTTTAAGTGGAAGTACGCGAATTCTTGCTTAAAGCTGGAGAAGCTTGTCTTACATTAGGGGAAGCATTCCCAGATGAATTATTCGAGTTTAATCTATTTGGAACAGAATAATTAGACTTCCTACTTCCATTGGAATGATTACTGTAGGGTGAATAAAGCCTATCAGTAACTCCCTTGTAACTAAACTTTTTCATCGATTAAGATAGTTCAGTCTCCAATTGATTTATTCTTCTTTTTTAGACTGTGTCTTATTTCTTTAACGAATCTATTTATCTATGATTTTATCAATTACATACTAATTAAGGCCTTCCACTTCTTTTTCGTATTTTTATATTGTTTTTTAGGCTTTCACTAATTTGCTTTCCTCCTCCTCATTCATTAATCTGATATGATCTTTGATTCTACTGTCCATTTCAACTTTGCCAATCAATTGTGTCAACTCCTTCTTAAAAGCATTTATCTAATCTTTATTAACTTTATATGTACTTCAGCCATTTGCATGACAATTTCTGTGCTTTTTTAATTGAGTTGTTGTTCTAACTTTTAGATTTTGTCTTCATATAATAATTTAGATGTAGTAAACATATTTTACAAGTCTTCATTATCTCGAACTAATTAATCTACTTCAACTGCCCCCTTTTTTTAAGTCAAAGCTTCTTCCAATCTCTTTACTTTGGCTTTCAATAATTCATTTTGATTCACTAGAGAATCAGGAGTTTAAATATCCCTTTTGCTTTTGGAAAATGAATTCGAAGCCTAGAAATCTGCATCATTTGATTTTTAGAGTTTGTAATCAAAGAGTTCTGTTTTTAGATTCTGTATTTTGGTCATTAATCTAGAGTTTTCAATTTATTCTTCATAATTTAAGGCCAAAGGGTAATGAATTTTTTCAAAATCAGTTTAATACGACAAAATCAGATATCGTTTATTGACTTTCTAATTATTGGATGATGTTCTAGAAAGATTGCTTTGATCTTATGATTTCTATTATTTCAGATTCTCAAGATCTTGATACGTCAAAATTTCAAATAAAACCTATTTAGATTATATAATACATTCTCGTTAGTTTTTTGTAATGCAGTTTATAACATGGAGAGAAATATGTTAAATTTTTTTGGGTTTCCTGTCTTGCGAGTAAGTTCTTCAATATAATCAATGGTGTAAGTATTTTTCCAGATCTGAGGTTCATATTTAGATTCTAATTCTATATAACTAAGGGTATTAATTATGCATACAGCAAATGATCACTAGCTTGCATGCTAATGACGTATTCCATTCCTTGAAGAATGATGTCTGTTTCTAATTATATTTTTGGATTATCTAGCATTATAGTTGAAAAAAAATAATAATACAAACAAAATTTCAAAATTAGAGTTCTTGATATTTTTTAATTGTGAAAGAAGGAAATAAAGTTTACTATTTTGATTATTTTTTTTGTAATAATTATGTAAATTATAAGCCTTAATTTTCACCTTTCAAAAAGTCAATTAATTTTTACTTTCTTGACTTTTGCTAATCCTATTTATTAGAGGTTTTGTATTTTTTTGGGCTATTTTTATTAGATTAAAGAAATAATAATTCTTCATTGGTTGAATTCAAATTATCATTAGAATTCTGAGCAATACTAAGATTCTTTAATTATCTAAAGTGTTTCTTAATTTGTTTAGTATTATTTTTCATGTTTTACTCCAAATGTAGATGATCAATTAGAACAGTCGGAGTTTGAGTAGGTTCGATGATGAGAGATTTTCTATTAGTGATACTGGGTAACACATATTATTGATTTATGATGATATTCTTACGAACAGAATTACTGATATTATGATATGATGCAAATCTTGAACTTTCAATTGAATTCTTTATTCTATTTGTATTATCTTTACCAAACTCAGGAGTAACAATAGTATTCAAAAATTGTTTCAATCTGAATACTGGTTTTATGTTTGGATTCGATCTTGAATTTGTTTGCATTAATTTAATTTATTATTATTATATTTGTAATATAATGTTAAACTCAACGGGCTGAAATGACAAGATCATCAATCTTAAGGATCATTCTAACACATTCTGTAGCCAAACTCAAAGCACTCCTTGTTACTAAAATAGGTTAGACCACTTATTCAGTTGTAATATCATCCACTATGTTATTCTAAATGATATATTAAATAATAATTACTTTCTTCATTCCTATGCCTGCAAACTTTTAAGATTTAAGATGTCTATTTCTTAACTCAGTAACTACATTGATTGGATTCAATCCTACAGATAGAGTATAAATTACCTGCATTTTCTGCAAGAGTATAAGGAATAACTTCAAGTGCTTCAGCGAATGCCCGAACACACATAGATCTGGCACCTGTTAATGTATTAGCCTTTTAAGTCAATTTTAAGGATAGGTGGATTTCTGGTGCTCCTCCTCCTGGAATCAAACCTTTGCTTTTAACAAGACTTCTAACAACACATAAGGCATCATGAATGCTTCTGTCAGCCTCATCTAAAACTAGTTGGTTTGACCCTCTAACTAAGATTGTTAAAGCTTTAGACTAAGCAGGCACACCAGTAATTCTCAACACTTTGCTTTCATCATTCAAGAAAACAGTTTCAACAAGTCCAGCAGTTCCTAATTTTTCAGGAGTCAATTAATCTATATGTGCTACTGGTACTAAACATAAGGTCTATGTAACAAAAATAAGTATACCTTGGATATAAATTCAACATCCTCTCTTTCGATGTCTTTCACAACCATAATTCCTTTCTTTGCTAAGAAATGCAATGAGAGATCATTGACAGCATCTCTTAAAATGCTTTTTTGAATCAATAATACGTTTGCACCTGATGCTACTATCTTTTTTACTAGATCAATAATATATTTTCTTTCTTCCTTCAATATTTTATCCATTTCTGTATAATCTTTGATAGCAATAGAATTCTCAACATCTGTTTTTGGTGCAGATAAACAAAATTACAACAGTGCCACTTTAGCATTTTCAATTTTTTGAGGTCCTCCTGCTGTTTAACTTGCTTTTTAATTAGAGAATACAATTCCTTCAACTAATTCAGTGTCATCGATGGTGCCTCCCAACTTTTTAACGATTTTGATATCTTTAAGATCAACATTATTTGGTTTGAGAGGGTCAACTATTCTCAAGACTGCATCTACAGCAAGTGGTGCCAATTATGTACTATTGGACGAAACTACTTTTGATGAAAGTGCAGTTTAAACACATTCAATCAACTATTATTTATTGTCCAGATCAACTGGTTTTTTCAATTCATCCAAAGCTTCTAATGCATTTTCTAAGGCAAATTGGAATCCCTCTGAAATAGTGGTTGGATGTATTCCCTTCTCTAAGAGTACTTCACATGACTTCAATAAGGCTCCTGCGAATACTACAACTGAAGTGGTGCCATCTCCAGCCTCGACATCTTAAGCATGAGAAATTTCAACTAGCTTTTGTAATGTTGAATGGATTACCATTTTTGCAGTTGGATGGACCAAATCCATCTATTTGAGTATGGTGGCTCCATCATTTGTAATGAGTACTTGACCTTTGGCATCTTAGATCATTTTATCCATTCCTCTTGGTCCCAAACTGGTTCTTACTGCGTCGGATACGGCTTGACATATAGTTTAGGGTATTACCTTTTGCAGCTTGGATGTTGGTCAATCTGATGTCTTTGGTTTTTTCTGATTTGTTGAAGGTGTTTGCTTTTTGGGATTGTTACTATGATGCCTATGGTGGTTGACTCATATTTAAAAAATAAATTTGTTTTATTTAATTTCTGGAAATAAATGTACATATTAATATATTGGATCAAGCCCTGTTTGGATAAAGGAACACTCTCAAAGTAGATCCGATGGCTCTTGGTGGAAGATTTCTATTGAAACGAGCAATCACAACTCCGTTTGATCCATGTGATCTGCTGATTCTACCCCAGATTGTCTATAAGAATAGTGATAATGAGGTACTCTGAATTTAGTGTTGTTCTTGAGAGAATGAGCCTTGTAGATATAAGCTACTCTCTTGCCCCAATAGAATCTGCTTGATGAAACATCATCGACATGTTAAATCTTTAACAATGCCTAATTCTCGTTTTATTAAACTTTAGATCTTCTGAAACCAGTGAAAGCAGCCTTGACCCATAATCTTTGTCAAATATTCAATGTACCTAACTGGTGCTTTCTTATTAACTTTCACTTTCTTGACTGTTTTGGTTGCCCCCTTTTATTATTGTTCGGCCTTCATTGATTAAAATCTTTGTTATTTTAATTTAAATAATTAAAATACTCTAACTAATGAAACCAACTCAGAATGCTTCACATAAAGTATCTGTTCACAACCACAATCAACCATCCAATCCTAAAATTGGTAAATATCACTACGCCATGTTTTTAAGCAGTTATGGCTCACCCATCTATCTAACTCAATATAAAGTTGAATACATTTCTTTGATTTGCTATTGGATTTATGTTGCATTCACAGTGGCATTTGATACATTTCCTGCTTAGAATGTAGTCACTGACAAAATCATATTTGATCATAGAGTTCCTTATGTGATATATTGGGGACCCACTTACATCTACCTTGCATTGAGTGTTTATGCCATAAGCACGTTCCTGGGCAGCTATAGAAACTGGATTTAAATCTTTGGAATCTTGGTTTATTTGTGGCATCTTGCTTATTTCGTTGTATTTTGGGCTGCTCCAAGTGTCATGCTTCCCAAGGTTAGAAATTATTATAAATGAAGTCTGTGGACAATTTCTAAGCCAGTTGTGGATACTATTGGACAGAACTCATGTTAAATTTAATCATGATCATTATCCAATGCGGTAACACTCAAGCAACGATGAACTATCCAGCATATCTTCAGAACTATGTCACTAAAGTTAATAATGATATTGTTGAGTATTTGGCTGTTGAAGATGTAGAAGAATTGAATCACGAGACAACCCCAATCAAGGCTCAAACACCAAACCAGAAGTCCCAAATCTAATCCCAAAAACAAATACAAGGATGAATCATTATTTTTATTATCTTATATAAAATTTATGGGAAATACAAATATCTGTTGTGTAGAACAAATTGATGAACCTTTTGACAAACGCAAGTTTCTATTCCACAAAAAACTAAATAGCCTGAATAATCAACTGATGACAACAATCCAATATCAGGATATCATCATTTTTCACAAGGTTTGATCATTATGTATATAGAATGTAGTGGCATAATTAATCTTGAATTGCAGTGCTCCAAGATTGGTATCGATAACTGAAAAAGATCCAGAAACTAAATTGGAGTTCTATGCAAGAATTAAATAAGAAATAGAACTTAATCAATCAAATTTCTTCAATTTACTAATTGCCAATTACTTTTTACATTTCAATGAAATTTATGCTGATGAAGAGGTGATTGACATCATCTAACAATTTGACACCATTTCCTAAATGCTCCGACTTGTTCTCCTCCAAGGATTCCAGCAAGATCTAAAACTCTATTTTGGCAATGATCTAGACAAACTTCCTGAACAAGAGTTACTTGTCTAAAGAGTGCTCTAACATTATTTATTGGGGAAAACCTCCCCTATAAAGAATAAATTTAATAAGATGCTCAATCTATATTATTAATAGATCTAGTATGATGAACTAAACCAATCATGTGTTCCTGAAAAAGGGACGGTTTTGGAGTAAAATGATTTTGAAATAGATCAAGCTTTGATACCCATCCAAGGGGGAGATATCGTCAATCTCTCTAATGACAGGTACTACTAAAAGTTATTCTTTAGTTTTTTGGAGTCATCAGGTGGATCTGTCAAGCCAACATAACAATAGACAATTATTCAAATTGATAATATCATTGAAAATGCGGAAAAGCAATTTAAGCATCTTCCATATGCCACAACTTTTGAAATCCTTAGCCAAATGATTAAAACCACTAAACCATGGAAGAAATTTCTTCTTATTGAAAAATTTGACAATTTGATCATTAAGACACTTTTAACCAATAGGGATTAGAGTTAATTATAAAGTATGCAAGATATCCTCTTTGCTGAAGATTCTAGATCAGATATCTACTTATATATCTTGTAAAATTATTAAATTTAAATATATAGTCATTCATATGGATAATAATTCAAAGTGGATTTCAAAGAGCATCTATTGAATTCTTTAAAATTGATGTGGGAATTTGATGGATTACTTGGAAGTGATATCAAATATATCTATTGTCCTTGTTTCCTTAGATTTACAAATGTTTTGGAAATGTATGTGAAAAGTGTTAGTGTATGATATTTCTATGTGACAGTATTCACCCATTCATTATTTAATTTCAATATTAGAATATATATATAATATTATTTGTAGCATTGAATTCCATCTATCTTCATGATTCCCTTATATGCCATCAACTGATTAAACAGATTAATAATACATAGTTTTGAAAATGTAATTATATCTTTGATTTATTGATTTTGTAAATCACAATAACATTTTGAAAATCTCTTGATTTGGTTATAAAATTCTATGTGTAATTTTTAATTCTTCCATTTTATTTTTAATTGCTTCAAAATCTTAAGGCTTCTTTACTTTGACTCCCACTAATGCAGGTCCCTTCTCTCTATTATTTTTTCTTGTGTATTCTAAATTGGTGATTTCGTCTGTTGGTCCTATATAACAGGATATCAATAAGAGTACCCAAACATTATATAATAAACTGCTTTAATGCTCCAGGCTTTTAAAAGAAATTCACAAACATGTAATATTACAACCCCTATTGAATTTCTGAGAGCATTCTAATATCTGTCATTCTGCCTAAATCATTATTACTTCCAGAAATCAAACAAACCACAGTTTTTCCTCTGATCTCATCCTTGAATCTATCCAAGGCAGATATTGCTAAAGCACCAGCAGGTTCAACAAGAATTCCTTCTTCATTAAATAACTTCATCATAGTTGTACAAACATGCCCTTCTGGAATTAAGACAATATCTTTTAAGACTGAGTTCAAAATTTCAAATGGTTTCGCGCCTGATTTTTTAATAGCAGCACCATCAACAAATGTATTGATTGTTTCCAATTCAACAACCTTTTATTGTTTAATTGCCTCATACATTGAAGGTGAACTAAAAAATAACTTTTATATAATACCCTTCTGGTTCAACACCTATCAAAATTGTATCAGGATTGATTTGTTTGAAATAAGATGAAATCCCAGCTCCACATCCTCCACCACCAACAGGAAAGAAAACAAAGTCAATTTTACTCTCAGGAATATCCTCCAGGATCTCAACTGCTATGGTCCCTTAACCCTCTATAATTTTCTCATCATCAAAAGCATGCACATAAATTCCGTTTTCAGTATTACATCTATCCCTACTTGCTCTAAAACTCTCGTCAAATGTATCTCCAACCAACTCAATCTAGACATATTGTTTGCCCCATGATCTTCATATGATTAATACATTACTTGACAGCATTAAACTTTATGCTCGGTGTATTTGTAGGCATGTAAATAATACAATTGATTTTCAATAGATTACAAACATAAGCCACACCTTAAGCATGATTTCCGGCACTAGAACAAAATACTGTTCGGTGTCTCTCACTCTCTGGTATAGATATTATTTTATTGTAGGCTCCTCTTAACTTATAACTTCTAACAATTTGCAGATCTTCCTAAAAATATATATTTATTTACTCGTTTTATATATACATTTGCTCCAAACTATTCTGATAACTTCATTGATTTTTGAGTTGGAGTTCTAGTTATTACATTCTTAACTCTTTTATATGCACCAAAAATATTTGAAATAGGAATTAACTTTGAGAGATTTGGAGGATGGTTGTAAGTCAACACGTCTACTTCAATTGGATCTTTTAATGCACTTTCATCTTGTTTGTTCGATCTATTAACATGATGAGTTGTTGGTTTTTTGTCTGGAGTCTCTAATAGGTCGTTTTTGGCAAGATTCAGAGATGAATGTGCTTTTTTAGAAATTTGCATCTGGATATATATTTAATTATGACGTATTTACAAAATTTAGCAATCATTAAGTAAATATAATACTAAATTATATGATTGTTTGTATAACTAATCATTGACATTGAGTATAATAATCAGCTGCCACTTTATAAAGCTAAGTGAACTATTTTGATTTAGTTATAGATGGTTTTCTTGCTCTTGATTATGATTATCTTCTTTATTCCTAATTCTCTCCATCCCCATATAATTCTTTCTCTGAAATTGTATTAAAATTTATATGTTCCCCTCCTTAATATGTTTATTACATAAATTAAGTTGGGAATTGTGCAGTTTCTTAAAATGATGTATCTACATTTACTTGGAAAGGACAAATTCTAATTTTTTGATTAGTTTTATTATTAGATTAAATTACTATCTGATTAATATGATTGGGTTTTGTTGATTTTACTGTAGAGATTTATAATTTTAAGTAGTTTCTGACCTTTACATACTTTTACTTGGTCTCTTTTGAGATTATTTAATTGTCTTATTTCGTGATGATTGATTTGAAATAATGTCATTACTTTTGTTTAAAATTTGTGGCAAGATTTCAATAGTTTGTTATTATTTGAATTGAGGTATAGGTTTTATTGGCTTATTACCAATTTAATTTGATTTTGGTTTTGTTTAATTTTATGTTTGGAGAATATTCTAAGATTTCTATTAGTAATTGGATTATTTCTAAAATCCATTATTATTATTAGTATTATTTTGTAATTGTTATGTAGAAGATGTCTAAAATTTTGGACCCTCTACTATGGAATTCAATAAATTCTCTAGAGTGCTGTCGTTTTATAACTAATGCTCAATTATTTCCTGTATGCTATTGTCATTTTCCATTGAATCAATTATTGTGATTAAATTTGAATTGCCTTGTTATCTCTTCTATTTTATCTTTTAAATCAACTTTTTTTAAATAATATCTTAAATATTCTAACTGATTATTGTAGATTTATCAGGTTAATCACTTTATTCCTCTTTTTAAATCATCAAGTTATTAAATTTCTGAGATTCCAACATTAACTTCTCTTCAATCAATTTTATATCCGAATCTTTATTCATCAAATTCAATTCTTATCTTTTTAATTTTTCATCTTGATCAGCCATAATCTAGGCTTATTTTGATATAGTTTAATGTTTAATTACTAAGTCTTCCTCAAATTCTTTTCTTTATTTAACCAAACTCTGAATATTCTATTAATAGAAGATTATCTATTCATCATAATCAAATTTCATATCCTCAAATTCCCTTTGAGCTTATGAGTAATCAATCTTTACTTAATCTAAATCCTTTTGAAGATCTTTAATTATTAACTATTATTTTTTAATTTTATCAGAGAAACCTTAGTTTTAGTTGGTTACCCAATTCAATTCTTAAGCAATTCTCGCATTGTCTTTCTCTAGTTTTCTTATTTTACTGGCTTAATCATTTATCAATTTAACTTATTCCTCCTTTTTTTGTATATATTCCTAATACTATCTAACGTAATACAAGATTTTTACTTTGTTTAATTCTCTAGTTCAAATTTCATTTATATTTCATTCTATTCTAATTTATAATAGGCAATTTCTTAAGCTTATAATTTTTATTTTTACTCTTCATTCTACACTTAAAGTGACAAGACCTCCTTCTAATATTGTTCTTACATCACTTAATGTGATTACTTCAAGTCCTTATATAATAATTATAACTCATCATTTTAAATTGATTTCTGTAGCAATAATTGATTTAGATTATCTATTTTTTATTAATTCTATCTTGAAGTCACGTCGACCTATTATGACAAGGCCTGTATGGTTTGCTAATATATTGAATTAATAATTTAATACAAATTAGGAATGAATTCTCTCATTTAAGATTTTCTCATTTTATTCCATCTTTTTAATACAATTTGTCAATCGTTCTACATATTGACTTAAAGTGGAATTGTTAACAATTTAGAAACTGTTGGCATTCTCTAGATTTTCAATCTTCTTAAAATTAATGTCTAAATTCCCCTTTGTAATCTCTTGGGTTACTAATAAGGAGTTATATTTATGTTTAAGCTAAAAATTACATAATTAAATACATTACTCAATTTTTGTTTCTTATTGAAGTACTTATCCTGCAATTCTTGATTAGATTGCTTATACTTACTCAGACTGTCATCAAGCAATCTAATCTAATTCAATAGATCCTATGACTTTTATTGAATATAAATATCTATCTATTATTAATAAACCATTATTCTATTTCTAAGTTCTTGATTCTCCTACTTCAATTTTTCTTCCTCCAATTATTGCAATTCGTCATCTTTTTACCTTAATTACAAAAAGGGATTGGTAACAAAGGTTGTAGCCTAATGTTATTACTTTATAATTTGATTTTATAATTTAGTTATCAATTCATCTGAATTCCTCAACAACTCATTTTTTAATGATATAGTGGATGTATAATCAATAATCTTAATTTTTAATGAATTGTTCTCCTCATTCAACTTTTCCAACTTTTTCAAGAAATTTTATCTCTCCTCCAACAAGTCATCATTCTAATTTTTCTTTTATTATAATTATTTGTTCAGATATTGCAATTCATCCAATAGTAACTACTATTTACATACCAATTCACTAAATTGCTATCTTATTTATCCTGTTTTGTTTTCAAGTCGAAATCTTTTCTCTAACTCCCTTTCAGCGGCATCATCTGCCAATAAGTATCTGTTATTCAAAATATCTAGCTAATATTTCAAGTTTTATTCAATTTTATTATGATTTAAAATTTGTTCCTCCTGTTTCTCTTACTCTTCTTACAACTTATTTTACAATTCCTAATTCTAAACCCCTATTGTCTCATTATCCTTTATCACCTACTTCACTTCTTTAAAATGCTATTCCATCAATTGCTGCATCATCATCTAATAATCAGAACTATTGTATCTCTCTAATAAAATTAAGAACACTTTCCAAATCAACCCTTTTACTATTAAAATGTCATCCCCAATGCATTAATTTAGAAGTTCATTGAATCCCTTAGAATAAACATACAACCCTTTATAGAGACGATCAATTGTGTCCTTTCTTAATCCTCTACCCTAGAATGTTACACTTTTCTTTTACCATCAATTGATGTCTGCTAATTCCAACTTCCTCCATTGTTTTAAATCTGATATCCATTGCTAAAGTATCAACTATCCATAACTCAGCAGCCTTGTTAATATTCGTGGATTAAGCACGAGAAAAATTTTATTGTCTTTTAACCTCGGTTGACATATACAGTTAATTATATAAAGTAAATTTTATAATCTCAATAGATTAACTCCATTCTCATAATGGACATCTATTGTCTTATATTAAATAAAGTAATGTTTAAATACAAACACCAAAAACTGTATATTTTGATAACAAATTCTTGTTAATAAGAATTGTTGAAAATGAGTTTAAATCTCCAATAAGTATTGCTTTAAGTGGTATTGTATAAATTATAATCATCAATTCAATTTTGGTTAAATAAAGAAATCTATGTTCCAATAATCTCAATTTTCGAATTATCAATTATATCTACTAATTTACTAGGTAATGCATGGTTTTACACAATAACAGTCACATCTACATAGATCCGATTCAATCTCCTTTAATTTTGAGAACATGGGACAATCATTTTATGTTTAATTTTATAACTAAGCATATCTAAATTTTATTAATTCTAATGTTAATTATAATTTCTAAGATAATTTAATCTATTAGAATTTCTCAAATTGAAATTAACGTTATACAGTACTTCATATATAAAATTATAAAAAGGAATTAATAATCTAAATAAATTATGTTTATAACACATAATAATAGATTCATTCAATATGGAAAATCAAATATTTGATAATGAGCCATTTAATTTTTTCTTTATAAATTAATTATATGCAATAAAGTAAATTGAGAACGGTTTCCCCTATGCAATGCCAATATGTTTCAACTCCATCAAATTGTTCTGTTGGCGGGGCATTAAAAAGAAGGAAAACCTTAAAAACTCAATCACCTTATTCTTCATAACACAAAGAGAGTCTTAACAATCTACTTTAAGGGGAGCCTGATAAAAACAAAAACAGATGCAAAGAAATTAGTATTGAAGTGGCAAAATTTTTATAATAAATCAATAAAAATGAGAGCACCTTTCCTTCCATGTACTCCTCAATTATAGGGATTGAAACCAAAAATCAAGAGGAGACACAATTAACACAACTATAAATGCTATAGTAACAAAATCAAATATTGAAAAAACAAAATTGCATAAAACAATAAGAGATTGATCAATGGAAATAAAAATACGAATAAGCTGTTAAGTAATTAAATCAATTGTAGAGTAAATATGACGAGGATATTAAAATATTAAATCAAGAAATCCAAGCGGTTAATGAGAGGATTACGTCATGTGAATAATAAAGAAACTATAGTTTTTTTGATTAGAAACCAACAGGGGATAATTTAACTAATATGAGTATGCAGACATTCTAGAGATCAATAAATGAGAATGAAAATTTCATTGAATAAAATAAACTATTAGATGAAATCTCAGAAAAAAATGCAATCATTAAAAGTCTGACTTTTGCTTTAGAGAAATCCAAAATGGAGATCTCTGAACACTAGCTAAGATCTAATGGAGAAATAGAGTAACTAAAAAGTAAGCTTAATTAGATTCAATAGTAGAAAATGAGAATGGAATACTGTTAAAGTTCTGAAATTTAGAATATTAAAATTGTGTAAAGCAATTAGATAGATATATTAAAAGAGGAAATCAATCAATTGAAATGTTTGATAGAAACAAAAAACTAGGAGATTTCGACTATTAATAACTAAAATTAAAGGTATAAGCATTAGATTGATTAAGAAAATAAGACACTCAAATAAGAAAATGAGATCTTGAAATTGTAATTGATTAAAAAATAATAACAATTTTAGGAGGATATTAATCAAATCAAGTGCGATTGTTCAATATTACAACAAAATGAAATAAATTCAATTAAATAAAGTTCACAACAACAAATCTCTGATTTAGATATTGAAATTAAAGATTTAAAAGAATTTCTATACACTTCTAATAATACAGAATAGTAGTAATAAATAGTAGATAGATTAAGATAAAGAGATCATTATGAAATAGAAAATCAAAGATTGAATAGTATAATAGAAGAATAAAATAAACGGTTATTGTCATAAAGAATGCAGACAGAAAACCTAAATACTGAATCGATTAGAAAAATTTAAGATCTTCAAATGTAATGCAAGATGTTACTTGAAGAGACAAATTAGAAAATGGAATAAATAAATAGAGAAAACACATTTTTAAAAAATTAGATTCTATTAAAAGATAATGAGATTAATAAATTTGAAGACATCTACTAAAAGTTAAATAATTATAAAGAAAATCTCTTAAAACTGTAAGAAGAAAACTAAATTATTTTAAGCCATTATGAATAACAAGAGAGATAAATATAAAAGGAGAAGGACTAATAAATATATTAATTGTAAAAAAACTTCGAAAGTCAATTAAAATAATATGATTTCTAATTATAAAATTTAATCAATGAGAAATTACAATATATGCAAATGTTAGAAATAAAGAATTAAGAATGCGCAGACTTAAATTTAGAAGTTAAGAAATTACAAATTTAGTAATAGAATATAAAAATTGATAATGAATTGTTGTACAGTAAATTAATATCGTTTTGTAACTCTTAGGAGTCTAACAGAATCATAAATGATCCACTCAATAATACTTTATAAATGAAACGGATGACAGAATAGATATCACTTTTATAAAATGAGTTATTGATAAAGAATAAAGAAGTAACTTAAATCATAGATAAGTATTAATAGTTGGAACAAATACTCTGTAAAAATTAGATAAAATAGGCCGATTAAAATTTAAACGAAATAATGAAAAATTAGATAAAAAATTAGGGTCAAGTAGTAATAAATGAATGACTAAATATTGTTAATTAAAGTTTTATTATAATTTTTTTATTCTTTCTTCGGTTATTTAACTAGAAGGAGTACTTGTATAAAATTACTTCAAATCAATAAATTTATTATTACAAACTTATCATTTTATTATAATTTAAGAAATAAATAATATTAAATGAAGAAATATCTTTGATGAAATCGAATTAAAATAGTTCAATTTAATTAATTTTACAATTCTTCCTCGAATCAATAAGCTTGGGAAACATAAGTTATAAAGACAGTACTTTAATTATATGTGATGGTTGTTTTATTGAATTTCATTAAAATTATTAAAGTAACCAGTTTAACGTTATCAGTATTAGCAGCAACTTATCCTCCTCAACATAGGGCTGATTTCAATTCAAGGTGTTTAAAAGACAACTCCTTGGTTTTACTATTCTAAAGCTAAGTTTGTTATCATACACTTACTTATTTTTTATAGATTTTTTATGAGATAAAGTACAGTAATATCTTAGAAATAAGGAATGATAAATATGTCTATATTTTAGTATAGAAAAATATTCAATTAGTTTCCATATTAAAGTCTTATTATGGGGACAATGAAAAATCAAATACACAGTATTATGATCTTGCTTCTATTTTATACTAAATCCTAGGGTTATTAAAACTGAAACATGAGAGTGAAATTGAGTATGGGAACAATCACTTTTTAGTAATAAATTATTATAATAATAATTTCTATGCTTTGATATATTTTATATTTGGAAATAGATCATGCTCCCTTGAGTTATGATTTGACATAGTCTTGGAATCTTGGTTGGTTGAGCAACTCTAAAGCTTAATTGGCAGCATTGATTTCCTTGTTGTATTCAGCAACGGTGGCATTATAGACGTCAGTGGCAAAGGCATAGTCATCATTTTCAGCTTGTAATTATCCATTGAGGGTGGCCAAATCTTAATCAAGTTCATCAATTAAGTCAAGAGTTTATTCTTATTTGGCTATGAGTAGTTAGATTGAAATGAATACTTGTGTTGGCTTCGATTTCAGCATTCTTAACAACAACAGCTCTTTAGAATTCAGCATGTTCTTAGTTCAATTAAATGACTGAGGCATTATATTCGGCGACTTATTCAGCTTCGTCAGCAGTGATTTAATTGAGGGAGTCAACTAATTCAACTCTCAAGTTATTGAAGGCAACAACAATCTAGAGGATATATCAATTAGACATTACATCTCTAAGAGCTCCTTAATCATCAAAGTTGGAGTCGGATGTGATTTCCAATAAGACTTTAACAAAGATTTGGAATTAGTTGTGCTTTTTCAATGAGTTTTAGATTTTAGCCAAATTCTTTTAAACTTTCTTGACTTAAGCAAGAGATGGGGCTGCCAATGTGCTCAACAATTATAAGCATTCATCAATAGCAGCAATAGCTTCGTTGTGTTCAACAACTTCACTTTCAAATGTTTCGTGATCGTTTGCTCTTTAGACTGTAGCTTATTCAAGGGTTCTTCTGTTTTAAGCGATGTTTTCTTATAATTATTCAAGTTAGGCAGCAAATCTTTCTCCTTATGGGATGAGGACGTTGTCATAGAAATCGTGGGCATTGAACAATTCTAAGGAAATAGTAAAACTGATAAAGTACCTCTTTCTTTGTCTTAGATTTCTTATTCGAGTCTGGAGACTTCTCTGTTGTGGACATCTGTTCTTCTGTTGAATTCATGATGAACTCCAGCCAATTCCTCTTCCATTTCATCAACCTATAAAAATATTAACTCTATATATGTACGAGTTTCTCAATCTCGGAGTTGAGCTCAGAGAGGATACCTCCTGTTGTTAAATGGAGTTCAGCATAGTTCAAGATGAATTTACCCCAACCAGATTAGTGAATCTAAGCGAAAGCTTTTTGGTCTTTGCTAGTCCAAATTGAGGATTAGACATTAATGGCTGTTGAGGCAAGTACTAACAATGCACACACGGCAACTTTGAACATTTATTGTAATTAATAATGAATTCCTTCTAAGGATTATTTTGCTAAAAAAAGGCAAAAACGAATTTTTCTTTTTAATATTAATTAATATACACACTTCTTATACTTTTTATATTGTCTTATATTCTAACTACTTACAATCCATAAATATACACAACATTATGTTTAATCATTTCCAATCAATCAAAACAATCATAATTATCTTATTTTCTCAATCAAATTTTCAGAACCATTATTATTTATACATTAAATTCTCTAAATTCTATCCTTATTACTAATTTCTTCGAACTATAACCTTATTATCAATTCAAATATACATATCCACTTAAACTCTTACCATTTCCACTAACGTAAACCCCACTGCCATTTATTATACCATTCCTAAATTCCCCTTCATAATAGCTCGAATCATTCCAAACCAATATGCCCTTTCCATTTATTTTATTCCTACTGATCTCTCCTTCATACCTAAAGTTATAGTTCATACTTACTTGCATCCATCCTTATAAAAAATAATCCCTTTTCCATTTTTCTATCCATCCTTAAACTACCCGTAATACTTTTATCCATCGCTTCGTATTTCTTATCCCTCTCCGTTTAGTACATTGTTCGTCCATAATCCTATTATGATTAAAAGTAATACCTTTTACAACTTTAACCTTGTTTTAGAACAATCCAAATCCATTAGCCTTCCCAAATTTGAAATTACATTAGAAACTAAACCCATCAATTAACTTTTTACATATCTTCGTTTGAATAAATCATTCTACAAAATCCATTTAGCTCATTATTTACCCAAAATCTATTTTTTATAAATTATTAACTTTTTACCCATCTAGTATATTTCCTACATCAGACCAAACCATAATCCCTGTTCCACTCTTCTAATCATTCATCAATTACCCAAAATAACAACTACCATCTTGGAAATTTCGAGTCTCATAATTTTCATCAATATCATAAATAGGACCTATGTCCAGATACAATTATCTTATTTATTTTTATTACATTTTGTTTAGTGCTTCTTATAATCTTATATCATTTGAGCTTCTAATTGCGAATTATTATGGATTTTCATCATTTGCTAAATAATGTTTATCAACTTATTAATTACTGTTTTTCGAGAAGATATTATTCAAGTTTTCAACATGAGTCAATTTTTGCTGATTTTACATTTGATTAGATTCAGCAATTTTGAAGAATTAAATATTGAAAAATTGATTCAATAAGAAAATATTGAAAATATAAGAATTTTCTGTTTTTATTAATTTAATATCGACAAGAAATGTCTCGCATTAATATTTGTCACTCTTTTTCCAAACTTATCAACCAATTTAAAGTTCTAAGAATGATGAATTAATAATTTGATTAAATTAAACACTATCATTTCATTATCATTTCCAAATATTTGCAAACCAATTATTATTTTCCTTCAGGTCTTGTATAAATTTGTTCATAACATTCATCTAGGTATTTATTTTGTCTATCTGCGCATTTATTTTGTCCATTTCACTCTTATTTTCATTTACAATCGTCCACAACACAGCTTCCTTAGCTAATTTATAACTTTAAGTGTTACTTTTAAATTTCTGATTATTTAATTCTACAAACTATTTCAATTAATTGTATTTGATTTCAAATACTTCATTACATTTATTTTCTAAAACTAACGAATAGGAAGAACTCACTACCTGATATTAGTTATTGATGCACTTTATTTATGACCTACTTTACATTACCATCGAGTTAATTTTTTTTAAAATTCTCTTTGACTTCCTTCCTATTTTATCAATTATAATGATTACTATTAATCCGACAGCATGTTGATCAATAATTCATGATTTTAAATTTTCTTATTTAGTTCCTATTTCACTGCTTTAATTTTTTCTTTAACACTTTTTATCGAATCTTCGAATAAAAATTAATCGTTGATATCATTAAATGAACTATTCTTTGATAATACAGGTGTATATTTCATTGCGCTTTCTTGACTTCCGAATATGGATGACTTTGACTTCAATTAATAAAGTTCATTCGATATATGCAGAAGTTAGTTTTGAAACTACAAATATACAACTAAAATTCACATCAAAAAAATATTTCTGTATCAGATTGTCAACTATTAATTCAATTTGTTTTAACAAATTATCCAAGAGAGAAGACTTTTATAATTCTTTCAGAGCAATTTCTTAAGTAATCTCGCGATAATCTTCATTCTTTTAAAGCAACTAATTTTATCGACTAACTGGTTTTACTCTCTTCATGTACTAATTTCCTAATAATCATATTTACGTTTTCTACTATTTTTTCTACATTATTCTGTAGTTCTTATTCATTTATACTCATTATAATAATAATAAATATAAAAAAATATATTAAGTTATTATATAAACTTAATTTATAAAAATTTCATAATTTTATCAGTTGGATGGCTCGCTATGCTAAAAAACCCATTAATAAGTATACTCAACCAACAGATGCCAACAGAAGAGTACAAACAGAGGCAGCTGATGTAGATGATATCGATCTTCAACAAGCAATATTAAAATTCAAAAATCTACAAGAGAAACAAAAAACTCCATTGAAAAATCAAAGAACCAAAAGCAAATCCCCAGCTCCACAATAAGGCAATTAACCAATGGATTATTCCCAATTTACATTTACTAGCCTAAAAGTAATTGGACAAGGATCCTTCGGTATAGTTTACAAGGCAAAAGTGAATGAAACAGGTGAAATAGTGGCAGTAAAGAAAGTAATACAGGATAAGAGATATAAAAACAGGGAAATTCAAATTCTATAAGAATTGGATCATTCAAATATTGTTGAAACTAAACATGCATATTTTACTTATGGAGACTCTCCAGATGAGCAATACTTGAATGTAATTATGGACTATTAGCCTGAAACCCTTCATTCATTTAATGCATAATTCTTGAAATAACAATAGTTGTTACCTGAAATACAGGCTAAGTTATATTCATATTAGTTGTTACGTGGTATGGCCTTTGTACACACAAAAGGAATTTGTCATCGAGATATTAAACCACATAATGTTTTGATAAATCCGGATACGAATGTTCTGAAGATCTGCGATTTTGGAAGTGCTAAAAAGTTATCTCCTTTAGAGCCTAATATTGCATACATTTGTTCAAGATGTTACAGAGCTCCTGAGTTATTGTTTGGTGCTACAAACTACACTACTTAGGTTGACATGTGGTCAGTTGGTTGTATAATTGGCGAAATGTTTAATGGGCTGCCATTGTTTTTAGGAGCATCAGCAGTAGATTAATTAGTTGAAATAATCAAAATACTGGGATCTCCAAGTAAGGAAGAGGTGTTATCGATGAATGAATTATATGATATCAAACAATACAAAATAGTTTAAATAAGAAAAAAGGATTGGAGGAAAGTATTTCAAACAGTAGTTGATCCTTAAGCTATTGATTTAATTAGTAAGATACTCACTTACTGTCCAAGAACTAGATTGACAGCACTCCAAGCACTTACGCATTAGTATTTTGATGATTTAAGGGATGAAACAACTTTTAGGATGTACCAATCCAAAATATAAATCCCTGACTTATTTGATTTCACAAAGGAGGAACTTTCAAATAATCAATCTCTGGCCAATAAATTAATTCCTAAATGGTATTAAAAAAGAAATAAATGTTGATTAATTTTTACAATTATATTGATTGAAAACCTCATGAATAACTTATATTAATAAATAGAGACAACAATCTTTTTAATTTAATTAATATCAAATTTGAGAAATATTTTTCATTCTTGGAAGTTGTATTTCTGATATCCCTCTTCTTTCTCTAGTTCTTTTAACGACGATTCCAACTGTTGACAAAATATCTCTATGATATATTAAGATAGTTTTACTTTACTTTAGCTTTACTGCCTTTAAGTTTTGTTGTATTGCTCTGAGTAGATGGGACTTCTTTACCCCAAGCTGTATTTTTATAGAGCGAAATATTGTATTGATCAGTAGGAGATTTCATCATTTGTAAATCTTTTGTAGTATTATTATTTGATTTAGTGATTGGGATTGGAAGTTATTCTTTATTTTCGAAAATAACTTAGGCCACCTACTCATACATTTGCATCGAGTTTATCCTATTGAATAGTTCAATAAACTTTTATTTACTTAATATTTCCATCACTTGTAATACTTGGTTGACTTAACCTACGAATTCTATTCAGAATTTATTTTTTATCTTAGTCATTGGAAAATTCTTTAATTTAAGCTTCTTCTGCTTTAACTAATTATGCCGATGATTAATTATGAGATGCATTGATTTATTAAGTCAAAGACAAGTATTCATTCCTGACCATCCTTAAAGTAGGATCACTCATTTTATCAAGATTAATGGGATGATCTCTTGGGCCTTCTCTAACTCTACCTTCTTATATAATGAGAACTCCAGATTATAGATGCATATTTTCATTGACAAGAGGTGCAATAGACTAAAATTTTATTTGTTCCTTTGTATCCTTTTCCTTCTCATCATCTTATTTCTTTTTGATTTGAGAGCTTTGACTCTAATAAAAGGTTTTCCTCCTATTGAACATGTTAACCTTGGTTTGGCCATCTTCAAACTTGGATCTCTTAATTGTTAATTTAAATACCCTAGTGTTGCAGCAGTAGGTGGAAATTTATGACCTTTCAAAGTGGTGACAGAAATCAATTTTCCATCGTAATCATAAGTGTATGATTTAGATTTTTTATCTTTAGATATAAGTTCATATTTCAATTATTACTCCTCTAGTTCTTTTTGTTTCCTTCTTCTTTCTTGTTCTTTGAGATCTTACATAATCTTATAATCTCTCTCCTTCTATGCTCTCAATAATTCTTCAGTTAAACTGATATCCAAGGGATCATTGAGATCAACAATCCCTGGTAATTTTTCTTTTACATTTTTTTAATTATTCATTTAAGCTTAATCCTAAAGTTTAAAATAAGTTTCAATACTTAGATTAAGACTCTTGATCTTTTAAAGGTTTAAGCTGTTAGGGATTATCGATTAGAATTTGTGCTTTATTATTCTACTTCCATTATCTTGGCAGGTATTGATAAAACTTTTTGAACCAACCATTATTCTTGTTGGAATCTAACCTATCAAATTGAAATATTAAATTACAGGTTCTTCATCTTCTTCTAATCCTCCTGTCAAATAATCAAATGAAGGATCTTCATGTTGTCTAAAGTATTATTGAATTGGATGTAACATTCTATCGATGGAAGATTAATAACCAATGACTGGCAGCATTTTGATTTGTTCATTCTCAGTGATTTTTTTGGAGACTTTGGCAATTAGTCTTTTAATAAAATCTCTAATGAATAGCTCTCCTTCCACTTAATTTGATTATGATTGAATTGGATCTGAGACCTAGTAAAATGAATGAAAATTGAGTTTATCCATGTCAACTTCAACCAATTCACTATCGGACTGTGTATTCAATTTCTCTGTTGGATATGAACGAATGGATGATAATTCTCCATATGAACTTCTTTATAATTAAGTTTTCATATAAATATTTTAACAGATTAATTGATTGAATACGTTTTTAGTTTGAGATGTAAGTGTAAATTTATGTATGTTTTGAATGATGAGTGTGCATAAATGTATGTTAATTAAATAATAATTAGTGATATTTGCAATTTTAAAACGAGGAATTTTGATTCCGTTTTTGGCATTAATAAATTAATTATGAGAACTCTTGTTGCCCTTTGCTTAGTGGCTGCCGTCTTTGCTATTGACACAAACAAATTTGCTGTGCTCCTCCAAACTGGTACTAGAGGAAATGATGCTGTTGAATCAGTTTACAACCTCTTGAGAGATTTGAAGACAGAAAATGTTAATGTCTAAGCTGCTGCCGACAAAAAGAATAACACTGATGAAGGTATGATACAAATTAAACAATAGAAATCTTTTCTTAGGTCATTGGTGACTTGACAAATGTTGCCTCCCTCAACAAATAACAATGGGAAAGATTAGGTGCCGTTCGTACTGATGTTGAAGCCCAAGTCAGAGTATGCTATTTCCCCTTAAAATTTAGGATGGATATTCATGGTTGGCATGGGCCGAAGCAAGACTTGCTGAAATCGAAAGAAGAAATGCTTAACTTTAAGACTAAAGATGTTGGGCCAATGGACTCTTTTGTCAAATCATTGGCTGATCACGCTGATGCAATTGCAGTCGTCTAACTCTTATCACAAGAACGTCGCTGGATGGCTCACAAACAATGCTGGAGTTGAATTAGTTCAAAAGGCTGAAACCATCGCCGACAAATTGTCAGCATACAGTCACCTCTTCTAATAAGATGCCATGCAAAAATTCTAATCCCTTGCTGAAGTCAAAAGAGATGGCACAACTGGGAGAACAAGTCCTTTCCCATCTTAGCAGACTTATAAGCCGAATTAGAAGCAACCCTTGCTACACTCTAAGAATAAGAAATCCATGCTGCTTTCGCTCTTGCCAAATACGTTTCAGATACCAATGCCGAAGTTGCTTGGTTGAACTCAGAACACGAAAGAAGAACAAACCTTGTTGAAAAATTAGAAACTGTATGCATTCATCAAATAATTCGATTAGCAACTCCCAGCAGTTCTTGCTTAATAAGCCAAAGCACTCAAATTATGGAAAGACTCCTTGAATGCAGTTGCTGGTGCCACCGCCGATTTAGAAGAAAAAAGAGAATTCTATGCTTCAGAAACAGTAAGAAGATAAGGTATCTATCCTCATCTAATCTATTCTAGAGGAAAACGCCATCATCGATGTTGTCATCTAATTATTCAAGGATCAAGTTAGAGCCTTAGCCTCATCAACATCCCTTGGTAGAAAATGATTAGATTATAAAATATTCAATTTAAAAATATCCACCAAGTTAAAACTACATCATCATTAATTCTCTTTCCAATCTAGGATAATAACAATAGATTTTGAAGTCTAAATCAAACATCATTCTTATTTAAAAGACTATTTTGATTTAACCCCAAACACACTATTAATTAATGGGATGCAATTTAAAAAAGATGTTTATAAAAAATAATAAAATTAAATATAACGTCAAGAATAAATGAGTATGTTATAATTTTTAAATAGAGAACAGTTAAGAATTATTAGTGCACTATTTAATATATATTTATAGGTTCTTTATTAAAAATTTATTAAGCAATAAATAAAAATTATGTTAAATTCAAGTATCTACAGTAATCAAAGCAATTCAGTCGTAAAGATAAAAGGCAATTAAACCAATTTACTTTCAACTGCAATAAGTAAATTAGGAGATTCAAGTTTCAAATCAAGAAACTATGAATCTAAAAACATATCTCCAGTGAGATTAAGATTGTTTAGAGACTCTCCAAAAACTTACAAAGGACTAGAAGGTTGCGTTGTAGGATAATATCAGTAAGAGTATATATCTATTGAAGTCCTCTTGCCCCAACTCATGTTGTATTTTCTAATGATAAAACTCCATCTCCTTATAGATCATCGAAAACATTTAGAGACTCTCCCGAAGGAGCCAAGACCAAGTTGAATCAATTCAAAGATTGGAACTCTAAATTGGACATTCAATTACAAATATAAAATAATCAGATTGCAAAATTGAACAATCAACTCTTCCAATAAAGTCACTAACCTTATCAACATAAGAGTTCAAAATAAAACTTATTTTCTGCAAGTAGTCCATCCAACTTCTAAAAGTTTGGTAAACAAAGTGATATTTCTTCACTTTCCTCAAGATTGAATCAGGTTCCAATTTCATAGATTACCACCTATCAAATAGGGTATTAGTAGCATGATTATATTATAGACATCAAAGCGAATTGAATGCATTATAGTAATCCTTGGACAGAATAATGAAAACAAGTAGAATATGATGATTAGTAAGAGTATAAATAATTAAATCAAATTATTATTATTTTTATATATATTTATTAATTAAATGCAAATCATAAAAATTGCCATTCAGAAAGATGTGTACATTTGTTCCAGACCCTTGAATCGATTCGAAGATTTGAGACAAGAATACCAATCTTTGTGTTTTCAACATTAAAATAGGGATGATTAAACATTCTAGTAATATATGGGTGAATAGGATTAGCTTTGTTGATGAGGAAGGCGATAAAGTAGTGATTACAAATGATTATGATCTGGAGGATTTCAAGAAATAACACCCGAAGTTCTTGAAGATCCAAGTTGAGTTTAGAGATAGAAACAGTTTGATTGAAAGAGTGTATAATAGAGAAATAACCAAAGATGCGATGAAACAAAAGATTATGCAGCTTTTACAATAATATTGACAGGTGTTGATGTTCTTTATGTTTTATAAATCATTTTCTGGCAGCCAAAGCAACTTAAGTGGCAATTCTGTTTAAGTCTTATTATCCTTCTTTGGTAACAATTCTTGATCCCTTCTTTAAGAGAGACTTGTTGTCCTTCTTCAAGACTTTGATTGTCTCTAATTATTAGAGTAAATATCTAATGACCTTTCCTGATCCGGATTCATGTTTGCCATTATCATTGACTGATCCAAACATATGAGTCAAATTTCCAACACCCTTAAATGTAACATAAATTGAATACCCAATGACCTCTCACATATATTTTACGAGCAAGTGCTGCAGCTCTAACGTACATCCAATCTTAATCAATTGGTGAAATTTCTTTTCCAAGTCCAGTTTTGACAATGGATCCCCATTCTGGGATTTTTATTTTATTGTTTTTCTTCAAATACTCAGCATATGCATGAATGAAATCTTAGGCAGGTACGTCCTTGATTTAATGAGTGATATTACTTTGACTGTGTAGAATGGAGCTGACATGCAATAAAAAATTAAAAAAATATTTTTGAATATTTACAAAGATATTATTTATTATTAATGGTTCTTCATTGTCACATAATTTACATTGAATTCGGGAGTATGATTTTTAGGTCAATTGATAAACATATTGTTCTGAAATCATAAATAGCAAATGAATTCATTGCTGTGAACATTAGAGTGAATAGCTTTGTTTTTCAATTGAATTAAATGTAATAGAAATTGAAGTGTCTTACTATTTGATTTAATTTCGATTTTATTAATTAATGAATTGCAATACTTAAAAATGGATTAAAATTGATAAAAATTATTATTGAGTTAGAAAATGTAAGATTGAAGGGTTAATGAGAGAGTGTGTGTAGAATTGAATGAGAAAATTGGAGTTTTGATGAGGTGGAGTATGGCAAATAAAATAGTGAATATATAATAGTAAGATAAGAAAGGAAGGAAGTAAAATTGGATTGAAAGGAAATGTGATTATTTAATAAATATTGGGTGAATGAGGAATGATGTGTGATCGATATTTATATATTTAGATCGTAATTAATAATAATTAATATGTACATTATAAGCATTTGATCGATCCGTTTTTAAAACATTAATAAAATATATGCAAAAACTAGCCATCTTGACATTGATTGTTGCTCTTGCAGCTTCCAAATTCGTTGATACACACACAACCTTGGCTCAAATTGATGCTAATCCATTTGGAAATGTTGTGTTGTCAGCAATCAAGGCTCACTTGTAAGCTCAAACACCAGCCAACGAAGCTTAATATAGTTATTGAACGGTGTCGCTGCTGGATTATAATAAGATCAAAATGACCAGCGACCACACTTTTGAACTTGACACAACAACCAACAACAGAGTAAGAATATTTATTAAGAATATCGTTAGATTGTGGAAGATTTGGAAAAGGAAATCTTGTATCACTAAAATCAAATCTCATCCAACACTTAATTGAGAGATGACACAATTGAAGCTTTGGCTGTTTCTGAAGAAGACATCAGAGTCACAATTCAAGACATCGCAACAAATGAATAAACATATGCCAGAGAAGAAGCCACAAGAAACTAATAACACGAAACCTTTGTTGCTAAGGTCGCCGCTATTGATGACGTTATTGATGCCATTGATGAAGCTGCCAAATTAATTCAACACTTGAGTTTAGGTGCTTCATTCGTCTAAGTCAAATCAAAATTACGAAACAATTCACAAGAGACTCACAGACAACACCTCCCACTCCCAACTCTTACAAGTATTTAGCTTCTCTTATATCTTTCCTTTAGCCAGTCGTTGCTGCTCTTACAGAATTAGCCACTCACGGAGTCAACTAAAAGGCTTTAACCAAGATTGCTTAACTCTTGAGCGAAATCAGATAATAATTGGTCTCAGAAAAGGCTGCTAAAACTGTATTCATTCAATCCAATAATTAAGGACGTTGAAGATAGATAAGCTGCTCACTGGGCTGAATTCAGCGTTCATTTGAGTAACGAACACACCAGATTAGTCGAAAGAAAGGCCTAATTGGAAGTCTAAATCTAAGAATAAAAGGACACCATTTGAAGATGCTCAATCATGGATCGAATTCCACACCTTAGAAATTAGAAAACAGTGAAGAAAGACTTGCTGGATAATAAGCATGGTATGCAGTCTAATCAGAAATCTATGAAACTCAAACTGCTGGAAGAGGTATCATAGAAACTATAATCTAGAGCTGCATAAAACGAAATCGTTGACAGACTCTAAGAACACATCAGCGAGAAATTATCAACCACCGCTCAATTCATCAGCAAGAGAAATTGATTCATTAACATATACAATTATTGACAATTGTTCTACATTTAACAGTATTTCAATCTTCACTCTCTCTTTTTATTTCACTCCCCATCATTTTTAAATAATTTATATGAAATTTTTAGCTCTCATCTCAGGAGGCAAAGATTCTGTTTATAATATCATTAGATGCGTCCAAGAAGGTCACGAACTTGTCCTATTAGTAAATCTATATCCCAAATGTATTTCTACTATTTAATCCAATTAGAAATCGGAATTGAATCCGATAGCTTCATGTATCAGAGTGTTGGCACTAATGCAATCCAAGCTATTGCTTAAGCCATGGACAAACCATTAATGACTAGAGAAATATCAGGAACACCTAAAATTACTAATTTAGATTATCAAAGCAAAGAAGAAGAAAGAATAGGAGATGAAGTGGAAGATCTCTATCTCGTTTTAAAAGAAGCCCTCACCTAATACCCTGATATCAAGGGAGTCAGTTCTGGAGCCATTGCTTCCACCTATCAGAAATTAAGAGTTGAAGATTGGTAAATTCATCTATTATTGTTAGTTGTAATCGTTTAGGCTTAGCATCTCTTGCTTACTTATGGAATCAGGATTAGTTCTCTTTGTTGGATTAAATGCTACACAATAATATGAACATCATTCTTATTAAAATTGCAGCCATGGGTTTGACTCAAAAGCATTTAGGCAAAACTATTCAAGAATTATATGATTATTTCAAAGAAATAGTAAGATAATACAAATATTAATTTTAGAATAAAAAATTTGGTTTCCATCCTTGTGGAGAAGGTGGAGAATTCGAAAGTTTTGTACTCGATTGTCCACTTTATAAAAAAAGAATACAAATGTAAATAATTCCTTTTATGTATCTTAGCAATGAAACTGAAGTTATATGCCATGAAGAAAACTCCTTTGCTCCAGTCTATTATCTTTTAATCAAAAAGTATGAATTGATTGAAAAAAATTGAGTCTTGATGAATTTGTATTTAATTATTCATTATTATACCTATGAATTATACATTAGCTTAAGATTCAAAAATCATGGTTATTTGAGATTATTTGTTTATATCATATAATTTCTATTGAGATTTACTTTTTTAATAAGAATTGAAATGTATTGGTATAACTAAGCTAATATTATTATCTTTTTATTTTTGAGTTTTTTTATTTCAGACTTTCCTGAATTGAAGAGATCCTTAACTAAAAGCCTATAATTATTTAAAAAGATCGAGTTGTAACTAATGAAAATATCAAATTTAAACTATAAAGAAATATTAATCCAAATAAAAATAATTACAAAATATTTATTAAATTAATAACTTTTTTAGTCTAATAGATGAATTTTGGTTACATATTCAAAAATTATATCCAATTATCATATTCATTATAGAATGATAATTATTTGGATAATAGAGGTATTTCAAAATTGATTTTCAATATATTACATTATAAACTATAGTTTAAATTATTATTTAGTCGAAATCTGCAATTCAGTAATATTTCTTAAACTGAGTGAAGGATTCTAAATCAAAATACTTACTTTTAGATTCTTTTGAAAACTAAAATTTTTAATTAAAGTTTGACATTAATGAAATTTGCAAGAGAATTCTTATGAAAGTTAAAATTGAAAGTCATAGAGACAGATGAGTAACGCATATATGGAGAAGAAGATGCGAATAATAGTCATTAATATTTATGCAGATGAATCTAAATAGATGAGGTAAAATTCAAGCTTGGTTCTCCTTTGCTATGAAAATAATTCGATAAAAACTTAGTCTATAAATTAAATTAATTTATAAGAAAATACTTTAGATAATGCGCAATTGAATATGAGCACTTTAATTAATTAATACTAAGAATAATAAATAATTGATGAAAAGTCATGGTTCATCAAGTATATAAAGTTTTATATTAACTGTGAACCTATGTATTATTAAATATATCTTTTTAACATTTGATGTTACACCATCTTTGGAAATACACCTACAACACTAGCAAAGCTCTACCCCTAGAATAAATAACGAGATGGGGACTGCACAATACCACAGTTGTTAGAAATGCCAGTACTCCTGAATTGTATGAAATTGCTGCTATGGATCCACTTTCACCAGACCCAGAGACTAGACAAGGATCAATTTCAAGCACTGGAGCAATGGTGGCATATTCAGGAAGAAGAACAGGGTAATCAAGTGATTGATTAATTAATTTAGTCGATCACCAAAGGACAAGAGAATAGTCTTTGATGAAGTAACTGAGTAAGAAATTTGGTGGGGAGATGTTAATATTCCAATTCCAAAGAAATCTCACAATTTATTGGAATAAATTGCCCTTTAGTTCCTGAACACAAGACCTAGAGTAAGAATATAGTTTAAATGAATATAGTTATTTGTGGTTGATGGATATGCAGGATGGGATCCTCATAGTCGTCTTAGAATTCGAGTTTTTTGTACTAGAGCTTATCATGCATTATTTATGTAAAATATGCTCATAATTCCAACAACTGAAGAATTGAAGAGAGATTTCAGTGACGATGTTGATTTTCACATTTTCAATGCTGGTCCAATGTCAGCACCAAAATTAGTTTAAGGTGTAGGTTCAGAGACTTGTGTTTCTGTCAATCTCACAGACAAAAAGATGGTCATTATGGGAACTTAATACGCAGGAGAAATGAAGAAGGGAGTATTTGGAGTTACCCATTATATGCTGCCTAAATAAGGAATCCTCACTCTTCATAGCTCTGCCAATGAGGGTATGAATGGAGATGTAACATTATTATTTGGATTGAGTGGAACTGGTAAAACTACTCTAAGTGCAGATCCTAAAAGAAAATTGATTGGAGATGATGAGCACGGATGGTCTGATCAAGGTATTTTCAATATTGAAGGTGGATGTTATGCTAAATGTGTAGATTTGAGTTAGGAAAAGGAACCTGAAATTTTTAATGCTGTTAAGTAAAATTCATAATAATTTCTAGGTTTGGAGCGGTTTTAGAAAATGTGGAATTTATTAATAAAGAATCTAGAGTAGTCGATTATCATAACATTTCCATTACTGAAAATACCAGAGTCTCCTACCCTTTAGACTTTATTCCCGGAGCCAAAAATCCTGCTGTTGGTAGTCACCCCAAGAATATCTTTTTCCTTACCTGTGATGCTTATGGTGTTTTACCACCTGTATCCTTATTGACTCCTGAATAGGCCATGTATCATTTCATTTCAGGATACACAGCAAAGGTATTGTATTGATTCTAATCCCATTAGGTTGCTGGTACTGAAATGGGAGTCAAGGAACCAGTTGCAACTTTTTCAGCATGTTTTGGTGAAGCCTTCTTACCATTACATCCAACTGTTTATGCCACTATGTTAGCTGCAAAAATGAAAGAACATGGAACCAAATGTTGGTTAATCAATACTGGATGGTCAGGTGGAAAATATGGTATTGGAAAAAGAATGTCTCTCAAAAACACAAGAGCTATTATTGATGCTATTCATAGTGGAGAATTAGCCAATGCAGAATTTGAAAATTTTGAGGTCTTCAATCTCCAAATTCCAAAGAGAGCTACTGGAGTGCCAGATTAAATTCTCCATCCAAAAAATACTTGGATGTATATAAAAATCATAAATTTTTAATAGAAACAAAAGTGAATTTGACAGAACATTATAAAATCTAGGGGAAAAGTTCAAGAAGAATTTTTAAAAGTATCAAAGCAAAGCTTCTCAAGAAGTTATAAATGCTGGACCAAAAATCTGAGTAAATGTTAAAAAGATTTATTAAAATATATTAATTTCTTCATTCGATTTTTAATGGAAGGTCTGTTTATAAATGATAAACTGTTTAAATATTTTTAGTTTAAGAGTATAAAAGATAATTAAAAATGATTAATTAAATTAATTTAAAAATAAAATAATTATAATATGTAGCGTTTTTTGTTTAAAAATTTTAATTTTAACACAAACCAAAATATGCCTGCAAAAACTAAATAGAAAGAAACCAAAGGGTCATAAGTTAATTTAGAATAGTTTGTTTTTTAATGTTCTTTTTATTTTAGATATAAATCACATCATCTGTAAGAACTCTTATTTGATCATAGGATGAGGTTAAGGATAAGTCAGGTATTAAGGTATGTAATATGGTTAAATGGATTACATAGGCTAGCTTATAAGGTTTTGTTAGATGCAGAATATAAAAACAGGTTATGGAGCACAAAATGATCCCTGAATACTAATGATTTTTACTTAAAATTGATTGATTGAACTGAATTCAGAATGATTTTGATTTAGATTTTAATAAACTTATATAGATTAGTTCTCTTATTAGACATTCTACACATTAGTTTTAGGTTGATCGAATTCATACTAAGAATCTAATTTAAGGTTTTTTGCGTTTAGAAGTTTGGATTCCAGTTTAGAAATTTTTTAATTTTGTACAGTTACATTATTAGGGATGGTTAATTTGCTGTTGTTTTCAGCAACAAAGACATCTTACTAAGAATTCTTCCTTGAAGAATAATTCTTCATCTGAGTCATGTAATTATTGCTAATTATTTTTTATATATTTACTTCATGACAAATAATTGGTTCAGCATAGATTTTATATAGACGACATCGCTTTCTTAGAGCTATTTGAGTTCTTCTTTTTCTTTGTACCTGTATTGCTTGATAAGTTATTAAAATTCTGTTTTCATTTTCTCATCTATATTGAATCTTTTAAAAGAATTATCTCTGCTGTAAATTACTCCAAGGACACTAGGTTTAATTTATTTTAATAAATCCGATGCTAAACGATAATATCTAAACAAATACATTAATCCAAACCAACTGCCTTACTGAGTCTACGTAAGACTTTCCTCAGAGTGGCATAAAAATAATTTTTGCATAACAAATCAGAACGACCAGGCATTTATGCTGCAATTCTAGCCCAGCTATTACCACAAGATAGTTAAAGATTGAATAAGTTTTCTTCCTCTTCCTAAGTCCAATTACTTTTATTCAAATCGGGGTTAAGAATATTCTAGTATCGTTCTCTGCAAGCAGCAGAAGAACGAACTTTTAAGGGGTTTTTCCCTAAAGATTGAAGTTCACGTGCAATATGATTCCAAGATGTACAGCCATGAAGTTTAATAAGTTCTAATAAAAGTTTGTCTTCCTAAAGAATCGTAAGCAAAAGTTTACTTGATAGGACCAGCTCTATCTAGTTTCTGATTATTTAGATTACATTGTTGCTAAGTAACTAGGCAAGCTTATTTCAAAATAAGATATATAATTTATATTAAATGAAAATTTTGGTAATCATACTAAAATATTAAATATTAATATCATTCTTTAATGCTGGATTCATAGTATTTTAAATGAAACACCACTTTAACATCTTCAACAATAATCTCTCTGCTTCACTCATTAAAGCTTTCAGACTTTCGATTCTCAATATTATTATCTAAAATATAAAATAATAACTCAAAAATTTAATAATCAAATAGCCTCACTAATTATACCAAAAGATGAATTAATTATATATTCCTATTAATTTTTAAATTTCAACAATCAGTACTATTTTTAGAATAATCTATAATTTGCAATTCCATCATGAAGCTCCCTAAAGTGTTTGTCAACTCTTTCCACTCTTTCGCTTTTATAAGCAGAATCAAATTAATTTTATATAAAAAATAAATAATTAATTTCCTGTCATTCAAAATATTATTCCCAAACGCAATTAACTAGTGTCTGAATGTAAATCTTCTCATTTTTTGACCAATACAAAGTTCTATAATCAAGATCTCTTCCTTTTCAAGTTTACTTATTTTTATCATAAAATGGTGATCATTAGAAGTAATAATTAAGGATTAATTTTATACAGAATTATGTATTTGGAAGATCTAATAAAAAAGTATATTAAAATATTAGACATATTAAATTTTTGAGAATATATATTTTATAATGATAAATTATAGTGCCTTCATTTTTATGGATAAAATACTAGTTCTTTGAGATGACCCTTGATTTTTCCAGCTTCATCTTCTATTTATTAATGTAGTTGTTCAATCCTAAATACAAATTGTTCTTGCTAATATATTATCTTCTATTCGAATCCATTGCTTTCATTATGATTAGATGATTAGGTGAAATTGTGTTTTATGGCATATTTAATAAAATCATTAGCCTAACAATATAGTAAGTCTTTTTCAGAGAAAACTTATTCTTTAAAAGTCTTCAAGGAAATTAATTTAATATTGTTCTAAGCTACAATCTTATGAATTTGCAATTGTAATTGTTATAACTTCTATTCAGAACCTGGATCCTCTTTCAATAATGAAGATACTTTCTCCCAAGCATTTTCAAATTATGATGAAGTAGATTCAAATAATTCAAATTAGTCGCTTAGTTGTTGAAGTTTCATTTAAGTGCTAATATTAATCTAGCAATATTTACTGTTCAATTAATTTAATCATCTATTAACCAGGACCGAACATTATTGTTTCATCTGGAAATCCGTAGTCTGCATGATCCCTGACATCCTTTTTGTCTTCATCAACTGTGCTTTCCTAAATAACATTATTTCTTACCAACCATGCCCAAAATATTTCTTGATGTCTATGCATTGAAGTTTCAAATTCTAAAAATTACATAATCTCCTTCAAATTTGCTATAATTTCATTTAATTAATCTGGATCCGAGAGACTGAGCAATTGATCGACTGTAAAATCCTTTAAATTCATTTATTATACTATTTTATCAATCTGTTTTTATCGTATATTCAATATACCTGGGTTTATTGGGCTTCCTTTCTTTTGAATAAGCAGGAAAGTTATTTGAATTGATGTCTAATTATTCTATTTAGATTTTCAAAATCCTTCACTTAATTACCCTCGCTTACAAATCTTAGAGTCGAAATCTCTACTTCCTGTTCTTTTGTCTTATTAACTAACTTTATTTTCAAATTGGCCACCCTTTTTTCGATTAACCTTTTGTATTTCTCAAAAATATCTGATTCAGCCAATATTTGTCCAACAACTAAAAGCAAATCTCGACTTGATGAATAATCCATTCCAGGCTTGCCATTTTTGTAGATTATAAATGGTGAATTTCTTAATGCAAGTAAGATGATCTCCAATCCATCAGGGTCTGTATGTGTATTGGTAATCTCATTTAATTTATATTCGAAATCGAATAAATCTAATATGAGTAAGTTATGCATAATGCTTGAGATTGGCTTAATCTAATAAAAAGATTAAGTCATAGTTACTGCTTCAGAGAGATTATGTTTTGCTTGTCTGAAGGTGTTGGGATCGATATTATTGATCCCAAAAGCTTATAAGATATTGCAGATCGCTTAAATGGTTTCCTTTACGGTTTACATATATTTTTATGTATTTGATAAAAATTATTAATAATTATTTAGTATTATTAATGGAACCTCCTAATTGTAAGTCTTACTTTACATCTTAGAAATACCAAAATCTGTAATGGAAGGATTCGATAATATCTTGTTGACTCAGACCTCCTTTATGCCTTAAAAAAAGAAGGTGTTTTTAGAAGACAATATAAAACATGGGAAAGAAATCGATAGAGATTACAATAAATTATAGGATATTCTTGATGTAAAAGTAAATGATGGAATAGGCAGAATTTATAAGGGAAGATTGATAAGATTATCAAATCATAAGAGGATGACTTTATGATCGCTTATAGGGAATAAATGACAGATGTGCAGAAGGAGTTGAAGAATATGAAGAGAAAAATTGACGAGGAGGCTTTGAGGTAGAAGGCAGATGAGAAAAAGAGAATTCTGGAGGAGGAGAGAGATTATTTTAAGGAAGAAGCCCTAAGATTGGACAAATTATGTTAGGAATAATTGAGAACTATTGAAGAACTCAAGTTTAAATTGAAAATTACATTAGAAGAAAAGCAATATTATGAAGGTTTTGTAATAGGTATAAGTTGGAATAATTAATTAGATTCCAAAAAGGAAAATAAAGCATTAAAATATGAGTTGTTGTATTTGTACAAGCAAAAGAGTGAGGAACAAAAAGCAGGAGCAAAGGTAAGTTAAGTTGTAGATGTTGGACACAGAAATAATATGAAGAAGATACTTGAAATCAGACCAGACATGAGACCAATGACTTAGGATGGCACTCATGTAAGTTCAACAAAAGATGAAATTGGTGAAGGATCAAAAAGGGGGTTTTCATCAGTGAAGAAAACTGTGAAAACTCAATTGTCCACAAAGTTTTAGGATTAAGGTTCTTCATTACATGATTTCTATAAGAGAGATTTATCATCATAGTAGTAAAGCAGATAAAATCAAGACATGTAATAGGTATTAAATGCATAATATTAGATTGAAGAAATTTCCAAAAGTAATGTAATCTAAGATTTGAAGTAGCAGTTGCAGAAAGAAAAATAATTGACTTAGTAATTGAAAGTCGAACTATCATAATAGAATTGTTAGAGAGGAGAGCTTGAATAAATTTTATTGGAATGTGTTGCTGAAAAGAAGAAAGAAGTTCATTCTCGTTAATGCTTGCAAAAATAGGTATTGAATCATAGATATTTGGATGTATTGAATCAGGATGGAGACACAAATTTTTCACAATTTACTCACACTGATAAAATGTATTTACAAATTTAAGTTTAGTGCTTTGTTGAGAAAATATATTGAAAGTGAAGAATTTTTCGATTAGTTATATTCAATAACCTTCAACACTTAATTTTCAATCTCATCATCACTAAAATTAAATGAGAAATGGAAAATGGATGCAGATGAAGCAAATAAAAAGTTCAATCATTTTAAAACCTTTAAATTTAAACACATTACAAGTTAACGTAATTTATACTATTTTATGATCTTAGCAATATTAAAAACATCCCTTGTTAAGAAGAATGAAAGAGAAATAATATCCATATCTAATAATTTCACTGAAAAAACAAAGGGGTTAATTGATAAAATAATTAAAAATTGAAATTGAAATTTGAATTATGTATTATTTATTGATATGTAAGATTCAATTCGATTGGGTAACTAAATTGTAATTAGTAACTTCATTATGAATTACTTCCCAATTACCTAATTTTAATTTACTATAATTTTATAAGTTCTTTTCGATTGGCTTGTTTCTTTCTTCGTTTAAATAGATAACTAAATCAAGTGTTTGATGTATCACTGGGGGAATAACTGCAGCTTAGGTAGTAGTATCTATATGGTATCATATTGAATACCGAGGAATAATGCAGGATTGGTGTTCATCTCAATTAGGTACACTTTTAAATTGGTATCAATCATAATATCACAACCCATCAACTCAAAAGTTCCAATTCGTTTTTCAAATTTATCACTTGAACATCTAATGATATGGGCGAAGATCTTTTTCATCTATAAATATATTAATTCAATCCTTTCTTAAGTAACATTCTTTTTATCTTTTAAATATTACTAGGAATCTTAAAAAAATCTTTTACTTCGAATTATTGCATAGACCAAATAGTTGATTCTTTTGATTGATTGAAGGAGGGATGCTTCTTTTATATGGCAGCATTGGTTAAATGTTTATATCTATTTTTTTCATCATCCATATCTTCAACGTTATATTTATCCACCGATAATCGTAGATAGCCATGTTGAAATAGTACAAATAACGGCCGAGTTGTGGCAATCAAAACATAACATCGAATGTCAAACTTTCTGCCCTCCAAAAGTAATGGATTCTCAATATATCTTTGAACAATACACTTTCTCAAATTGGGAGTAAAAATCCCATTTTATAAAAATCCTTTTTAAGCTTTTATTTAATTTGAGATTTATTTTAATCTAAATCATATAAACTCTACTTTAAAAATTCCTATTTCAGTTTTTTAGCATTCGAACAGAGCTTGATACCTCGTCCACAATTGAAGTAGGTTGGTTTAATTATCCAAACAGCCGAATTATCTGTCTTCAGGAATTAGTCTTCTTCAAGGCTCAATTGTTCTGAAGTCAAGTCGATTCTATAGGTTTCAGGGAAGAAATGACTTGAACTAAATTGCAATTCTGATTTAAATATTGTATCTATACATTATTTTGATCTTTCGTATTCCTTCATAGTCTAAATGATCAACTATTTGGATGTCAGAATCATATGATTAGGTAAGTGGTTGATTATTTATTGTCCTTCCTTAAACAATTAAAATTAAATTTCAGAATTGGTTTACACCCATTTTAAATAGAAATCGTTATTAGTCTTGCTTATCTCTTAATCCAACTATTTCCACCCTCTAAATATTGATTAATGCAATAAGTGTACTGAAGTTATGATAAATAATTTGCGATCAATTTGCCATTGTTCCCAGGACCTACGTAAAATTGTCTCACACAAACTGTCTTCTTATTTAAAGATTTCTTCTTAATATCCTCAGTTTAAGCCCTGATTTTCTTAGAACTCTAACTCTTTTTCAATTTACGACCTCTCTATGTTTATTACATATTTTGTGATAATAAATAAAATTATAATAAAAATAGACTTCCATCCTCCAATGTAATTTAAGTGTGCAGAATATTTAAAGGAAGCTGTATTTATTCATTCCAATATAGGTGAACACAAATATTGAGTAAATTCGATTTTCATTTATGTCTAAAGCTTGCAAACAGATTGCATAATTGCTGCCTTTTCAATCGATGTGGCATCTATTGCTTAAATAGGAGAATCTCTTTTTTTATATGTTGATGCTCTAATCGATGTTTGGTTAAAATATTAAAATGCTCTTGGAGTTAATAATTGAAAGGTTTGCACCTATCACGTAGTTTTAAATTTAGTTCTTAAATGCTTGTACATTGGTGTTTTCTCAAGACACTTACCTCTTGTCAGATGTGATCAAAAGCCAACTTCCAAATATCTATAAAGAGTGTATAACCTAACTACAATTCTTTATCAAACAAATCCCTAAAAATGATTCCAAAGAAGGTTAGTCAGTTGCAGAATAAATTGCTTAGGCTTACAAAACTATCTTAGGAAATATCCACGATTAGAAGGTTACCATCGAACTCTATACAAGTCTCCAGCAGATCGTGCAAAAATGGCCTTTAATACATGAAATCAATCCCTTAGTTTTCCATGAAGTTGAAGAAATAATTGCAATGAGAACTCCAAGAAATGTGGAGATCTAATTCTACGAAGAACCAACTGAATGTGACAGTCCTACCAAATCGAACTCAATTCGAAAGGAAAATCAGATCGTAGTGGAATTATAGAGGTGGCTCAGTAAAATGAATTATCCTATTCCCGTAATCTCCAAAAGAATTGCCAGCAGTGTAATAAACTCATAGAACATGTTCAAATTGAAAGAGAATATTGAGATAATGCTCTCATTTATCTATTGTCCATTGAAATATGACCCTGCTAATTGTGTACAATATTAAACTATTTTAGTGGATGAAGGTTGAATTCGATCACAAAATCAGTTTAAAAGACATACCCAATCTTAAGGATTGCTATTCCTTACAATCCCCTGCTCACATTTATCACATCAGATCAATTAGATCATTACAGAGTTTAACTGACGAAGAGAACCATTAAATTATCGCAAAGGTCAATCCAGCTTATTTAAAAATTGCTTGTATGACTATATTTATCTATTTTTAGTTTCATATTTGGCGGAATGCATAAATGAGGATCACTTAAAAAATTGTAACTTCAATCATTTAACTTAATTAATGATATTTTATTTAGAAAAAGAATAAGACATTTCAATTTACTTCTGTTTACATTATAATATCCCTTATGCTTTTTTTTACTACATCAATTATGAGCAATCCTCTACATTTCTCATTAATCTCTTCTTATAAATTAATTCTTTGGGCCATTTTGTTACAGAACATCAATAAAAATTGTATGATCAAGTGTGGTCCTATTTTAAGGCAGCTAAACTGTTTGAAGATATTGTTAATTTACTATTGAACCCAAAAAGTAAATAGGATTTGTTATTTAAATGCTCATAAAACTTTAGGAATAACAATATGCTTGAAGCCTTCACTCTACATCCAGATTTCCATTTGAAAGAAAAAGTCTATTAGTAAAACGAAAATAATTTTAATTTTACTGTTGAAGAAAAGATACACTTAAAATGGGACATAGATTAACTTAAGCCATTTGTCCAAAAGAAGACCATCAAATAATTATCTTTTTTCAACAAAGTTTCAAATAAGATTTTACCCCCAGCCAATGAAAAACCAGCATCTATGATGGATGTTATCAGAGTGGCTATCTAGAATGCAGAAATCATCAACGAACCTCATAAAAAGAGATAATCAAGAGCCACTAGAGAAAAGTTAATAGTGTTAAGGAGTGCTTCAGTAATGTTCGACTTAGATGAATAAGATTCAGTGAAGGATCCATTTGTTCCTTATAACTACAACCCTAATCCTTTAGAATTAAGAGTTGAAACCAAGGAGAGCAATACAAAGTATGATTAAAAATCAGTTTCATTTATTAAGGATAGTCATAAAAATATACAGAAAAAGCATTCAAGAAATATGTCATTTTAATTGTATCCTTTGTCACTGAAAGATGTCACACTTGGCAAATGGGATCACGAATAAAAATAAGATCAATATCAAATAGAGAAGTATTCTAAGATAATAATAATTTAATAGTTTAATGAAGGATGAACCCTTTTGTTATAACCTACTTTAGTTTTTATCAACAATAATTTAGTAATTGATCTTAGGAGATCATAAGTTATTTTCCAAGACTCATAGTATGGGTAGCAGACAATAATTGTTGGGAACCATCTTGCTGGATGAAAATTGTAAAGTCTTTGACAATCTAATGAAGGTAATATTTGATTATTATGATCAAGATATACTTGTTTAAGATTAAACTAACTCCATATGTAAAAGAAAATAGTTCGGTCATTTGTGGATAACTAGTCAATCTTATTATTAAGAAGAAGCCTGAATATATGAACTTCTAAGATAATGGCTAAACCTATATCGATTATCTGTGTAAAGTGATCATCAACTCTTTATCATGGAAAACCTCCTCAACCTAAGTTATTGAATTGGACATCAGTAAAACCTTGCTTTGTGAAACACTTTATCTATTAATTGAATATGGGATGAGCAGAGGACAAACACAATTACTGAATAGGATAACTGCTACCACTTGGAGTTGTCTAATAGAAATCTGCAAATAGTGCTTCCCCATTCGACCCAATCAAACCTTTTAAGGGATATTTACCAAACTTTTGAAATTAAATTTGGAATTTGGATCAGAATTCAACATCCATACGATATTTATGAAATTAAATTTATTGAGTGTGGTTAAATAATTGGCAGAACTGACACAATCAAATTAGGTGTAAAATAAGAAATTTAATTATTTAAATGAATTTATAAAGTCAATTTGCAATTTGATATGCAAATTTATTAATAAACAATCATCAAAGGAATGTTTTAGAATTATTTAAAGTCTTGATTCATGGAATTACCTTAAATAGCAATATAAAATTATAACTCATAACCATGCCAATAGTTTTTATAGTGTGGATTCGAGATAAATTAATAATTCAACTCCAGCAACAAGTTAGAGCTTTACAAAAATCAGAATTCGAAAATCTAACCATTCCCAACTATCAAAAGAATGATTCATAAATATGTATTTATAATTATATAAACATTTGATTATTAACTTCATTCTATTTATTTAAATAAATTCTTAATTTAATCTTTCAGCTATTTCAAAGTAAGTGTATCATTGACCGAGAATTACTTTTCACTTTATTGTGAATCTAACTATTTTTATTTTGAAATGCTTAATGCTCTTTTTGAAATTTAGCCACCCTTTTGTTTCTTGGTATCATTGTTTCCCTTTTGAGAGGGTCTCTAACCTTTGCTTATTCTTCTCCCTCTTTTTAAACCAGGTTTTTGGTCAACTTAATTTTCTTAGGTTAAATTTTCCTGGTTTTATTTATTTTCTCTTGAATCCTCTTGACTCTTATTCTCCTCATTTTCATCAATTTGTTTTTCTTAAATTATTTGTTAATTTATGGATGTTTGACTTTTCAAGGGTTGTTAGGAATTACTTTCTTTTTCAGAAATTACCTCATAAGAGATTACCAACTCCTATTTTAACTCTCTATTTGATGCGACATGCTTGTTATTTTCTAATGTAACATAATTTTTTATATATACATTCTTCTTTGATCACTTCTTATGATTTTTTTTCTTCTGATTTTTCTTTACTTTCACTCTTTTCTTCTATTATAGGCTATATGACTTTTGTGGGTTTTTCATCTGCTGTTTCATACATTGTTTCCGAAGAGGATTCGTCTTTGCGGTATTTTGATTTTTCGCCTCCATTTGTGAATCTCACTTTTAAACTAAATTTTTCTTGGTCTGTTGCAGTCATATTATTCCATTCCGTCATTAATTACTCAAATAATCGGGCTTTGTTTTCATACAATTCTTCAGGACTATATTAATGAATTTTGTAATCCATAAAATATAAAAGCTGAGTGGACTTAACTAATGATATTCAATGATTACTAATCTAATTGGATTAGGTTTTCCTGTTTCATTGTTCATGATAGCAAAAATAATAAAATTCTTTGAATTTAAAATAATACTATCAAATATCAAAATAATAAAACATACAAAATATTTCAATTTGAAAATAATAATAAAAAAAAAAAAGGATTAACAAATAGAGAATTATGAATAAATAAAATAAGAGTTTCTAATAATTGCTATTGATGTGTAATTTGAATTAATAAAATATAAATGATAAAAATTAGAGGATAGAATGAGAATAGGATTTTCTTTTTAAAATTAAGTAAATGTGTATCTGTTCTTGAATTAATAAACTTTAAATTTCTATGTGTAAACCAATTAATTCATTCTAATCTCTAACCTTATTAAGGACAAATCTAACTAAAGTGTTTTGACCGGCTCTATATTTTACAATAAGAATTGTATTGAGCATTAAATGTCTTTTTAAAGAAAGGATTAAAATCTGGATTTGTGGTTTGATTAAGCATGAGTAGCAAACTACTGAAACCATTGAGCTAGCTTGGCAATTCTAAATAGTGAGGTCTTTAGAAGATAATGGCATTTTTGGATTTCAATTCTAAGAAACAGGGAGGAATAGTATGAATTGGTTTAAGAAATTCATAAAATATATTAGGAAATGGAAAAATAAAAAAGTCTAATTGATGTATAAAATTAAAAGTATCGGTAGCTTACTTTTGAATATGGACAGAGTTACGAGGACGAAGTAAGAAGGAAGTAGTGGTTATATGAGTATATGACTGGATGCTTGAAGGAAGTAAAAAATTTGAATGAATGATTAGAAAATTCTGGAGTTATTGAACACTATGTTTGGGGACTACATTAATGATCTGTTTCTTCTTATTAGTTTTATTCTGATTTTAGTGGGAATAGTTTAGGAGGACAACTAGGAGGATATTATATCGTCGTAATTATTGAACAATTTACAAATAGACTCATTTTGTTTATAGTGTACTTATTGCCTTTTCTGATTGAAGCAACGATTAGAGCAATATAATTATTTTTAGAGCAAAAATAAAGTTGGCAATCTATTTTGCAACAAACACGAATTGCTTACACTAGATTAAAGGGATTTAAACGAGAAGACATGGTTTATAGTGACACCTAGAATTACCTTAGACAGGGTCGTTCATCATCAATAAGAAGTATTTAATAACTTGACTCATAATCAAATGTACCTGATGTTCTACCAGCTTCAAACGTAGAGGATGTATTTTACAGCAATTTAAAAAGAGGAGACTTCATTCTCCTTAGTCGGAATCAATAATGTCCAGGAGACTTAGTCATATTGGACATGAGCGATAGACATGGATACTTTTATTCAAAAAGCTATTTCAAGTAGGCTTTTCTTTAGCGCAAAGAACCCATGAAGACCACAAAAGTAGAAATGAATGCGCCTAACAAAGGAGATTTGAATTATTTAAGAAGGATATTAAAGGGTAAACTGACATTCAATAATAACTATAATTTTGAATAATTTGAGGGTCACATAAAGTTATCCAAAGACCCCAAAGGAGAACCCATTTTGCCTGAAAATATTCTGTTTTTTGGATAGGCTCTTCAGTTCAGTGAATGGGTATTTGGAATCCTAATCAATGTAGGAGGACAATCTTTATATAGTAGAAATTTGCAATCTGTAAAAAAACAACAGCGAAATAAGAATAGATACAAGAATCTAAGCATTTTGCAACTCTTCCTATATATTATCATGCCCATTATTGCATCCTTGATTTAATATTATGGATACCAATCCCATTAATCATTCAGCAATATTATATTACATTGTTATCAGCAATTCCTGGCTGTCCTACCCTCTTATTTAAATTTGTTTCTACATTTGTTTGATGTATTCCTAATTATCAGTGAAAATCGATCACAATAATAACAATCGAAAGACTGCAAGGAATTGATATTGGAAAATAAGTAAAATACAAAATAATAGAGTATCAATTATCCAGTCAATATGACTCAAATTATGGACACTACTCATGTATTTCTGAATATCCAGATATTGTCTGATGCCAAGATCGAAGCCTTGTGTCATGGAGATAATATTTATCAAATAGATTAAACTCTGATTCCAGATTTAGTCATAAATTAATCTTTTAAAAAAACACAGTTTTATTACAATTTAACTAAACAAGTGAATGACGAAAACATAGAAATTTTATAGGAGAAGATTGAAACCATCAGTCCAAATGTGCCTCCTCAGAAATTAAGCATAAATTCTCATCAATAATATAATGTCATCATTAGTAAAGAAACTGCATAAAACAAGAGACCATTCTTTAAATAGAATACTTAAACTCTTCATTCTCCAGTACTCAATAATCCAAACAGTGCCAGACCCTCTTTAGAAATCTTTCACAGTATGGACGGAGGAGGGTTCATCTCATCCACTTTAGCTGGGAATCTTCTCAATCAATAACAACATAGTTAAGTTAGTCAGGAACCTGAAGAAGAACAGGTTAAATAAATCCAAATTTACAGAGAAAATACACTTGTTGAACTAGGACTAAACTAACCTTTTTAATATTTTGAGTTGTTTTCTGTCATTTCTTTATGTCATCTAACAAGAAGTGAGTTGATGACTAGTGGAGAAGAAAACAGGTCATCTTAGAAAAATTCAAAATTAGGATTCTCAGAAAGGGAAAGAATCAGAAAACCTAAATTCAATATAGACTAATACTTTCTAGCTGAGGATGAAGCCCTGTTAAAATTAAGCAAATTATTTAAAATTTCATATAAGACTTATGGATTTAATAGACAAGAGTAACTTTGTTATGTATTGAAAATTAATGATTTAGAAATTCCATATTAAATTCATTATAGATTATATCATCAAGGATTTATAGATTACGATGAAACAAAAAATAATAAGATGTTTAAGATCCCATCCAGATTTATCGCCATGATGATTTAGGATAACAACTTTTAGCTTAAAGAATCAAACCAATTGGTATTATTGTGTAGATTTTGCATTGTAACTATTTCAGATATACCTGGATATGAGAAATTCGATTTAGTCAAGAAAGCATCCTTATAGAAATAGATCCAATATTTAATCAATAGAGGAGATATAATCATTTGCTTTTTGAAGATGTCAATTAAAGAACAAGATCTCCAGGAATCAAAGAGTTTGATCATAAATGACTATGATAAAACTATTTAATTGATAGAGTTAATATCTGAAAATTAGTATGACATTATTGGCCTTTTTGGAATTAGTTAAAATGATAATTAGGACTTAATAAAGGAATCGTTTATCACTAACAGATCTAGGATAGTTATTCAATCAGAGAAACCATATGAATTGGTTCTACCATTTTGTATTAAGAATAGTGTTTTGCACAATGAAACTATTACTTATAATTTCTAGTCTTCTTCTAGAGATGACATTCTATATCAAATTAGATAAATTATCAGTAGTCTAAATCAAGAAGATCCAAAGAAAAGTTCCACTTTAACAAATCGTAGAAATGCTTAAATTTAAAATGATAAAATTAAGATCAATAACAATGCCTTAATTATAGATGGAAATGTGTTGGATTTAATCTTAAATGATAAATACCTGACTAATCATTTTGGATTTATAATTCATTTTAATAAAATTATTATAGTCTACAACATGAACAACAACTTGAAATAGAAACTATTGAATTTTGTAACTAAATATGATAGTGAATATTATTCGTCGTTATGTGTTAATTATAGTGCAGGATCACACGGATTAGTAAAGATGAGTAATTTCTCTTATTAAAGACATGAGGAGATTGAATCAGACGTGATGGGTTTTATTAACCAATATTCTGTAAATATTGATGAATTAGAATTGTTTGATAATCTAGTCATCAAGACTGGGTTTCAACTCTTTTAAATTAAGGATGCCACTTAACGTATATGTATTCAATGGAACCTATGTTTTGCTTTATTGTAAATGACATTATATTGTTTTCCTGATTATAATGGCTAATTATTATTTAAAGATAGATTATTAATATTGCAAATACTGGTGCCTGCAATAATATTGATATATTCAATTAAGACAATATTTGTAGAATAAGAATACTTGACTGTGAAGATAAATACAATAAAGTAGAAATCACTTGACTTGAAGAATAATCACATAGTAGAATTACTATTAGAAACTTTGATGGATGTATTTCTACTGACAATTGTTAGATATACGTGCTATATGAATAACATTTAGATTGAACTCTACAATACTAAAGAGGAGATTGCCATATTCTTTAGTTTTATTTTGATAATTCATGTCTTAAAGTTGGCATTTTTGTCAAAGGAAATCTATTTGAGACTATTCTTATCTTTGAGCACTTTACTGTTGATACTCTTGCATATCACAATAGAGATGATAAGTTTGGATTATGTGTTATTGAGAGTGTTATTAATACAACCTACAACTATAATGTCTTTTCTGAGTTTATTGGGGTTAAAAATAGTTATGAATTTATTTGGGCAATTTAGTATATACTTATATAAGAACTTCTTGGAGAGATCTCAGTAAGATATTGACTTTAATTTGATTTTGGAAATCATAACAAAGGAATTGTAGAGTGTAAAGAATATTTAATATTTGATAAAGAAGGTATTTTAGGATTCAGAGATAGATCTATCTGTTAAGTAGATATTGGGAGACAACAAGAATCAGTTAATTTAATTAAACAATTATACATTGAATTTTGAAGAACAGGTTTATAATTTGGAATTCATCCAGATGTACATATCGAAATGGAAATTCATAGGGATTATCACAAACTTGAGTTATTTCTTCGGTTTGGACATATTTTTGTTGATACATTACGGATTGAGATTCTAAAAGATAAACACAGCTCTATTTTCAATTATGCTGTTTATGACATTCTGCTAGGTGTTTCTTATTAATTAATCATGTTATCCTAGTTACAAGAAGTTGATAATCTATTTTGGATTTCTGTAAACCATTTATAGATTATTCATCATAAGTGTAGATGTGTATGACTAGGAGAACAAGATGTACGCATTCATCTTCTATTATCTGGTCATATTTTCATTGACTCAGCAGATCAATTATAAGTATGTGTTTATAGTGATCCAATAAATTATTACCTTAGTATCTGGGATAGTTATGCTGTATGCAAATCAAAAACAACATGCTGATGATGTGTATTTAGGTGAAATCATAGTATTGTTTGTGTCTTTCAGCATTATTTCTCTATAATCTCGTTACCAGGATGACGTAACACAACGTGAAGATTACATATGTTGGAAGGTCTTAGAAATTGAAAGATCAAAGCATCAATCAGTAATGTCATTGTTGTTGCCTCCATTTGTTTTGGGTAGACTCGATCAAGGCCATCTAGATTTCTCAGAGAATTAAGGATTGGTTGGCATCATCTTTGTAGACATGTGCAGTTTTGATGTGATAGTCAGTGAAGAGGATCAAAACATCGTATAATTGATGGATAACATCTATCGACAATTTGATTAAATCTGTTCATCAACAAATTGTCAGAAAATAGAAACTGTAGGGAAGACCTACATGGCTTGTTCAGGATTGAAATGTGTAGAGAAATTTCAGCCGAAGGGTCAACATTTGAAGAACCCTATTGAAAGATTGGTGGAGTTGGCTTTTGGGATCTAGCAAGAGATCACTAATTTCAAATGGGGAACCAATCAAAAGAGTTTTGGATTGAAAATTGGTATTCATTATGGTAGAGTGTTAATGGGTGTAATTGGATCAATTAAACCTCAATTTTCATTGATTGGAGATACAGTCAACACGACTAGTAGATTATGTGCTCATTGTCCTGAAGGTTTAATTCAGATGTCTCTTCAAGCTTATGATCAGATCAAAAATGTTAAATCAATTAAATTCACTACAAATAAAATCGAGGCAAAGGGGAAGGGTATAATAGATACTTTTTTGATTGAGAAGAAAAGGAGTTTCGAATAATCATTTAACAACAAATAGAAAAAATCAGAAATGCCTCATATTGATTAAAAGTTGAAATTTGTATTGAATAATTAACAGCAATAGCAAAATTCCTTTCGAAATCCTAAGCAAACAAGCATTTCAGCAATTAGACAGAAGACTACAAGACATTTAACTTACAAACTAATTCCTTTAGAAATAGGAGGAAATTCAATAATTAAATCCTCCATAGAACAATTAAACTTAATAACCACCAACATAATAGATGATATCTACTTAACAATAAGGTACTGGATAAAAGGCAGGAAATCTTAATTTCACTGCTAGTTAGTTGTAGTTATTCAGAAAATAAACTAAAAGGAATCTAATGAACAATTACATCAATTTACCTTCCATGAATTAGATCACGTCTCCTCAAGCCTTAAATCAGATGTAATCAAATCAGAATGTTCTTGCTCCGAGTAATAAGTTGATTCATTAGAAATCTATCTTCAGTCATTAATAATAACAGACTCAACAAACTCAATTAGATAAAATAGATAAGTATCAATTACAATCATCGATTCAAATTCCATAGTAGGATCCCTCAAATTTGAATATCATAAGTGGAATCCCTGATATACCATTAGATCAATCTTTGAATGTCATGGACTCTTCAATCAAAGAACAAACTCCACTTAATTGCAGAAAGGATGACCAGAAGAAGTTTATTGATACTACGATTAGGATGATCAAATTTAATGATATAGAATTATTCATAAAATCTAAACCAGAAGTGTTCAATAAGACTATCCCTCTATTTAAGATCCAAGAGTTTTTTCTTGAAGGCAAAAGCACAACAATTCAAGAGAATAACAATAATAAATGGCATTTGATTTCGAAAGAATTTCTATTTGAAGCATTTAAGAATAGTGATGATGTCACCAAATACTACGAGAATGAATTAGAAAATGGCATCAGAAGTGTAATGATCTCATTGCTGCTCCTATTAATAATACACATCTTCTTCATAATATTTTCTCAATTGCAATCAGTAAATACCTAATAGGCAGTAATAAGAGCACTGGGTTGTTTTTTTATTCTAATTGAATTGTACTTCTTGTAGACTCACTTTTTTGAATGGAAAAGAAAGAGATTATTGTAAGTTATACTTATACAACTTGTGAGTCAATGCATCATCTTGGGAGTGTTCTATGATTAAGATAAGGACAAATCAGTAATCTTGTCAATTGAATCTATTATTACAAGTTGTCTCCTATTTGCTCACAAATGGCTTTATGTTCAAGAGAAGATCTTAATTTGTGCCTTCATGTTCACTGTCTGGTTAATCATTATCAGCTCCGTATTCATCATAGATATTTGGGAGGTATTCTTCCTATTAATTTCCATTGCTCTATTGCTATAAAGAGAACTATTAAGTTATTTGTTTTCTTACAAGCAAATGCTCAACTAATAACAAATAGAGATCAAAAAGGAAGACAAGATGAATCTTTTAAGTTGTCTATTGCCTATTCATGTGTTGAGTCAATTCTTAGATGATTCCACTAACTCAAGGAAATTCTCTGATGTCTACAATGATTGTACTATCTTATTTGCCGATATTGCTGGATTCACTAAGTATTCTTCAAGTGTCCAACCAGAGGAGGTTGTCTCTATGCTTAAAAATTTATTCGATGAGTTTGATAAACTAACCTAAATACACAATGTATTCAAATTGTATACAATTGGAGACTGCTATGTTGTGATTGGAGTAACTGATAATTTCAAAAGAGATCCCATTCAAGAAGCATTCAATGTTGTTGAAATGAGTCTCAATATGTTGGAAGCTATAAGCTTGGTTCGAAATTAAATTAATTACCACGATCTTCATATGAGAATTGGAATACACACGGTATTTTTATATATATATCCTAGGGTAATGTTATTGGGGGTATTATTGGAACAGATATCATCAGATATGATGTCTATGGAAAAGACATTCTTATTGCCAATAAAATGGAGAGCAGTTCTGAAGAAGGTAGAGTGCTGATATCAGAGACCACTAAGAAATTAATAGAAGACAACTTCGCTTAATCCTATATTTTCAATGGAAGAAAATTAATTAATATTCCCTCTATAAACACAACTATTACTGGTTTCTTCTTAGAAACTGCAATTTGATTAATTAATATCCTACATATATTATTTATATTTTGGATTTCTATAAATTATACATCATTTTTGATGATGTTTCGTCAATTTTAATAGGTGTTTTTATTCTAAAAATCGCATTTTATATCCATTATTCAATTAAGACTTTGAGAAATCGAGTTCTTTTAAAAAAGTAATTTAATTAGAGATGAGATATTTGTAAAGTATTTATTATTGAATCTGTATATCATTTAATAGATATTTTCAAATATTTACAATGTATTATTATTTGAAATAAAGTATTTATATAAAAAGTAAGGTTTCACTAATGGAAGTATATTAATTTATAATCTAAATTTAAAGGTCTAAAATATATTGAGGTTAAATTGAACATTTAGATTATTATAATTAATTATTATAACATTTATATGAGTTCAGTTTAAAAGGAATTAGATAATTCGAATTGCAATGGAAGAGGACTGTATTTTGATTAGGTTTGTGAGTGTGATTTAGGATATTTTGGAACCGAATGTTCTTAAAAGTTAGAAGACATACACGTTGTCTCTTATTACGCATTTATTGGATTCTTTCTGATCCTCTTTATAGTGCTATTAATTTTAACTGCGAAACAGCTTCATTTATCCGTAAAGACCAATAAAATCCCGTAATATCAAAGGTACTTTAGCAATAATAATAGTATTTAGAGGATTAAGCTATCTGAAGAATTTTCTAGGTTCCCCATTAAATTGCATTTTGTGTTTAATGGTATTGTTTAATATTTTAAAAATCTTGTGGCTTTCTTAGGATCCTTTCAAACCATTTGTAACATCAATCATAAAAAGTAGGATTATGATAAAAGAGTATTTGAAAGAATTCTAGCAGAGGTAGTGTACACCATCCTTTTTTACATATACGGAATCCTATTAATGGTCTGGTACACAATGTACGATGAGATCTCATTCAATATTTCAGAAAGGAATAAAAAATCGAAACTTCAATTATTATTTGGGGATGAATTAAAAGTCGAAACCAGAAAGTGGATATTCGTATATTACAAAGATATAATGAAAATAAGACTTTTCTTTGTCTTGTTGATACAATTAACAATTAGTACATTAAATGGTAACATCAATATGTAATTAGGATTAAGACTAAGCTAAAAGTATAAGACAATACTTTATATTGCGTATTCAATTTTGCTCCTGAATTTCATGTAATATTTATCTACTATACAAAGTTCCTTTATATTAGAATTCTATATTTATGGGAGATCACTTAATCAATGCATAGAGTCTCAACTAAGGAAATTAGATGGAGATAGTGACAAGGAGATTCAAGAAAAGTCTGGCCAAGTGAATTAGTAACAACAAGTAAGTGAATTTAATATATTTGTAAAGATAGTGTACTCCAAGAATTCATTTGGAATTTAATAAGAAGAATAACTCCAATCACCAGAAACACAAGATTAATAAGTGTTGAGAATTAGTTCTTAGAGTGAATGTGAAGATAACAATGAGTAAATATAAGCATAACGAGCGTTTCTCTCCGTCGAAAGATATCATCTTACAAATATCAAAAAGTCAGTCTCCTTTAAGAAATAATTGAATACAATTAAAGAAATTCCAAATGAATTGAGTAATGTAAAAGTAGTTCAAAGCTCGCAGAATTTGGAAACAGAAAATGAGTTACAGAAAAGCAACTTGAAAACTATTGTAAGTGAGGATTCGTAGAGTTCCAAAGAGGAGGGAGCCATTCATTAGAAAATGAATTCTTGTTTATTGAAAGAGGATGACAATGTTTAGGAGAGTATACCTTGGGACATATAGAAGAATAGATAGAATATTAGAAATATTAAGACCATGCAGATAAAGATTGTTGAGAAGACAAAATAGTAAGTAAGTGAAATAAAAAAGTTTAAGAAGGCTACAATTAAAAATATTAATAGGGAAGCTTTATTTGATACTCAATAAAATGAAGATCGAAAATCAAAGATCTTATCAGCTGAAGATTTTTAAACAGAAATGTAAGCAGAATAAAAATAAATAAAAACAGCTAATCTAAATGCAGATAAAAATGTCATAATTAAAATTCAAATTTTGATATATGCAGGAGTATTTCTAGAAATTTGTTTCGGTCTATTATCAATTGTAATTTTATTAACAGACTTATTGAAAACACCTACAGGTTAGAAATCATTAAATTAATGTAGGAACTCTATGTTATTTATATATTTCAGCGATGTTATAGTACCTATCCTTGATGGCAGTATTGAAGTTATTTAAAGATGTGAGAAGTCCAGAAGTCTTGAATTTGATTTGGATATAAAAAGTAGGGAATGGTAAAAACAAAGTCAACCAAAAGTTTTTCTTTACGATTCCACAATTATAAACTAAAGTAGACGATTCAAAGAAGAAATTTGAATAAAGAATCAATTTGCATATTAGATGAAAAGTATTTTTTTTGTATATGTTAACACTCAATTAATTTTAATGACAATTCCTATATCAGTTTGATAATAATAAAAATAGATATAACATTAAATTATTAATTTAGTTATAAAGATATATCATATTATTATTATATTCATAAATTAGACTACTTGAGTTACATTTTGGTCTCTTGAAGTTCACTTTACTTTATTATTTTAGGATTCTCATTGTTCCTAAAATTTCAAATAGAGTTGATATCATTTCGGAGAACTCTATGTTATTTTAGTACAAATATGATATGTTCGATCGTCACTATAGCCTTCTTAAAGCATATATCAAAAGTCTCAATAAATGTATCCTTTTGACTAAAAGTATAGCAACATTTTGATTCTTTAGTATGAGAGGGTTAAAGAATCACCATTAAACTAGTTTAGCCCATTTTACAATAGGGTACTCTAGTAATTTCTAGAATTTAACTCTTTTTTCATAGAATGATAATTTTCTAGCGTTTGAGTTCTAAATCTAACAACAAATTCACTGTTTAAACTCTAAGCTATGCTAAGGCAGTGATATATTAAATAGGGTTAACAGATTAGTGAACATATAGGCAGAAGAGAAGAATTTATAGTAACAATTTTCACTATAAGATAGCCTATAACCTTGAAGACAGGCTACCCAACCAGCATTGATGGATAAACATTTAGATCTTCCAGGAAATCAAAGAATATTTGAAAAAATCTTCAATCCTTAAAATTTCAAAGACACCCTTTCCCACATAAATTCATCTTGTGTTGTTAAATAAAATCTTGGCCCTATGTATTTTTAAAAAGATATGCGACAAGATAAGAGGTCGTTTTGTAGAAATTATATAAATGAGTTATAAAAATTTAATGGATCGCATTCTAAGCAGGTTTCTATTGGTTTTGATATATTTAGTAAAATAAATATAAGCAATATAAATGCTATTTAAATGATTATCTAAAATTTAGATAATCAAAATTCTCCATGACTAATAATGAGAAGTTCAGATTCACATTAAGCAGGTGAAATATAGGAAAAGTAATTTATTAGGAAATTTAATGCAATAATATTTTTCACTAATAACTATAGAAAAAATAAAATACTGAAAATAAGGAGTGTTTAAACATGAGGTTTTCTGCAAAATTATATTTTGATATCTCTAAATACTTTAAATTTCCATCAAAATTTTATTTGATTTAATAACTATATTGTTTGATATTAATTTAATTTGACATCATATCATTTTAAATATTCTCAAAACTCATAAAATATTTTAGAATAGAAATTCATTAACAACAATTAAAAGTTATTGGTTCACTTAAGAATTCAAAACTGGATTTTGCAACAAATTTAACGGATTTTCTATATTTCACACTACTTATTAATTATATATATTTTAATTTATTATCTCTTATTTTTGTGAAGTATCCTAAGTTTTGATTAGTATATAGTATAATTTCTAAAGGGTAGTAGAGTGTTTAGCCACTTAAGAGTGAGAATGAAAAATCAATATATCAATTTTCTTAAGTTTGTTATTAATTGTAGTTAATAATTTGATATCCCTATTTAAGAAATTAGGAATTTATTTTTGAATAATAATATTATATTAAAATGAAGGCTGTCAACGAAGAAAAAATCGCAATATATAACGGGGAAGATATTAAATACTTTGTCTTTCCAGATAAATTTGATCATACCTAAAGTGGAGTTCCTGGAAATCCCTGTTATAATTTTAGATTTAGGATTTTCGTGTTCTTTTCATATATAGTCCTTACATAACTTTTTTAGCTTTTTTGCACTCCAACAGAAAAGATTACAGGAGTTTGGGATATTGGGCACTAAATTACAACACCAATCAACAATTTGTATAAAGAGCATCGATGGTATTCAAATGACATAATTTAGGTTTTCTATTGCATTGTAGTTACTGTCAGCAATTATCTTAGATGTAGCTTACCTTTATATTTCACTTTATTGGGTTCTCTACCAAAGAAATTTTAGATTATTCGCTGCTCTAATTATCTTTTATGTGGTGAGAGCCATTCATCTAAATCTTGTTAAGTTGGAATTCCCATAAAATTACTACTGGGAGGACCCCAGCGTTCCAAGTTTGGTTGTAAAATATGGATTTTTCTCTGATTTCTTTTATTCTGTAATATTGAATCAATATAATTTTAGGGTCATGTTGGATACTTGATTATCTGTGGACTAGAGATGAGAAAGATAGGAAAAAAATACGTGTCAGCATTATTCTTTATATGCTCTTTATATTAAGCTTTTGTTGTAATAACATTTGCAATTCATTACACAATTGATGTAAGATTAATATTCTTAATGTAGGTAACAACGGGATGCATATTTGCCCACTACTTTTATAATTAAGTTTGCTATTGGGAAGTTAAGATAGATTTTTTCCTAAAAATGATCGCTAACTTATTTGTTCGCACTCCAAAATAACCTAATAACAAATATGAAGTTCAAGGTGATAAATAGATAGGAGTGATAACTGCGTGAGAATAGTCAATTTTTATTATATATATTTCATTCATTTAGAGTATAAATTATTATGGATGCAACATCAACAATAAATTAAAATTATTATTATTCTAATACACAATTAAATCTTAAGAGAAATTAAAATTCCAAAAGAAAATGCTTTGATCAAATGTAAATCCAAAGTCAAATAAGGTAAGACAATTATCCATATTAAATTTATCATAATTTATTTTCTGTGTTAGTAGAGAACTAAATGTGATCCAAACATCAAAATTCTCATGAAAGACTCAAAAATTCATCATTAAGAATTGATATTGATAAATACTATATTCATAACAGGTTCGTTTAATCCTTTTAGATTTCATTAACGAATTAGGATAAAAAGTTCATGTTTGAATATACTCATTTTTATATTCTAATTTTAATTATTATATTTTTATTGGTCTTATGAATGGAGTTGTGAAGTATTTAATGATTTAATTAGTTCTTATGAATTGCAGTAATATAGAGCAAAGTCCCAAGATAATTTGAAATCAGTAATTTGAAATGAAAAATTTAGATATTAGTTATGATAACAATACTAAGTGGATTTTGCTTTTTTTACAATGCTTATTTAATATTTTAATGGGATTATAAAATCACCATAATCTACTGCTGTGTATCCTCTTTCACTATAATGGTTCATAGATTACTTAAAAGTCGAAGGTATAAAAAATATTATTTTTAAGTCTTTCCCAATATTGTTGTTTTAATATTTTTGAAAGTTTACTACTTATATCGTATTTACTCTCCATAGTCTATTACATAGAGATTGAGAAGGTGAATATAAATTTCATTTCTTATGCTCAATTAGTCTTATAGTTCTTGATTCTAGCAATCACAGTTCTTATTAATAAAAGTACATCTGAGACGGAGAGTCAAGATCAATCACTTTAGATATAGGAGATTGTAAATTTGATCTAAAATTGATAGCTAATCTCTGCATTTAAAAGTATTAGTGCTCTTCAACTCGTGTTCATTAGTCTTAGAATTACTGAGCAAATTACATGGGGGTGGATTTAAACTTTAATAATAATATGGTTTCTATTGGGGCTGTCATTTGTGATTTTCATTTGTTTGCTTGTTGATATTCTGTAGAAATGCAGAAATTAATAAGATGGGATTGAAGAGGAGAAAAAAAGAGTTATTAGTAAGAATCCATTATACTATTTAGTTTAAGGGGGAATTTGGTTAAATTTGATTTTATTTGGAATCACAATATTACCATTTTCAACAATTTTTGGTTTAGCCTTAAGTTATGACTTTAAATTTAAATCATTAAATTAGTACGCCTTTGGATTGACAATCTTTTATTATCTACTATAATTGGCCTATTATTTTAAGTTCAAATAAAAGCTGATGTACTGTTTCAATTATAATAGAGTGACTATCTTCTATACTATGACATTGCACAAAGTAATTTGTATGTTGACTAGTAATTGCAATAAGTCAATCAAAATAATCAACAAATAGAAAACAGAATCGAACTTAAAATGAAAAGAATGCACAAGTTGAGCATATCAAAGGTGCCTTAATTCATGGTTAAATTATCATAAACTTATTATAAATGTGCACTTAATGCTGATTCACAATGCATGTCATCTAAAATTCAATAAAATCAATTGAACTAAAAGAATCAATTCTAAGAGAATGAGAACGACAATGAATAATCTAAAAGATTTGATTTATTGTTGTCTAGTCCTAGACAAAGGTTGGAGATCAGTTCTAGTATAGGATAAGATCTGACAAGTCGAAATATTGATAAAAAGCAATTAGAAGATTAATCTACTATTAAATAAGAGCAGCAGAATCAGAATTCTCAGAAACTATGTTTAGTTTGTTATGAAAAGGAAAGCAATATGATTAATATGCCATGTGGTCATGGTGGGTTTTGCAACGAATGTTGTGAGTAACTGTTGAGCAAAAGTGAGCTTTGTTACTTATGTAGAAAGCCCGTTACACATAGTTTACAAATACAAGAAGTTTAGAATAGAGAGAGTTTAGTAGAAGTAGTTGAAGTTTTAGAATAACAAAATAAATGAATATATTGATGTTAATTGTATCAACTTATTTTTGTGTTTTAATTTCATATGTTATATTTTACCTCTGATTTACATAAGATATATATTACTTTTAGATTTCAAAAGGACAACATTAGATTTTATTATGTAAAATAAATAATTTGTATAATATTTCACCTGTTTTTAATGGTAAATAAATCACACACAGAATAATTAGAAAATGAAATTTAAATTAACTTGATTTGATATTTTTGATTAACTTAGCTGTTTTAATCAAGCATACGATCAAATTATATGTTGATCATATTAATATAAAAATTTAATCGGATATGGGCAATGCATGTTGCAATCACTAAGAGATTCATTAGAATCACTTCTCTAGCCACACATAAATTCTGATTCCAATGTGCAAATAAAGTAATATTTGGGATTCTTTCCAAGATGATGACGAAAATATTTCACCCATTAAACAATACATAACTCCTAGTGCTGCATCAAAAGTCGATCTTGACTTCTCTTCAGACACTAATCAATCTAAAATGAAATAAACAATACAATTACCAGGTACCAGAAAGTCTGTGAAGATAAGTTATAATAATTTTGTAACTATGAAACAAGGGGAATGGAGTGAATAATACAGCATACTAAAGAAATTAGGGTAAGGAAGCTATGGAAGTGTCTGGCTTGGCTAACACAAAAAAACTGGTATACTGAGGGCACTGAAATAAATTAAAAAAGACTCACTTTTATTTGAGGATTAATAAAGAATGTTATCTGAGCTGAATATCTTAAAATCTTTAGATCATCCAAACATCGTTCGTGTTTTTGAATGCTTCCAAGAAAACGATTAATACATCATCGCTACCGAGTAATTAGTTATATTATCAAGATACCTCCCTGAAGGAGAACTGTTTGAACGAATTAAAAAACTACAATGCTTCAGTGAGAAAATGGCTGCTGATTACATTAAATAAATACTCTAAGCTATAAGTTACTGTCATGATAAAAAAATAGTACATAGGTAAATTAATAATACTACTTTCTTAGAGATATAAAGCCAGAGAATATTTTGTTGAGTGGTCAAGGCCAAGAAATTAAGGTTATTGATTTTGGAACCTCTAGATATTTTTCATCAAATAATAATATGTAGAAAAAATTGGGAACTCCTTATTATATTGCTCCAGAAGTCTTGAATGGGCAATACAATGAAAAAGTGGATATCTGGTCCTGTGGGGTTATCCTGTACATTTTCTTATGCGGTTATCCCCCTTTTACTGGAAAAAACGAAAATGAAATTTTTGAAAAAGTAAAAAATGCCAAATTGATTTTTGACGACGAAGACTGGTCAACTGTTTCTAAAGACGCGTTAGACCTAATTGGCAAAATGCTTAATATCGATGTGGATAAACGGTTATCTGCAAAACAAGCACTCCTTCATCCTTGGGTCTAAAGAAATGCGAAATAGGAAATTATATCTCTTTAATTATTAAGCAACATCGAAAAATTCTATGTATTCATTTAATAAATTTAGGTCAAAAGCAACTTTCAAAAAGCTATGATGACTTTTATGGTTAACCAAACTCTGCAAAACTAAGAAATTAGTGAATTAAAAGCTACCTTCCATGCTTTAGATAAAAATAATGATGGAAATTTGAATAAATTAGAACTGATTGCTGGTTATCAAGATATCTTAAAAAGTAAAGAATTAGCTGAAGAAAAAGTCAATTAAATATTAGATGATCTTGATTTGAACCATTCAAATCTAATTGATTATTCTGAATTCATTATGGGGGCTATGAAATTCGAAAAATTAGTTTCGATTGAAAGAATTAAATTAGCATTTCGTTTGCTAGACTCAGTATTAATAATTATATTTATTAGAATGGAGATGGTTACATATCAAAGGAGGAATTGGAAGATAACATGGGATTTTTAGAGCCTGAAATATGGGATTCATTTTTAAAGGATTGTGACTTAAATAAAGATGGAAAAATATCAGAAGAAGAATTTACTAATATTTTAGTTACTTTATGATTTATATGATATGTTAATTATTAAACACATAATTTACTTCACTCTTTGATGCCTAAAGCTTATTACAACTTATCTACTAATTTCGGTCCTCCAAATTCCAAAGTCGCATTAAACATATCTCCTATTCGACATTTCAATAGTACTACTTCTTCTTGCATCTTTTCAATTATCTCATTAGAATTATCTTGAGTTTGATTCAAAGATTATGCTTCAATTAACGCCTGCTGATAATTATTTGAAATGTTTATCTTCTCAGTCTCCAATTCATGATTTTTTTATTCTAATTCTTTTATTGTAACTTATAATTAGTTAATTTGTAATTCTTATTGTTCAGATTACTGTATGATCTTTTCATTTGTAAGTTAAATTTCTTGGATGTATTCGAAATTCTCACTCTTTTGCTACTCCAAATTCTCCTTAACATTCTCCAAAAATTTAATCAAATTTTATTAATCCAATTCCACTTATTGATAACTTTGTATTTCTTATTATAAATTTTATATTACATCATCCTTATCTTTCAATCTATTCACATAATTATTAGTTATTAATTATATCTCTATAGCATGTTTGCCATCCTTTTCTTTTATCGACTCTTCCTTTTCTTCTAATTACTTCTTCAATTCTAACAATTTAACCTAGTCATCCTGAGATTATTATTATAATTGTTAGATCTATTTGATAAAATCGTTATTTTTTAGTATATTCTTCAAATTAATCTCATCTATTTATTATTCAAATTTTTATTTATTCTCTAAGCATTGCTTCTCCAATTGCTATGCTTTCTCATTTACTATTTATAAACCCTCTAATTAATCACTTAACTATTGATTCTATTTCTATATATTCTGAATCTCATCATCCTTCACTTTTATCTAATTGGTTAATTCCAATCCTTTATGTTCCAGTTAGTCAATATATTATTGAATTATTTCTTTCTCTTTTAGCCATTCATCATTTTCAGTAAATAATTGTTATTATAATTCTTATATATCATTCTAATATTGTAATTAACTTTCTTTAATTTGAGTTTCTAATTCTTCTATTTTTGAACTTTTCTATTCATTAATCTCTATTAATTGCTCTATTTGAAGTGTAAATTCTCCTTCTCTCAATAACTACATCTCGTGGGATTTAACTAAAGAAGTATTTTCTATTTTCATCTAATCAATATCATTTTAAGCTTATTAGAGTGCAGTTGTTTGTTGATTCAATTAAATAGTTAACTCTTCTATTTATTATTATAATTTTGAATGTTATTCTTTATTGATTTCTAAAGGTTCTGCTAATTAAGAATTTAATTCTAAATTAATTACCTGTTATTACTCAAGTTATTCTGTTTGAATTCCAATTTCTTAATATGTTTGTTGAATTATCTCATTTTATTTGTTATCTTAATTATCTTTTTATTATACCTAATCCTATAACTATACTTATTATTATAATTAATCATATTATTATGTCTAATCTTATTCTTATACCTAAACTTATTATTATATCTAATCTTATTATTATATCTAATCTTATTATTATATTTCATCTTATTTTAATGAATTTAAAATCTCTAATTCTTTTATTTTCTAATTTAAATTATTGACTTATTCATCTAAGATAGTAATTTGATCTTTTAATTAAATTATTTCCTTTTCTAATGTAGAGTTCTGCATAGTTAAATTCTCGTTTTGTTAGTCATATTATGTTTTTGAGATTTAATTCTCTTACTATAGCTCCTATGTATTATGAATCGATTCCTTAATTTAAAATTGTAATTGCTCATTTATTATAACTTATTCTTAGTTTTATTGATTTAATTAAGAAATTTTGCTTGACAAATTATTGATTAAATCTTCTTTTTTCAAAATTTCTATTTACAAAGCTTGTAATTTAATTTATAGATCCTAATTTTATTGATCAAAAATAATATTTTACTCACTTAATTGTTGATTAATCTATTTTTCTGAAATAGATTGTTGGATTAAATCTTTATTTTGAATTTCCAAATTTTATAAATTTTAGATTTTTTCATTCTATTGAAGTGTCAATTGATTTAAATTATTTAAAAACTCAGAGTTTGTTTGCATTTATTTTTGTAAAAGAGCATTTTCACTTTAGAGATTATCAATCTTTTATTTGGCTTAATTCAATTCAATTGTTGTTAGTTAAAGTTATTCTATTAATAAAGATTATTGATTATAAGAATTTTTAGAATCTTCTATTTCATATTCCTAAATCTATTTTGAATTTTATTCTAGATCCTACTTTAATTTACAAAATTTCAAAGCTATTGCTTTATTCAATTCCATCAATTGATTTGGAAGATCAGCCTCAGCACTTTCATTCTAAGGGTCAAGAAACAACTTTCTCATAACTTGTGCCTAATTGGTACTATCGTTTATCAGTTATTATAATTAATTGGTTTACTATATGAGAACTTGAACTTTCGTACTTAGTTCTTCCTCTCTTTCTTGTTATTGTTTTAATTCATTCTGAAAATTCTTTTCTTTTTCCATATATTTTTATTCCAAATCTGCTTATATTTATTCCTTTTCTTGTTTTTATTATTGAATTTGTTTTAATAATTCCTCTACCTCTAATTGATGTTTCTATTTTTGTTATTCGCATTAGGTTTAATATTCAGCTAATTCATTATTTTTATTATTCAATTGTTGAGTTAGATTTTCAATATTTTAATTATCTAAGCTTAAATGATCTTCACATTATTTCTTAATTTCTATACTCTATTGATTGATTTACTCCTATTGTTAAATAATCTACTTGGATAATTCATCAATCTAATAATTATAACTAATCAATACTTTTTCATTATGAATTTTTTCATTCTATTAGAGACTGCAATTTTAGTTCTATAAATTTAGTAACTATAAGTTTAAATTATTTAAACTTTCTTTTTATGAGTCTATTAATATATCCTTTTCATCTAATTTATTTTTGAGTTACAACAATTGTTAATTCTGTTGAGTGATTTAATTTTCAAAATTGATATTTCTATGTTAACTATCATTGTTAGATCTCTCTAAAACAGAATATAATTAGTCTTTGTTTTTACAGATTTCCTCCAATTCTTAAAGCCTTTACTTTAAGGATGAGGTATTCTATTCTTCTGAGTTGATGCTTTACTAATATTAATTATACTCCTCACGATAATTTATTGTACTTTTACATAGCTTTTTTATAGTTTTATGTCAGATTTTCATTATCTTTTTGAGCTTACCTTAATTGACTTTAAATTTAACTTAGCTGCTATTCATATTAACATATCTATTCCTGATAAATGTTTTAATCAACCATCTTATCTATCTGCTTTCTTTGTTCTTATAATTGCAAGACCAACGCTTCCTTTTTAACTTTCTCAGTTTGCACTTCCTGTTGGAGTTTATTATTCTGATCTTTGATTTCCATGTACAAAATCTTTTATTAATTGAGTTCTTCATGAAGATGCTATAGATCTAGTTGGATTTAGTTTGACATGTTAGAATTCTACTGTTACTTTGGAGAGCCAAGTTGAGAGGAAACATCTGTGACAGTAGGATGATTAGATTGGCTTTTGGAAAAAGATTTATTCAAATTTGGGGATTGTCCTGATTGACTATCTCCGAAGTATTTTTTTGTGCTTTCAAATGCTTCCTTAAAAGGTGTAAAAATTCCTGTTTTTTTATCAGAGGTTTACTCTTGAACTATTGAAGACTGAGAGTTAATTGCATCAAAATCTACTTCTCCGACTTCTGCTAAATGAATTTTTAAATGAATTTTGGCTTTTTTATCAGGACAGTCTTGCAATAGTAATTCTTCATTAATGTCTAAAGTGCAATTATGAAATACCATTTTTATATTGGTTCAAATAGTCTGCAATATCAAAAAAACATAGTCCTCCCTTTTTATTACCTGTTGGTGCAATGAGCAAAATTAATAATTCCATCTTCTTTTCTTAATATATTCCATTTATTTAATACACATTAGTTTGAATGGCCAGAGTTTCATTAACGATAGCCTTTCCTTAATTGAAATCAGCTAATTACTACGTTTGAATTTTCTATTGCTTCCCTTGATTGATAGAATTATTTACATACCATATTTCAAGACAACTTACACTTTAAACGATAAATTACTCTTCATTTCTAACTTTTCTATATGGATTTGCACTTAATACTTATATCCCTTAGGATTCATCTACATATAATTAATTTTATAATCTAAAAATTATCAAAAATAAAATAAATTCATTTTTAAACTAATAAAAAAAAATGACGCGAAATCTTAGTAATATTTGTTATGAAGTGAGAAGCAATTTCAAAATCCTGCTTAAATGATTATATTTATATACAACGAAAATAAAATTGTATTAAGATTTCATGTTTTGGTTTATCTCCTTTTCAAAAAGTTTCTTCTTATTTCATTATCCACGAATAAGTAATGATGTCGAGTCGATATTTAGTGTGAATACACAAAGTGTTTTTCTTCTTTAATATCTTTGATCGCATAATCCATATATTCATTGAGATTTCTGAAATGATGCTTTATTAAATTTTTCCAATTGGAATTAGTTATATGATTTTTCTATTCCAAATTCTGTAATAACTTCGAATATTTCGACTCTTGATCTTCCAACCTCCTTTTCTCCTTGGAATATGAATCGTTGATTTCTTATTGTGTTATAACCCCCTCTTCGAGTGTGCTACTAATCTCGCTCATCAGACTGGTGAGCCTCGTATTTTTAGTTTATTTTTGAACTAGAACACTTTTTGAGCATTGGATTGGCTTATACTTATGGGAATTGGAAGATCGAAATGAATTCAAATAGAATTCATGCTCAATCGGTGGTAATTTAGCTTAAGCTTATAACCTGTCGACATAATCATAGACATCCTATTTTGATTTGAAATTCGTCTGTTGTTTATAAGGAGTAATAATTTTCTTTTTAGGTCTATAATTAAAACAGATTTCAGCATAAGTGTCATCCAGCATTAAATATTATATAAAATACTAATTATTCCTTTTGTATAAATAATCAATTGATCTTCTTAATTTTTAAGATATTCGATTCATCAGGGTTCTCCTCACTTCCTCCTAGTAGCACAATACCCTTGTCACCAGTCTTGATGATTCCTCTAGTCTTTGCAGATTTGATAGCATAATCAACCAAAGTGTCAACTCCCTGGAAACTAGGAACTCTCAAACAAGTAACCCCACTCGTCATACTTAATCCCTTAATTGTTTTGTCCTCAGTACTAAAGAAATTACTCGATATCTAAACCTAATTGCAATAATAGGAGCCCTTGGTCTATATTTAGCCACGAGTCTAGCAATTTCACCACTGAGAGTGAAACAAATTATCACATGAGCTTTAGTTTCAAAGCTCATTTACACAGCTGAAGCAGCCAAAGCTTCAGTATCCTCCAAATATCCCCTATCATGGATTCTGTTCCAATACGTTTTTTCATTATCAACACATTTTTCTGCTTCACAACATATCTAATAATCAATGGATAGATTACTCTTCCCATAGTCTCTACTGCAATAATTGGGAAAGCCCCATTGGCAGTCTCTCCAGAAAGCATAACGCAATCTGTTCCATCCAATACGGCATTAGCCACATCTGAAGCCTCAGCTCTTGTTGGTCTAGGATTGGTGATGATTGATTCCATCATTTATGTAGCTGTGATAACAGGTTTGCCTGCATTAAGTGCTCTTTTGATCATCCATTTTTAAGCCTAGAATACTTTCTATGGGGGAATCTCCATTCCTAGATCTCCTCTTGCCACCATAATTCCATCTGCTGATTTTAATATTTCATCATAATTTTGCATTCCTTCCTAATTTTCTATTTTAGCTATAATCTTGATTCCACTTCCTCTTGGACCCAAAATGTCTCTGACATCCTCTATATCTTATGCCTTTCTAGTAAATGACAAAAAGACGATATCAATATTATGTTTTAAACCAAATTTAACAAGATCTTCCTCTTCCTTTTCAGTCACTGTTGGCAAATCAATAATGGCTCCAGGTAAAGACATGTTTTTCTTTTCTCCAAATGATGCATCATTCTAAACTGTCACCATTACACTGTTCTATTAATGAATATATCATCTATTTTTAATACCTCCTTTATTTCATCCACAATTGTTACAACAGATCCATCAGCTATCAAGATTTATGATCCAACATGTACTGTTTTACATAAACTTTAGTAACTACAAGGAATACATTCTGATGTGCCCTCAAATGAATAATCAGTAGCTTAGTATTATTAAATTGTTCATACTTATTTCCAACTTCTATCCTTTCTTCAACACAATCTACTTATGTTCCTTATTCAACCCAGTTCTTATTTCTGGTCCCTTTGTATCTAAAGCTATTGCGACTGGCTTGTCCTTTCTTTATTTAAAGGCTTCTCTCAATTTGGCCACTGTTTCTCCGTGAACTTTATGATCACCATGAGAAAAATTGAGTCTAGCAACACTCATTCCTGCATCTATTAATTAAGCTAAAGTAGGCACATCCCAACAAGCAGGTCTAATGGATATCTAAATATTTGTTACCCTATTGTACAAATGATCTTCGTTGCTCTCTTCGAATAATCTGTCTCAGATAGGATTGTTTATAATTCGTAATGCGCAAAAGAATCACATTGCATTGTTATTATAATAATAATAAATTCTTATTTCCATAGAAAATCTCATATCCAATTTATTATGCATCATATATATATATACAATATTTTGTTCAATTTAAGATTCATTTAAGATAGGGTCTCAACTTTCTTAACAAGCTGGTTTTAGTTTTACTCGCATTTATATCATTAGGTAATGTCCTAATTCTTATGTTCTGATTTATTTAAGGGTCTGATTTCTATTAAATCAGCATATTAATTTGCTTATTGATGAATTGGTTTTGCTTCTAATTTAACTAAATCTGTTTATCTCCATTATCTTGGGATTTAGATTGCATCAATTATTAAGACAATCTTCCAACGTCGATACTTCTTTTTTAAGCTAAAAAATATTAATTGAATTCATTTAGACTTGGTTATTTAATCAAAGGCAATTTTTACTCTTCTCGAACAGAGCTCTTTAGTTTCTTATTTTTATCCATGACATATTAAGCTATAACACTATGAGATGTTTTTCTATTGAGGATATTGAGGTTTTGATCACAGTGTCCCCTTGGTGTCAGATATTGATTTATAGTATTTTCAGCAACCTAGATTTTACTAAATTAAGTTTTCTTAAACTAGATTTTAGTCACAATCTAAGGAGAGGACTCACATGATGAATCTGCCTAATCCTAAATGGGTTTAAATAGAAGATTACAAACTTCTTAGCCATCACTTCTTGGTATCTTCTCAGTTTATCTCTTGAGACGAATATATTGTTTTGAGGTTCTTGAATACATGTCTTTCTTTTCAATATTAATCGAGAACATCTTTGTGAATAGATTAACATCCTAATTTTTTTCTCTAATTCAGTATCCAATTTTAATATTGGACCTTGATATTATTAATCACTAACTGTTTTGGCTCTCCGATACGTTATTTTGATTTATTATGGCAATAGAGAACTTCTGCTTCTCTATACTTTCTACTGCTTCTTAACATTTGATCTTTTCATAAATTCTAATTGAATTATTGATATACTATACTGCATTTTTATTCGATTCAATTTTTTCTTTTTATATACTGCCATGTCTCTGCAATGTTGGCTGACATAAACGTAAGGAGCAAAACTGTCTAATCTTCTTTGCTTTAAGCTAATGTAATCATATTAACTAGCTCTTCTGATATTTGCTTTTTATTAAGGGGTTTCCGAGGCTACATTGCTTACCAACGATATTGCGTCCATTATGTCAGGTTTTTCTGATCTTTGCGATTTTCGTGCTGAATTTCTATAATTTGAAGAGTTTGGTATCAAAAGCATATTTTTTAATTTTGGTTACATTTTGGACAATTGGTTCGCTGATAATAGGGTTATGAATGGTAGATCAAAAGAATGAGATCGCTTCCTATTCTAATTTAGTGATTCTAAACTCTCTGGCATCGTTTCCCCTTCTTTTATATTTGTAATTAATCTATTTTTCATTGTTGTATTGAGAATTAACATTTAATAATTTTATATACATTTCACAATTATAATGATAGGATTATTTGTAGTTGAAGCCATTGTAGGAATGCGTAAAAACCTTTCGAAAATAGAGTATCAAGTCAAATGGCTTGGCTATTCCAAAGATGAAAATACATGGTAATTTGTATTTTACTAAAAAACAACCCTGTAGGGAATTACAAGAAAATTTAGTCTAAAATTGCAGTGATCTCATCAACCAATATCATTAAAACCAATTTTTTCAAAAATTCAAAGGTCTCATCACCGATTACAAAGAGATCAAGGGAAATCTGAGAACTGACAGGCCTTTCCAAATTATTAGAGAATTTGAAACTCAATTTTTAGTTAAATTTATTAATTAATTTAGATTGCCTATTATCCAAGGAAAAATAGGTTTGTCGGTTCATCTCTAATTAATAAATCAGAAGCTCCAATAGACCTATTACAAGAATTTTATTGTAAATAGGAGGAAGATGCAAAATAACAAGAATACAACAATTAATAAATCGGTTGCGTTTTAGAGTTTTCTGAAAAATAATCATACGTTGTTTTGTTAGAATCTAAGGAAAGAGTGTTTGTTGACAACGAAATAATTATCGATCGATAACCAGAGCTTTTACTCGACTATTTTGAAAATATGAATTGGATCACAACAGTAGAATGATTATTTATAATAAATATTTTGATTTAATAGTATCAAAAATTCAATTGCATCAAACATTCAATTTGTTTATTATTCCATTAAAAGTCCTGATCTCCTTATATATATATATCAATACCTTATTATCGATCAAATATTGCTTCATTGATAATTTGTAAATCTAAATTGTGCTCCCTTTTAAGGAACTTCTCGATAAAAAAATAACATAAATTAAATAATGTAACAATAGACAAGCCCATTTTTTTAGTGTCAAGAATATGTTGCTGAGTTGAGTAAACCTATAAGCTTGATCGAGTTTGCAAAAGAGAATATGCAAAATTAGTTATCTAAAGAATAGTTATCAAATTCTCATAATCTACTTTCAGATCACAAACATAAAAAAAGCCTATAAGATGATAAGAGTATAGATTTGTTGTAATAATATAGATAGTTAATCCATACAATTCAAATTGGGCTAACGTTTAGCTTAATAAACATTACAAAGTACAAGTTAGATGTAATGGCAGTAAGTGGGTTATAAAGAGAGTGGCTGAAGATGAACCTTCATAATCTATGGTAGGTAGTTTGCCAAATCTCCATAAACCTATTGAAAGCCAAAGAAAACTATTCTCAAATACTGTTTCAAAATAAATTAAAACAAGACTTAATAAATTTATTGTAGATTAACATCGATAATATGCGTTAACACCAAATGAACTTCAGCCTTATTAAAATTCATCACTTCCTCATTTAAATACAAACCCCAATAATCATAATAGCGATAACAACAAATATAAAAATAATAATAAAAATAAAAATTATATAATTAAAATTCGCTTAAATTCAGAATCTCCAAAATAAATGCCTATTTTTGATATTAATTTTATCAAAAACCTTCAGCAATTCATAGTATGATATATATAACATGTTTAATACATCTTATTATATTGTGTAATTGTCATAGTAAATTAAAACATTCAATAGCCGAGCTTTCCAAATATCATCATTGGTGAAATTGAATCCTCATCTACATAAGTTCTAATGTTCGAGTTTTCTTCATTCAAAAAAGTCTCTTGCTTTTGTACTAAAATTTACATTTTTCTTAAGATTTTAGAATGATTCCTGGGTAATTTGAGTGATTCTACCATTTTGTGCAAATCTAATAAACTCATATCTGGCCTTTAGACGAATTCGATGATTTATTTTGGACAATAAGCTAGATTATGAAAGGGCAAATATGATGACATTTTTTATTCGTTAATAAACAAAGTATAATAATAAAGAAAATTAATTCAAAATCGATATCTATGATTCGCTTAACCAAATACTGCATGTCATATTATGTAAATATCATAGGCTAAATTTTATTTGAAGATATTTAGTAATAAATCTATGGGTTTTGATCACTTAAACCCATTCTTATTATTAAAAAAGATTTATTTACTACCTATACCTAAAAGATAATTGATAATAAAATAAGAAGATCTTTGAGAGATAATAGAAAACTTCTTATCGCCTTGATAGCAATAATTAATTTTGTTACTCGGATTTTTTGTACAATGATATAAATGATATATTCTATGGATCTTACTGCATATCTGAAAAAGGATAAAAACAATAAAATATTTAGAATCGGTAGCAAATAACAAATTAATTCTAATTATGCTAACTCTTCTATTATTTAGATATAATAAAATAAGATTCAGAAATTGAATATTTTTTATTCATTCAAAGTATCATTCTATAAAATGATAAGATAACTATGCTAGTTACTATTAATTTGTTGAATTATTAATAGAACTAGAATTAGTTTGGATGTTATACCTAATCTATAGAGACCTTATAGATTTATAATTTCTTAAATCTCTTAAGTTTAAGATTTATTTACAATAGACTGCTCTGTTGAGTATCTGATTGAGATAAAGAATTACTAAATGGGAGAAAGACTTGGAAAATACATAAATAATAAAGATTATATCAATATAATGAAAATATAATTTTTTAGTTTAAAATTACTACAATATTTACATCATTTTGAAAAGTAATTGACTTCGAGATTATTTTAGTCAAAATTGGCTGCTTCTTCATTAGCCATCTCTAAATCATAGTCATCATTTGATTATCGAAACTTACGATTTTCCTTATGCTCTTAGCTTTATTTAAATGAAGTGTATGATTTAGAATCTTTTCTTTTGGAAAATTATGGAACACTATTAAGAATGTGAGGTTAAGATTCAATCTAGATTAAAGTATGATTGCTAGTTTAATAATTATTTTATTTGCTTGTGGCTTCACTTATATGTTCGATAGATGTAACTTTTTGCAATTAAATTTGCTAATTCTATTTATAAGAATTGTGATCATAGTATTTTTCATGTAATTCTTTCATAAATTTGACATGATGTTAATGCTCTTATTTTAACCGTATTACTTGGCCTTCCTCATCTACAGGTGGAACTACATCTAATTCATTCTGCAGTCTAATGTCAGGTATTGAATTCGGATCAATATATAACTCTTACTATTATTGTTTCTCTATTGTTTTTAATTCCCAATCATATAATTAATGATCATATTCAAGTAACTGTTTCTCGAATAAATTCCTTAAGTGTGAATAATTAGGTTATTGTTGAAAAAGCAGCGATTTGACATGTTGGAAGTAATGAATAAAACACTACATAAGTGATGATATAAATACTTTGGGTAAATTAAAGCACAGTTGATTTAAGGACAACCCCATTTTAATCTACAAAATTTACTCGTATTTATCGTCTTTATCCGCAGCCTTTACGTTAGACCAAGGCAACTCTCCTTTTACTAGATATATCAACATGTAACCCAGACTTTCAAGATCATCTCTCCTTGATTATTCCATCCCTTAACGTAATATATATCCATACATTGCAATGTATTAATACTAGCATATCGTGCGGTTCCAATTACTCCTGTTTTCTGAGTAAATTCTATATGTCTACCATCAGTTACTCGGTAGTATTTGGACAACCCAAAATCAATCAAATAAACCAATGACGTATCCTCCTTAGAAATTAGGAAATTCTCAGGTTTGATGTCTCTGTGAATGAAATTCATGCTGTGAAACACTTTAATTGTTTATAAGAAAATAAAACCTTCCAAACGATCTATCAATTGTATGGATAGCTGAAGGACAGTTTATAAAGTAAATTTACCACCACACTTTTATAACAAGACCTCTAAATTCTCACCCAACAATGTACAGATGTAATATTAATATTAGCTGTCTTTGCCATAATGAATTAATTCTGGAAAACCTGAAATTTAATGAATTAAATTTATAACTATTTACCATTGATGGCTTTCAACTATTTTAAAATAAGGATCTCCCTGTTCATCATTCTCATTTATAAATTTCGACTTTCAAATTTCGTTGCGCAATATTCCTTCTCCTCTAAATCATAAGTTAAGTAAACAATCCCAAAGCTACCACTCCCTATCTTCTTGAGCAATTTGAATCTCCCCTCAATTATTAAACCTGGTTATAAATTATTTTTTTAATCCATCTTATTTATAAATTTTAATATGTTAAACAATTTTACACTTTTTAACTCACCCTGTTATTTTTCCCCTTTTGAAAATTTACCTAAAATACAAAGCCAATTCAAGACCCAAACCAGTAATCATTACCTAAAGTATTAAAGTGCCTATTTTCTTAAAGATAGTATCGATAGTCATAACACCTTATCTAAGATAAAATCCAAGATGTTAAATATTGAATTAGAGACTCTAAAGCTTATAAATGAGGATATTAAAGTATATAAATTTATAATACTTTACATCAAATAAGCATAGATTAATTTTTTATTTATATATATTTACTTTAATCATAAGTTGTTATATCAACTTCAAATGATATTCAAATAATCATATTTTCAACTTACATAGTGTTTGTTCTCTACTCTTTATTGTTATTATAGAATTAAAAAAGGGTATTAATGTTATAGAATGTATATATGAAAATAATTATTTCACCTTTATTTTTTAATTTATTTGTTTGTGTTCAGGATATATTTCTTTATTCAAATGGTTTATATTACAATTTAATAATTAATAGAATTACGATGAATACCGAAGATTCGCAAACTCAAAATGAGGAATAAAACTCTATATCTCCAGTTAATTTGTTTAAAATCATAATATCTATTAAGGAGATTTTCAATGTGGCAAAAAAATGGGGGAAAGGCTATTGAAATGGAATAAAAGAGTTTCCTACTAAGGAAATTTGGTAAATGGAAAATAAGTTGGGAAAGGTTTTTATATTGAGATTATGGAGATTATATTAAAGAGATTATGGGATAATTAAAGAAAAAGAAATAGTTAATTGAATATCAGGGAAAATTAATATTAAGGAGTTTAAATTTAAGGTAAGAAAGAGCCAAACGAAATTGATGGGAATATTTAAATAATTAAAGACATGGAAAAGGGATAAAGGATGGTCAAATTGAAAATAATGCATGGAGATTGGATCCAGGATAAGAGAACTAGAAATGGTTAAAAAAATACTCATAGATTTATAGATGAATATCACAATAGTATCATTAATTTAAATCGGGTAAATTGGTAAATATGAATGTCACAAATAGTTGTGACTTATTTAATAATTATTCAAATTCATATTAGAAAATCGAATTTTTAATTATTTAAATTATAAAATCAAGAAATTAGTTTTTCTTAAGGGTTTTTATTTAAATACATTCACAGTTAATGTTATTATTTTTGTTAACTCTTTTCATCACTTAAAACAAATAGTTCTTATGTTCAATAACAACCACTTTTATCATTATTATTTATCATCAATATTTTAAATATATTTAATAATTTAAAACTCTTGATGCAGTTTTACTTTTTTATACTTAGTATAATTATGAGATTACTTTTGGATTCTACTGATATAATGTATTCTTGCTAATTACATCCTATTTGATAAAATGAATTGGATTTTGTTCATGCATTATCAAATAGTTCTATTGTTCTACTCAATAAAGATTTTTTAAATTTATGACCTTTTGATGAGTTTTAATAAATGATCAGATCATCCACATTTATAATAATTACATTTAATTTAAGATAGAGTAATAAAGTTAAAAGAATTGATATAGAAGAAATAGAAACATTGGAGCTTAGATATTAAAATGCAGAATATTAATATTAGGATAGATTTAGTTAATATTATTGATGATAATGAACGATTGAGTAAGATGATTCAAATGAGGAACAATAGAAATAAGAAAAGACTTCGAGAACATTGTAAATGAATTGTTGGAGAAGTAAGTAACTTAAACAATTATCTAAAAAAAATGCGAGATAAATTATTGAATAGCAAGATTAAAGCTCTAATGAAACCAATTTTCAACTATTAAAATAGGTAATACTCAAAGATTATCAAATATGATGCTTGCAATTAGTAAATATTAATTCTAGAGAGTTGAAAAAAGTATAAGATGTATTATAAAAAATGAAATTATTTATCGGCTCAAAGCTAAATGATTGAAGAACGGCCCCTTCAATCGGATGAATATTTTAAGAGTTTTGAGTAGTAGATAGGTACATGAGAAGATAAAAAGGTAGTGTAAATGATTTTGGGGAGGAATTTTAAAGTGGTTTAGGAATTACCTGAAAACGATTTGTTTAATTTCAGAATTGATTATATGAATGATATTTAGACTTTTCATTAATTAATTAATCTAAACAAATGAATCAAACTTCTATTTTTGAATATCTTGATAACCTAAAATTATAAATGACTGACCCAACCCAAAAGCAATTAGAATATTATCACAATAACAAAGTATTGATAGCTTCGCAGCGAAAAATAGCTGTACCAAAATTATAGTCACCTCAGATTGGTTATTAAGAACCTAAATTCCTGTCACTTAGGAAGGCTGTATCGCAATAGGAAATTTGTGTGTATAAATAACATGCATTTATGAATCCTAATAATCAAAATAGGGGCAATTATGAATAAAGAATTACTTTATAATGAATTTTATAATAAATTAATATCTAATTATAAATCATTATTTTATGAAATCTGGATGTACCACAATTAAGAATGATTTAGAGCAGATTAAAGATATCCACTCTAAATGGAGGAATATGGACACTAAATAATCACAAATAAGCCAAATTAGACAATTATAATTAACATTTACTGAGTAGAGAAATTTGGACTTTCAACTTCCTGACGTTTTTATAACTACCAGACAAATAAATTCAAAACCACAAAGTAAATTTTAAGTTGATAACGAGAGATTAAGAAAATGAAGAAAATAACATCATTCAGTTTTAACCAAAATATGTAGACTAATGTTTAATCCAAGTAATAAAGAAACTAGGAATTGACTACTCTTTAAGCCAAATACTATCAATTTAAGTAATTATAAGCAACTATGTAAGGAATCTCTCTTGTTCTGTAAGAACTACACCTCAATAGGATACTCTCAATAAAAGTATATCTATTCCTAAAAATGAGAATCTCTATGAAATAGATGGTACTAAGTTTCCCTATGGGTTATACTCAATGCACAAAAAAAGAAGGGATTGCATTGATGATGTGTTTCACAATTCGAAATCCCAAAGATCTAAGAATACTTTTTCGAATTATGTAGATTCAAGAATTAGTTAGTGTATCATAAAATGATTAATAGTTTAGCTGACTAAACACAGAAAGAGAATAAACAAAAAGAATATACAAGTCGGTCCTTTTTAGATAATGCTTATTTTTCAATTATTTGTGCTAAAAACAATTGCAAACATCGTATCAAAATTAAGATTCGAGATTCTCTTCCAAAAGATTCCAGATTTTAGTAAAGTTGAATGTTTTATTTAAAATGTGTTTCATATCAAAATTATTTTTTTAATATAATGTCAGAAAACTTACAAAATCAAAAGGACTTTATACAAGAGAATTAATTGATTAAACAATCATTACTCCAGTATTGGCTCAAGATTTCAAAAACTCTTGATGAAGAATATGAAGAGATTCTTTAATTGGGGTCTGACTCTGATCCTATTGATATTATTAATGCATTATTTATAATTGAAGATGCTCGATAAGAATAATTGAAGGTATAATGATTAATATTAATCTAGTCAGATAAACAACAATTAGAGACATTGAAGAATTAAATTGAATCATAAAAATAAGAAATTGTTGATTTGTAATAATAAAATGAGAAATTACCATAATCTAATAGCAAACCAGAATTCAATTCCGAAGTAAGACAATTAGAGATAAAAATCAATGAGTTATCCTTAGCACTTGTGAAAAGTAAGGAAGAAAAAGTTATTTACATGGAGTAGGCTCAAAAATAGATATAACTTCTTAAAGAATAAGAATTAGAATTGAAGAGCAAATTATAAATGATGTAATTTGAAAAGTCAAAGAAATCATCCTTTGCTGAAATAGAAGAAAACGTAAGGAAAGGTTCTAAAGATTATATTGAAGAGGACATTTCCAGATAATCTGTTTCTCCTTAGACATAAAAAATCAAATTAGATCATTCCAAACCATGCATAAGTTAAAGCTTGAAAAAATTAACTAAAGTAGATTAGGTTTAAGGAGCATCATAATCATCCTTTAGGTTTGGTAATAAATGAATTTTCAATATATTTCCTCTAAAAATTAAGTAAATTTGATTTGTAATTATTTAATATCACTTTTCCATCAAGTCTCGTATATTTTTTAAGATGATCATTAATCTTCAAGATTTCTAATTACGGAACTAGTTATAATTCTTAATTATAATAAATATTTTTTAGAACTCCTTTTACTTAGTAAATTAATTCAATATCTAAAGATATGGCAATTTTTATATAAATTTTGATTAATAAAATCAAACTTCTTGGATCTTTACATTTTTTGAAATGACTGCATCTCTTTCTTGGCTTTTTTCAACTCTACCAATAACCCAACCCCATTCTCCAATTAAATGTTTATAATCTTTAAGAAATGAATCTGGATCCTTTGTAGCTATTAGTAATCCTCCAGATGTTTCAGCAGCAAGTCCTTCTAAAAATCTAAAATCTCTAGCCTTTTTATCCAATTTGTATAGATTTTGAATGATAGGTAGTTTATCAATAACAAATTACACTTTTCTTCTTTAGGCTCTAGCCAAATATCTGGCATGTCCCAAAATTCCAAATCCTGTTACATCAGTTGATGCTTTGATATTGTGCTTTTTAAACAAAGAGGCTGCTGCAGCATTTAATGTGCACATGCTTTTTGTTGCATGATCAAATGCTTAATTAATTTCACTTTCATTTGTAATTCCTTTAATTGCATCCCATTTCGATGGTATAGTGGTCATCCATTGATATGTATTAACAGCTAATTGAACCCCCAAAGGTTTTGTTAAAACTAAATAATCACCTGCCTCAGCACCATTAGGCATGATAAAGTCATCCTTGTGATTTGAAGCAATTCCAACACCACCTCTAATAAATCTAAATAAATTAATACATTTAGGGCCAAGAAGAATGAGGCGTATGTTATACCTACGGA